TGGCTATTTTTGGATATATTACCATATTTGGAACTGGACCCTGGACCCTGACAATGTTACCCAACATGATGATCAGCAATGAGCCCTAATTTTTCCTGATTTTATTGCTATTTTACATTTGGAAATGCACCCTGGACCCTGAAAGGTCAGCTGCTGCTAAAAATGAAATATTCATTGAAAGCGCCAGGTACACATGAAAAGTGCAATGAAATCTCCTAGGAATAAGAATGAAATATCCATTGAAAGCGCCAGGCATCCAAATGAGAAGCACAATGAGATATCCTGGGTTGAGCAATGAAATATCCAATGAAAGCACCAGGTATATCTATGAAAAGTGCAATGAAATATCCTAGGAACAAGAATGAAATATCCATTGAAAGAGCCAGGCATTCAGATGAAAAGCACAATGAAATATCCTGGGGCTAACAATGAAATATCCAATGAAAGCGCCAGGTATCCATATGAAAATTGCAATGAAATATCCTGGGGTTGAGAATGAAATATATATTGAAAGAGCCAGGTGTCCATATGAAAATTGCAATGAAATATCCTGGGGTTGAGAATGAAATATATATTGAAAGCACCAGGTATCCATATGAAAATCACAATGAAATATCCTAGAACAATGAGATATGCGATCTCATTGAACCTCTAGGCATTATACACATCGCCTTCCAGGCATGTGTCTGGTTTTTATCATAAAAGTGTATACCACCCATCGTTTTTGCTCTGTCGCCTTAGCCATCGCCTCGGAGAATTTGCCCACCAGGACTAGGTTAGCACAATTTCTGAAGCTGGATTCTTGTGGTATGTCGACTAGCGATTGGCGTTGTCTGATGTTTTCCTTTGCAGCTAGACGGGGGTTAGCATCCATCGGCGCCCCAGAGAGTCCCCTGTGCAGCGCGTCCCTGTACGGGGAGTTGGCTGCGTTCCCCGCCTGTTGTGCTGCCTTTTCGACCACCTCTGCCAGTTCCACTGTTCTCTCTTTCAACACCTCCGTCTTCTTCTCCAGCTCCTCCATAACTTTCACCCTGAGCCCCTCCGTGAACTCCCTCAAATCTGTGGTCATATCGTTAAACTGTGCGTTGGCGATGTCCCTGATGTCTTCTGCTACTGCCCCTAGCTCGACTTCCCTCAGCAGGAAAGCGACCGCGCGGACTGCGTTGATTACAGGGAGGGTGACCCCCGGCAAGGCCGCAATCTGGTGTAGTGTCGTAGCGAGCGTTCCCAGAGTGAGCGGAGCGCCCGATGGGACGAGGAGCAATTTTTCTTCGAGGTAAGACCTCCCTTTTTCTGAGTCGCCTATTTCTTGTTCGTCTTCGTCTAAGTCCACCGCCCCCGTAGCTCTTGTCTTCCCTCGTTCCTGTACTTCTGGCTCGGCCGTTCGATTTTGTCGATTGGCCGCCACTTTACCTTTTTGAGGTGGAGGCTGAGCCTTGGGCTTCGCTCCGGTCCCAGACATTCTCTGGGTTTATTATTAGCTGGATAGATAGTAGTATAAAAAGTTTAGAAAGCTGTATGTAGGCCAGAATTTCGTGTTGCAGTCGACGAATCGCCCAAAATTTTCGGGGTCCTAGTCGGGGTGCCACGTGGTTCAGGTCCAAGCGAACTTTGCCTCCGAGTGTTCAATTAATGACTCACTTCAATCCATTCATCTTCAGGAAAAACCAATTCCAAATCCACGGTTGGAACCTGACCATTGTGTTTTACAAGGCTCATAAACACGTCCCTTCCTCGATTGTATAGCCATCCACAGATGGTTAGCAAAGCACTCGACGCAGATTTTAAGGTCGTAAATTTGTGAAGCAAGGCGGCGCACAGAGCAGGGATGCGTGTCAAGGCTGACGCATTTTTTATTGTTGGATCTTCAATGAAAATCAGAAGATCCTGCAAGGCCAACCGGTTGGCCATTTGTAGGACCGACTCCTCTGCCGCCAACTTAATTCAAGCTGTATGAGAAAATCAACTCAGAGGCATATTTAACAACTCACATTGAGAAATAGTCTTCGATATGCAATATCTGGTTCAATGCCTTCCCTGAGCGTGAAGACTCCAAACTCCGTCTGAAACAAGTCTTTCAAGCCCGAAGAAACATTTGACAAGCCATCAAGAATCAATGGAATAGTGGCCAACCGCTCATTAAAATCCTCTATCTTTTTCGCTACTTGTTTCTGGAGCTTCTGCAGCCGCTTGTTCTCCATCTCGCTCATATCATTGTCATCGTCTTCGCTATCGAGTCCCTCTATCGAAAATTTATCGATGGTCTGTGAAAGAAGACCTTTAACGCTTTGGTGACAGATTTTCCGAATTGCGTCCCGTAAGGTACGACCGGGAATGGCTTGTTGAGTAGCGATATACCGACTGTCCTTTTGTGGAGCACTGTCAGAGACTGTAGTTGGAGGTGAAAGGGATGGGAGCAGATGTTTCTCTCCGTATGCGAGTGTCACGCCATCCCAAATAGTGTCTTCAGGTGTTGGGCCGCAGACGGGGCATCACATGTCTCCAATAAATTCCTGGAGCTTAACAAAGGAAAACCAAGCAAGCGAGAACATCTCTACACTTGCAAACGGCAGGAGAGACTGCATGACCTGGTAGTGGCGTCGTCTTGAGGTTACCCATGCTGTAATTGGGGTTTCAGAGATGGTATAATTGTTCGTGAAGTCGTTCAGGAGGGCGTGGGTGAACAGAACTTTGTTGTTGTAGTTAAAAATGCCGAGATCTCAGCAGTCGGGACCGATCTGCCTCCGGGAGCAGACCCTGCATTGTTGTACCTCGACCATTGTCTCGGTCGCTCCGTTAGATGTGTAGACAACGCATGATTGCATCTTTGTTGCTCGAGCCTCATCGATTGTTGGCCGGGGAGAGGAACAACAGCACGTCGCTCCAAGAATCAGGGAAATAGCCACCGGAATGCCTTGCGAGTCCAACGGAGGTCCCATTGCTGGAAACTCAGGGTCTGTAGAGATTCTGGCCCATATTGGTGGTGGGATTGGTAGGTATGATACGGAATTTTCTCCGCGATCTCTGCGTCGTGGTCTTTTGGCTTCTTGCATGAGGTATTAAATTTGATCTGACAAAATCATGTGACTTACCAATGTTCCGTATCTTCCCATGGCCAGTTCCATCGCCAAGCGTTAGCAAAGAATAACATGCAGCCGTGTGGGCACATCGCTGACTGGAATCTCTGCTACACCACCAATCCCCATTCCCATCATCATTCCCAACGTATTGGACGATTGCGCGGGATTTCAGTGACGTCTGATTTTTGTCACTTGACGGAACACTAAAATAATTGACCCACTCCAAGTTGGGTGAGTTATTCTGTTTGTGCCTTGAGTACAAGATAACTTCGTGGTCATTATCTAAATTGGATTAGATTTTTCCTTCCGGAATCCCATAACAAAGCAACTTACAAACAGGATCAACATCCCCCTCGGGAGGAAACTTGACATCGATGAATTCCAAGATGAAACGCGTGTGAACGCAGTCCAAGCCTACACCGTCGATTTTGGCCTTTGCTACGGGACACATACAAACGACCACCAGCTCATCACCGATTCCCGTTACTTGTAAGTGGTACCAGTGAGTCTAAATTAAATTCATTTAGTAACCCTTGTTTCTCAATCGGAAACGACTTACGTTACACATCAATGTTCGCTCGCTCCACCCAGCAACCACAAATATTGTCGGAGTGAGAGGGTAAAAGGGGAGTTCATCATCAAAAACACCGTCAACATAAGCAGAGTATGCCTCTTCGGTACAGTCAGAATTGATGTTGGGCCACTCAGAATTTGACAGAGCATTTGCATGAGAAGGTTGTTCTTCGGTCAGCTCCATATTCTTTCGTCTTGATTCATCGTCACCCATTGTTTCAGCTGTGTCCATTATCTCTAAAACAGCGGTATCCATTTGTTGCATGTCCAAGACCGCTGTCTCCCCAATATCCGCGGTTGTGTTCTGCGAAGAAGCTTCGGCATCCTTCCCTTTCCTTCTCGTCAAATCCATTTGCTTGACTCTTTGCTTGCCATCAAGTCCTCGCTTTCCTCGCCGTGGAGTACCCAAACCTCCAGCATTTGCTTCATGAGATGTAAGGCCAAATATCTGTCCGTCGGGTACTGGTAAACGAATTGCGGCAATTTCGCGTGTCGGAGGAGGTGCCAGTCGAATACGCTTTTTGTTTGATTGATCTGACATGGCGGTTTTGTGGGACAAAGAGGTGACAAAATTGTGTGTTTCAACCTTCTTCAAGGTCATCGATCTGCTCGGAAACCTAATTTAGACACAGCAGTGCATATCCACCTTCCTCATGGATGGATCGCGCATCAGAAGACAATCATGTGGTAAAGGTGAGTGGATATATATATGTACAATTAAGCTCATTTTCCTTTCTGCCTCCCTCCACTATGGCGAAGTCATCCAGTAAGAAGGTCATCGCTACTAGGGGTGTATCGTCAAAACAGTCACCCACCAAGAAGTCGAAAAGAACTACAATTGCAACCACGCCGTCAATTCAAAGGGAACCCCCCCATTGTCGTAAATGCCCATCACGCCCTCTGCTTTCTGAGTGCATCCACACTGCCAGAGGGCGCATATATCTGTAGTCTCAGCCAGTGGCTACAGGATCAGTAGTAAGCCATTTTCTAACTCTAATACACGTCCTCAATCATCATAATTCCTCCTCTCCCTTATAGCTTCAAACACCTACAAGCGGAAGCATTGACGTTGGTCTGCCTTCGTTATCAACACTAACTTCAACAACGCCCTTGTCAGTCTCTCCTAAGGCTGTATCGGCCTCAACAACTCCGCTTCCAGTCCCTTCTCAAACGGATGTAGAAACGGTGACGTCCCCTGCCCTTCGGTTTGGTACTTAGTCTTACCGCTCAGCGCTCATTGTTCCAATTTTCACAGGCTGTCTTTCCAAACGTGTACCTCATGAGCGCACTCAGAGATCGTCGCATCAAAGACCCAATGACGCCTATGCGTCGTGTTCCAGGCTATCGCCATGCTCTTCAGGAAAGCATCGCCATGACACCCAGCATTTCACGTGAAAATCATTCCGCTGCAGGAACAACGCCGATTCTGGTTGACGCGAGCCCTGCCCCATTGCACGTGCCATCAGCATCTTCCACGCAAACGTCGAAAAGGGTTGAAGTCGTGGAGGGAGTCGCTCGAGGAAGTCGACCATATGGTCTGTACTGATTAACTCCCACTTAATTTCGATTCACTCTCTATGCAGCCATTTCTCGGTCCCGAACTCTTCCAGACCTCCTTAGCGGTCAGAATGCAAGTAAATACTTTAACATTCAAATGAAAGACATCGTCAATCGTGTGAGTTATTTCCTCTTATCCATCGACCCGAACAAGCTAATAATGATCACTCAGTGTGAACGTCTTGCTCACGCAACTGGCGCTTGGATCTTCTTCACCGCTAATCACTCCAATGCACGACAAGAATTCATTCATTACTCCTCACCAAAGTTTCGCCTAGAAGCACACGATGCAATTGAAGGGATTACCAACGAGTTCGATTCAATCTTCGACAACCTCATCACCACTCGCCGCGCAGATGGATTTGCAAAACAGGCGGAGTTACGACAACAACTTCAGGAGAAACAAAGTCAATTGGATTCGAGAGATGTTGAATTACAGGAGACGTCGAAAGTGGCAGAGGAACTTTTGGGTCGTCTTAAGGCAGTCGAGGCTAAGTTGAAAGCAGCTGGAATATCAGAGTAGCTCAGATTATGTAAATTGACGACGCAACATAGAACTTTATAAACCTGGAACGTCAAGAACGTTAAGGCGAAGACACCTATACGCCCTCTCCAACCACCTCACCGTTACCGGCGCATACACGCGCATATATTCCAAATCGCCCTTGCCAACTGTCCGCGTATCCACGCCACCGACCGCCCGCGTACCAACGCTGGAAAACCCTCGTTTTACACGCGCCTCTGCCTTAACGCAACAACTACCGATTCTTGAAGGACTCACGGTTACTTCGCATCCACGTAACAACCGTCGACTTTCTGTAAACACGAATCCTCACTCGAGCCCTCTCTCGAGCCCTCCTTTGTCCTTTGTACTTTCATCGGACTCCTCAGACGACAGCCACCACATACATCCTCCTACGAATTCAATGTCCACTCTTGCAACTGTCGAGCCCACGAGCGGCAAAGCGCCTGTCCTCACCGCTGGAGATTTGACTCCAGCAGTAGCTATGGACTTCGAAAATGCTGCCCAGGATTTCTTCGTGGCCAAATCTGTCCCTTCCGAGAAACAGGTCGCGCTCATCCTTCCTGGCATCAAGGACATTTGTATTCGTGATTGGATCACAGCCGACCGTGCACGCATTTCCGCCCTTCCGTTTGCCGAATTTATCAAAGAACTTCGTCTCAACTATCTTCAGAATGACTGGGAAGACCAGATCCGGAACGAAATCCTTACGTCTACACTCGCAAATTCACGTAAATCATTCTGGAATTGGTCACAGCAACTTCTTAGCTTAAACTGTCTCCTTCGCAACACCCCCTCTGCCCTTGACGATGCCGCTCTCCGGAACCACCTTGAAGCACACCTAGACGATGAGCTCAAGGAAAAGGTCAAACACAGCGACACTCGTAACGACAAGACCTTCAAATCTTGGGTCGCCGCTGTACGTGTCCTCGACGAATCTCGTAACAAACGCCAACTCGATCTTATCGAAGGTGCGCTCCAGCGCCAGGCGAAACGTCAAGCTACAGATGCCAACTCGCTTCGTGGGCCCTCCCGTCGTGCCAACACTGCCTCTTCCTCTTCTACGTCGACTACTAGTAACAACCGTCTGGCCCCCCTAACTGAGGGTGAGCGAGCTCTCCTCAATGAGCATGATGGTTGCACCAAATGTCGGCGTTTCTATGTCGGCCACCGTTCGCACAATTGCGATTTGGGTTTCCCCACAGCAAAGGGTTACAAAACTCTGACTGTGGGGGATGCATTAGCTGCAAAGAAATCGAAAGCAACTTCATCCAAATCGACGAAAGCAGTCTCTGCCACCATTGCCGCCGTCGACTCGAGTGACGAAGAAGTTTCCGCTGCTGCCGCCGTCCTTCCTAAATCACCGGGAACGTACGATTCGGATTCTGAAGAGAATGCTGACGTCTCCCGTCGTGATGTGAGTGCTCCGCTGCGCGTTAAGCACTTATTCTGGAACTGTCAAATTCACGGGCTGATCAACGATTTTCCAGTGGAAGTCAAAGCCCTTATAGATAACGGAGCACACCTCGTCCTCATACGCCTGGAACTTGTTGCTGAACTCAGATTAAAGAAATATCGCCTCCATGAACCAGAAATCGTAGATGTCGCCTTGAAGAACGATGACGCAAAAATTAGATGCGAACTGTCAGAATACGTCAAAATTTCCTTCACTTCCTTAGACTGTCAATGGACCTCGCGCAAAGTCAAGGCCATCATTGCGCCAGGCCTTTGCGCTCCTGTAATACTTGGACTCCCGTTTCTCGAGCACAATTCAATTGTAACAGATCACAGTAACCGTACTTGTATTGATAAAAAATCGAATTATGATCTTTTGCACCCTCCTCCCTGTCTCCCTCCTCCCCCACCTAAACCACGCTTACGCGAACAAATTAAAATTACAAAAGCAGATAAGAAACTAGCATTGGCCGAATTACTCTTAACGTGTCATGACCGCAAACGGGCGGGAAAGGATATACCTGAAAAGGTTGAACCCTTTAACGTCGCAGGTGCAATCCGCAATCACATTGAAATTCTCGCAACACAGGACGTGCTAAGTAAACATGAATCGCGCCTGAAAGCGAAATTTAAAGAAATCTTCGAACCTATTCCACATATAGATGAACTACCCAATGACATTGTAGCAGAAATTCATTTGAAAAACGCGGAAAAGACGATCAAAACTCGTTCATACCCTTCTCCGCGGAAATACAAGGAGGCCTGGCAAATTCTGATACAACAACACCTCGACGCGGGCAGAATTCGACCATCCTCCTCCCCGTGCGCCTCCCCAGCTTTCATTGTCCCTAAAGCCAATCCAAACGTCTTACCTCGGTGGGTCAATGATTATCGGCAACTGAATGAGAATACCGTTACCGATTGCCACCCACTTCCTCGGATAGACGACATCCTCAGTGACTGCGCCAAGGGGAAGATCTGGGCAACGATTGATATGACAAACAGTTTTTTTCAAACTCGCATGCATCCAGACCACATCCCTTTGACAGCAGTTACAACGCCACTTGGCCTTTATGAGTGGCTGGTTATGCCGATGGGTTTGAAGAATGCCCCAGCAATCCACCAACGTCGTGTAACGCTCGCCCTATGTCCTTACCTTGGAAAAATCTGCCACATTTACTTGGATGATATCGTCATCTGGTCAAATTCTATTGAAGAACATGAAAAAAATGTGTCAACAATTTTGCAGGCTCTTCGCGAGGCACGTCTTTACATCAACCCTGAAAAGACAAATCTGTTCTGTCTCGAAATAGATTTCCTTGGCCATCACATCAGTGCCCATGGCATCGAAGCGGATGCAAAAAAGGCCGATCGTATTCTCGCGTGGCCACAACCAAAATCTGCAACTGAAGTGCGCGGTTTTCTTGGTTTGGTACGCTACCTATCTGCCTTCCTCCCCTCACTCGCAGAACACACAGGTATTCTAACTGAACTGACGACAAAGGAATCAGAAAAGAATTTCCCACTGTGGACACCGCGCTATCAATCAGCATTTGACGGCATTAAGTCAATCGTCACCAGCCGAGATTGCTTGACAACGATCGACTTGTCAAAACTACCAGAACACAAGATATTCGTCACGACGGATGCAAGCGACAAACGCTCTGGTGCAGTCCTCTCCTTTGGTACTACATGGGAGAGCGCCAGACCGGTCGCGTTCGACTCAATGACTTTTAAAGGCGCAGAGCTAAACTACCCTGTACACGAGAAGGAACTGTTAGCCATTATACGCGCCTTGAAAAAGTGGCGGGTGGACCTTTTGGGATCCCCATTTTTCATTTATACAGATCACAAGACCCTCGAGAATTTCACAACTCAACGGGATCTTTCACGGCGACAGGCACGATGGATGGAATTCATGTCACAGTTTGATTCCAAAATCGTTTACATTAAGGGCGAGGACAACACGGTCGCCGATGCCTTATCTCGATTACCATGCTCATCTACTTCGCAGGAAGCTGAATCTGCAGCACGACACCCTTACGACTTTTGCCCAGATGATGACTTGGATGGCATGATTGCAAGCATCTTCGAGTGCAGTGACCAAGGGCCCATGGACACAGCGGAATCTCTGGCTAATGCCACGGCGCCAATTAATTCCATTAACGCTACGCTGAAAATCGCAGCTGACGAAGCGTTTTTGCAGGACATCGTCAAAGGTTATGCAGAAGATCCATGGTGCAAAACCTTACCGTCTGCCGCCTTGAGCTTACCAAACTTACAGTGTCGTGACAATCTTTGGTACATCGGGGAACGTCTCATAATTCCCCGGACTAGTGACCTACGCGAAACCCTATTCCAACTGGCCCACGACTCACTCGGCCATTTCGGTTTCCATAAAACGTATGGCTCATTGCGCACGGCGTATTATTGGCCAAACATGCGCCGCGACCTCGAGCAAGGATACGTTAAATCCTGCCCAGATTGCCAACGGAACAAGAGCAGTACAACGAAACCATTGGGACCGTTACACCCGTTGCCAGTTCCCGATCAACGGGGTGACTCTGTCGCCATCGATTTCATCGGTCCTCTACCGGAAGACGAAGGTAAAAACTGCATTGTAACATTCACCGACCGTCTAGGAAGCGACATCCGAATGGTAGCTACACACACCGATCTCACAGCAGAACAACTGGCCATTATATTCTTTGACGAATGGTATTGTGAGAACGGACTACCTTCTGACATTGTCTCTGACAGGGACAAACTCTTCATTTCACGATTCTGGAAAGCATTGCACCAACTAACTGGCGTAAAATTGAAGATGTCCACGGCGTACCACCCCGAAACGGATGGAGCAAGTGAACGCACCAATAAAACGGTAAACCAATCCCTATGTTTTCACGTTGAAAGAAATCAACTAGGCTGGGCACGCGCTCTTCCCCGCATCCGTTTCGACATGATGAACACGATTAACAAATCTACGGGCTTCACACCTTTCCAACTCCATATGGGGAGAAGCCCACGTGTTATTCCGCCACTAGTTCCCGCGAAATCCAATGCGACTGTAACAGATGTCGATGCATGGCACATCATTCGACAACTAGAAATGGACGTTTTTGAAGCGCAAGATAATTTATTACGCGCTAAGATTTCTCAATCCGTTCAATCTAATAAAAGTCGCTCACTTAAATTCCCTTTCGAAATAGGTAATCGCGTACGTCTCTCAACGTCACATCGTCGCAACGACTATAAGGCGAAAGGCGAAAAACGCGTGGCAAAGTTCATGCCCCGTTATGACGGACCGTACACGATTACCGATGTTGATGAAGAACACTCCACTGTCACCCTCAACTTGCCCAACTCTCCCAACATATTCCCCGTCTTCCACACATCCGAAATCCTCCCATACACAGAATCCGATACAAACCTATTCCCTTCTCGACATTTGGAAGAACCTCCACCCATTCTGACAGAGGACGGCGACGAGGAATACGAAATCGAAAGAATATTGGACGCACGCCGACGAGGACGGGGTTACCAATATCTCGTTCGTTGGAAGGGCTATGGTACCGAGGAAGACAAATGGTTACCTGGCTCCGAACTACAGAACTGCGAAGCGCTGGACGTCTGGCTGGAATCGCGGGTGGGATCACCTTTATCATAGGTAGTTTTCACTTTCGACCTTGCCAGCGGTAGCTTTTTCCCTCTGGGTTTTGACGCACCCACGCTCGGATTTTACTTACGTTTCTACTACTAACATTTTTTTCCTTCTCCCTTTTTCTTTTTCAGAACGGGGGAGAGTGTAATCCTGGGATTACAAATATTTGCGATTGTTTATCGACGGCTTGATAGTTCCCTTCTCATACGCTTTTGCTTCTTCTTCAGAACCATCATCACCCCTTCTTCCCTTTTCCATACCACACATTCCCCTCTCGTTTACTCTCAGAAATATACACCCGGTTAATTTCTGTGAGTGTTCCTAAGCGATCCCTAGTGTTTTCTATCCCCTTCAGGGGATAGTTTTCCAAAGACCGGTCCAAACCGGTCAATACCGGTTCACGTTAACCGGTTTTTTTGCGGTCTTTACATCTCAAAAATAAAAGACCGTAACTGCAGGTCTGGTCTTTTGCGGTCTTGGTCCGGTCTGGTTACAGTCTTTTTCCGGTCACGAGACTGGACTTCCAAACACTATTGACAATTAAGTTGCTGATTGATTGATTGTCTTGTTGAACTTGTTTTTTGGTACAATGTTCTGCACCTAGACAGAATGTCAGTCATCACCCAAATTGTTGGTAGGAAAACATACCAGGTATGGGAGAAACAGCTTTGCATTGTCATAAACTACACCAAAGTGCCAAAATATTTCCTCAGGCCAAGTTGGCTGATACTGGCTCAACATGGAATTCCAGTGAGCAACAATGAGGGCTCTCTTAGCAAGGGTGTTAGGAGCAGCTCTGCTGGTGACTGAATTAGCAGACTCCTGAAGTGAAGCAAAGAGGGGATCATTGGATTCTTTGGAACCATCATAACCTCTCCTCAGTTCAACTCTAGCAAATTTCTTTATTTTTGGTGTGGTTTGCTGTTTTTCGTGTAACATCTGGAAGGGCATTTTTGGTGGCAATTGGGGAGAAATCAGTAGAGCTACACAGGATATAGGTGGATTGCTGAGGAGGTGCAGAAATGGTTAATCTTTGCTTATTGAAGATTTTTTGATTCAAATCAGAGAGATCATACTGGTCAATAGAGTCATCATGGATCTGGAAAGGATTGTTGTTGTTGTTCATGATGGAGACATCAGCAAATTGGGAGAACAATATAAGGGCATGAAAGGGTATATAATCAACACAATTTGGTATAATCATTACAATTTGACACCCACCTTGCAGACTTCATGGTGGTATATAAAGAACCAAATATTGTACAAACCATGGCTGGATTGTTGCATTTGCAATGATTGTGTATATTACATATCTTGTAAAGAACTAAGAATTGGCAGAATGAACCAGGCTGGTGTTGATGGGCATTTATTATCACATTGCCAAGGGTGGTGGGTAACTGGAAGAATGGTGGCTAGGGGGCTTGCTACAACTACATAGATGTACCTGAGCATTTTTGTAAATGCATCAATTCTGAATGTAATTTGATGTTCTTGCACTCATTTAAAAGCTAAGAAACAGTAAACTTTGCAACTCAGAATTGCAACTCTATTGCATGTTCAACATGTGGTATGAGTCAGGATATGCAAATTTCACATTTTGTGTCATTCCCTTGCTCCTGCTCTTTCAAAAAAGAATCACACATGTTGAGTTAGTAAATAAAATACTGCTTGCAGAGTTTGGAAGGGATTCATGAAGTGTACAAAATCTAAGAAGCCAAAAAGTGAGATTTTGGACAGCTGTATGAAGCTTTGGCTGCCAGAAGCACATTCTGTGCAAGGCTAACTCCTGTTTTTTTTTCCCACTATCTAATACTACACACCCTCAAATTTCCAGGAAGGGTTTTGAGAAAGAAATACATGACAATTGCCCTGCTTGGGAGACTGTCACATTGGCCAAAATCCCTCAGTGACATGACTGTGACATGCCTTTTCATATCTTGTTCCCTTGCCTCCTCATGTTGGCAACACTCCAAGGCTACAACACATCTTCCAAAATTTCTCAAAATTTCAGGCAGCATGTTAAAATTGCATTGGCTAGACTATTGTAAATTTGTAAGGCTGAACAATGTGATTTTGAAGCTACATCAATGAAAAAGTCAAATATCCACCAAGGGGGTGCCAGCATAAAAAAAAAAGACCTGGGGTCAATTTTTTTTAAAAGGTGACTTGAGGTGGACTAACTAACTAATGTAATCAGGCACATGTCTAAAAATAGAAACATGACATCATCTGCTTCCCTAATTTTCCTTCAAACAGCACTCTGCTCACACCGCATTCCTCCACAAAGTATGTTGCAAAATCCACCAAGCTGTCCAGGCCCCACCTCTCACAACAGATTATCTCATCCATGTTTCCTTCCGTTCCCCAGTCCAACATTGACTTCAACACACCATTCAGGCTTTCTTCCCACAGTTCATCAGCCTCCAATGATGTGTCATCAAATTCCTTCAGGTTTCCTCCAAATACTGCCAGCCTCTCAAATTCAGATGCTTCAGGGACACTTGCTGGTAAGTTTTTGACCAAATCTTGAAACTCCTTGATGAAGCTGTTGGAGATAGGGCCCAAAACAGACTTGGACATTGAGTTGGAGACAGCTTTTCCATGCTCGGTGGTGGTGGAAGCAGCGGTGGGGCTTGCTGTCTGCAGAACAAGCTTGTAACTGTGGACTGGTGGTGGACCATCGATGGTCAATAGTACGATGGCTGCTTTTGGTCTCAAGAAGCTGAGTATCATTCTGTTCTTCTTCCTTTTCACATCCTTATCTCGTTTTTGTTGTGCTGTTTTACAGACTTTCGTTCCACAGTGGCGCTTCTCAAGATTGGGCAGTCCAATCATCCCACAATTTACAAGGCTACCACAATCTGGGCAGATTGCAAAGCCCTCTGCATCAAGGGCAGGTGGCTCCATCTTGATGGTAGTGTCAACTTTTGCCATTGTACAGAGAATGTGTGAGACGTACTGTAGATTCTTGAATATTGTTCACGTTGTCGGTCCACTGTGAAATAGTCTAGCACTGGTAATGAGGATGCGAGTGCAGTGTGTAGATTTCAATGTAATTTGATAATGATGACCCAAATATGGCAGGAAATTAATGAATACCTTATATTACTTGTTTTTCTGGTGCTGTATGGCCTCTATTGGAGCTGTAGTCCTCCCAGTACATTCTGTAGTCATTACATTATGCTACAAGGTACTCAATTTGATTATTTAAGGCCTTCTGCTCAAGGTGTCCTTTTTTTCGCAGCCTGCAGCTAGACTAACTAACCAGATCCCAGTATGGGATTCCCAGGCCAGCACCCCCTTGATATCCACATATTCTGACCATGTATAGTAGTTAAAAAAACTGGACTTGAACTGGTTGTAACCAGTTCAGAGGGAGACTGGTCGAAATACTGAAAAAGACTGCAGTCTTTGGTCTTTTTTGGTCCTGGTCCAGTCTTCTGAGGTTTTAGGAAATGTGTGGACTGGTCTTGGTCTTGGTCTTTTTGTTTTGGGCCAAAAAACTGGACTGGACTTTCAAGCACTACTCCTGACACCTGTTCATGCTGCAATTGCTGGCTGAGCAAATAATCTGTTATTCACACAAAGAAGACTTGAAATGACCTTCAAAGGTTTGTGTGTGTGTCACACTGTTGTTAGCTAAAGATAGATTTACTAATTTTTTATACACTCCAAGACCCCCCTACCTTGGGTCATGGCTTCAATTCCCAGTACTACCCCCTTGGCTGGAGCTATGCATGACAATTGAACAATGGTGCCATCTTGAAAACACAGGGAAAAAATTTGTTGGTGGGCTGGCTTTACATTGGATATGAGAACATTTGTGGATAGTTTGGCCTGATATCCAAGGGGGCTCCGGCATTGAAAAAAAAGACCCGGGGTCAATTTTTTTTTCCCTCAACTTTGGGTGGACTAACTAACTATGTAATCAGGCACATGTCCAAATATGGTAATATTAGTAATATTTTTACATCATCTCTGGCTTCACCTGCCTCCGTGTCCTTGAGCAGACTTCCTACACACTGTTCAAACTCATGTTGAGGTGCCTGCTCAACCCATAGTAGTTAGTAAGGTTGGGAAGAATACTGTTAAATCACATACCCATCAACTTCTATGGCCATTCTTTCTACACAACAGTGCATTCATGGTGCAATTTGGTCAGTTTGATAGATAAAATTGTTTATCATCAGAGTAACATATTTACCCTTGACACAAAGTGTTAAACCTGCATGTAGGTGATGCAATAGGGTGAGTAAGAGCTGCTGGATGTCTTTTGAATGCAGAAAACCAAGGACGGGGGTTCAGGAGGTGACCAAACATGTCACATTGCAACACAACCAAATAGTGTTCACGAAAATTTCGCAAAAATTGGTTGTGCACACTGCAAAGCAATATGCAGATCACTGTATATAGCAGGTATAGACACTTGATTTAAATCTATATGATGTTCTGAAGCAATCCTGAGCTCTAGTTGTGGAGACCTCCATTTTTTTTTTTCAGACCATCAGGTGGACTAACTAACCCAGAAGGTTCTGTATTCCGAGAGTCCGAACCGCTGCCGATCTGCCTGCCATCCGCCTTCTCAGAGTTCGCATGGCACCTGCTGCCACCAAACGCAGTCATGAGCCTCTTCTTGAGACTTGACAGTCACCATTGACCTTCTAGTGTTATCCGCCAAGTTTCCACTCCAAACCCAAACATGGGTGCCAGCAATCCAGTGCTCAACTGTGGGCCTGATGCTCAGCCTGTGACCCCTCATCGCCAACGCGAACCCCAGTGACCAGCTTGGCTTCGATTGGAAAGGTGCTGATGGCAGCAACTATGCTTCATCAGGAAACTGGTATTTTTCCATAGATCATGTGGTTCTATGGAGGTAGCATAGCCTCTGTAGGTCTCTGTAGGTGATGAGTGGTGGCAGCAATCTTTGTAGGTATGCATAGGTATTCAAACTAAGATACGGCAAGCTATCAAATTTTTACTGGGTTTCTCGCAAATCCGTACCCTTCCGGCGGCGTTCACACATTAGATTTGAATGATTGATCTCCGTGTATGTGTTATTGTTGCCTTGTTTATCTTCTCCCATGTCGTTTCAGTTTTTGTAGGTAGTAGGACAAAATCTAATACTTTTTCATTACAGCATATATAGAGTGACAATGAGGGTAAGTGAGGGCCGGGAATTCAACATATCAACAAGCTTGTTGTTGTGTAAGGTTTATTGAGGGTGTGTGCCAGAGGCGATAGAAGAAGGCATTGTCATGGTTGAGGATGGCATGTGCATTATTTAATGTAGCGGGTGATAGTGTTGTTGAGAGATCGACTATGCGCTCCTGCTGGTTGAGGGTGGGCAGAGGTTGTTTATTATTAACTTTATTGGCGAGTAAGTTACATGTAACAAAAAAGTAGTCGTGAAGTCTGTTCAAACTCTGACGTCATGTGATCATGTTGAATTCTATTCCTTCCCACCACCCTTTCTTCCCACCGTTCTTCCTTCCCACATCTGCATGCTTTCATCACTCCTCTCCCAATCAAACACTCTGTGTTAATGGCTTTTCTCTCTCAATTCGTGCCCGAGACCTGGCCTACAAATCCGAACGGTGAGCAACTACCTTTCATCACCACCAACCTCTCAACCACTCACCTCTACTCAGCTATGACCCAGTGGTCTGTTGTGATGATCCCGATGCCAACTCCACCCCATAAGTCTCTCTTATTGAGTCGATATTTCTGTTTTCCCCCCCGTCGAGGTCGAGCTTGGAATGGAATCAGTCTGCATCTCCTGCCTGTCTGTGTGGTCCAAGTTTCTTTCTTTCAGATTGAAAACTCACGGCTGTTCATTCTCAACTCACACGCATGTGCAACCTGGCCTACCAATTTGAAGGCTGGGCAACTACCTTCTATGGCCCTTTTGTCAGGGCTGAGCTCAAAGTTGAATCTGTTCGGATCCCCATCCGTGTGGTCCGAGTTTTTTTTTACTTTCAGAACAGTACTGGAAACTCACAGCTTTCTTTCTCAACTTGTGCCCACAACCTGGCCCACAAATTTGAATGGTGAGCAACTACTGTACTAATATGACCAACTGTTCAGGCCCCTTGGGGTGTGACACCTTTTGACCATCTCTTTGTTGCTTCATTGTCCTGTGTGATGCATGACAAAGAGTTTTTGCTCTTCGTCCACCACATATTTCTCAGACGGTTTGGCCCAGAAACCTGTCAATTTTTTTGGCTGGAAGGTAAGCATGCATTCCTCAAGTATAACATGATTCTAAATATGCCAAATGTGATGTTTAAAACAAGGCACTGCAGGTCCGGAAAAAAATGACTATTTTTAATTCAAAAAAAAACTCTTCAAAACTTGGTGGGATGCATGACATCACGCCTACTTCCCTTCCTTCACAACCCTTTGTGATGCGTGACGTGAAGACATGGTCGTATTAGTACAGTACCTTTCATCACCAACACCCTCTCAACCACTCACCTCCACTCAGCTGTCCCCCACTGGTCTTATTCAAATGGAGTTTGACAATGACACCTCAAAATTGGTACATCATTTGATAACAAACTTTCATTTATTTACAGTACAGGACCAAAGTCTACCCTGATATACCCTGTGTGCCACAAATACACTGCTCGAGAGTAGTATCCAATTTTGCCAACACTTTTCTATCATTCTATGCCAGCTGCTGAGGAGAAGAAGCAGAAACCTCGAGACAGGCACAAGCCCTATGCACCTCGTGGAGGGAATGGAGCTGTGTGAGTGTTTGGTGTGTCATCCACTCAGAGGCTCGCGGCGTGCCAACACTGCTTTTGGAACAATAATTGCGCAAATTGAGGCCTTATTGAGGGCTCATCTTCATGGATCAATCTACTCAGAAACCCCCTTTCCGGCAGAAACCCTAGGATTTCTGGTTGTCAGGTAGAACCCCCCCATCATCAACCCAAAGAAGTATTTATAGAAACCCTATGTCGGAGATGAATTAAGCAGTGCTAGACAAGTCGGTCTTTGAATTTTACATGTGACATAATCATCCGAAACGATGTCAAATGAGGAGAGAAATGGAAAATAGGGAGATGCAAACCTTGGACCATTCGGGCTCTTAATGGAGAGATCTAGTCACTCAATTGAAAGTGGAATTGCGAGGGAATTCAAAAGTTCTTACCATAGTTGAGGCGTGGGAATGGGCTGTCTGAATGCCAAAATGGAATGTTGGAGGGCCACTGCCGAGCCTCGAGGGAAGTTGGACCTCAAATATTTTGACCATCGGCCATCAGTGATTGCTTGTGGTACCCCAGGTTTCTGAAGTGGTTGGATAGAAACCTTGGGGTTTCACGTGGAAAGGGGGGTTTCTGGATAGTTTAATCCCATCTTCATGTTGTTCAAGTGAAATCAGCCTGACAAACTACTCTCAACTCTTTCTTCAGTAGTAACCTCTCTCCCATGGATGTTGATAGCCTGTAAATACGCAGTCTTTCCAGTTTTCGTCTTGCTACATAAAGGACATTTCGAAGTGTGACATTTTTTGGCTGAGGTCACAAATAGTCACATTTTGTGACATATTTCATCTTGCATAAATCTCACAATGCATAGAAAAAGTCGGGGACCGGCATTATGCATTGTGAGAATATCTACTGTACTAGAGTTTGACATTGTTCCAATGTCAACAAACACCTTGCTTGATCCATGGGTTGATTTTATTTTAATATATGTAGTTGATATTTTTATCAGTGTTGAACTTAAGGCTTAGGGGTTAATAAGGTTTAAGGCTTAAATTCATTCTAAGGCTAAGGGTTAGCATCAGTCAGAGTTTTCAATAGGTCTTAGTTAAGCCTTAGAAAGGTGTGCCAAGAGAATATGACTACTTGTGGTCACAAAAAGTAACAGGGCATGTGCTTGGGTGCACTCACACACCTCGCTCGACTTAGACAACAATTCTACATTTATGCATTAAGCCGGTAGGATATCCAGGAAAAAACTATACATTCACATTGAGGGAATATGAGAGATATTATCTACAAAATTAGAATTGGGTATGACCTCCTTTAGCTGCTAAAATGGGCTGCACACACCATCAACTTCACGACGCGCCAACTCATGTGCCCTGTTACTTTTTGTGACCACAAGTACTATGTGGAATAAATCAGATGGACAAATTGCAAATTTACTCTTGGAAACACTTTATCCCTGGCACCAAGCAAGTTGGGTCCCCTATCCATGCATACTTTTCTTTTCATGGCCAAAAAAAATCTGATATTGATGAGCAGGCTGCAGGTGAGGCAAAACCACTTTATCACTGGCACCCAGCAGAACCAGGTCCACATTCTTGTGCACTGTCATAGCTGAAAATAAACTGATAATTATTGATGGACAGTACAGATGACACAAAATCAGAGGTGGCAGTCATACATGGAGGAAGCCCAATTGATGACTTTTTGGCAGATGAGGAGGCAGATGAGGAGAGAATATGTACCAGAGAATATGTACCAGATGATAAGAAAATTAGAGGCCTTAGGTGATGATTTTGAAGGACCAACAAAATAATCTATTTTTAGGCAGAGCCTTAATAACCCCTTAGAATCAAGTCTTAATTAAGGCCTGTAACTAAGACCTAAGCCTTAGCCAAAATTCTGGGGGTTAATAACCCCTTAGAATCCAACACTGATTTTTATTGGATAAGTCGCATTAAAATTCTGAATTTAGAAAATTTGAGTCTCTCAGCAATGGATGATCAGCTTTGCTCTGTGTGCTGTTGGATGCTCCAGCGGCATCCGCACTGCCATCAAGTCCAGGCCTAGGATTAAATCTCTTTCTCTCACTAAGGTAACATTTTGTCAGGTGAGGGCATGCAGAGCTTCATGGGATATGATGTACTTATACCACTGCCTCCAACTGTGCCCAAGGCTCAAGACAACAGCAACTCAATATTAAGGGCTTGGACAAAGAACGATGGCGACTGAAAATGGTTGGGTGCTAAATACGGATCAAGATCAACCTAGCATAGATTATTTCAAGAGGGCTAGCTTATGTGTTGTAACCTGCACATAGATATAAATGAATTATGCATTTCATTTACTCTGTGTCTAGAAGTATATTTGCAAGTTTTTACGTCTATACTATTTAGCGATCTTTTACTCCATCGTAATACTCCCATCCCTTTCGAAGGTCACAGTGTGCGCGACGAGACTGTTGGGGAAGATGACTATAGGGATATCGAGTCCGATATCATTAAGGGATTCAAATGAAGTACTCACTGCTAACGGGTGTCATCTGTTGACAAAGGATTTCGTGGCTTGGGTCAAAGAAACAATCAGTGCGTCCATTTTCCAAGATGTGCATGGCCCAGCATTGCAAAAATAAGTTTTGGCCGCCTTGCACGAAGGCGAAAACCGTCGAGTGGCAAGACCGCCATAGTATCTATTCTTTAAGTAATCAAATGATGAAGTCTCTAAGAGCAAAAGATATCACAAAGTCATTTCATGACTTGATAGGTATTGAAACCAGGACATCTCATTTAACCATTGAGTCAGGATAACGATATATGTATCACAACTCAGTTTTTGAAAACAAACACTGAACAGTCTAGAGCGGTCCCTACGTTTCGGAAGTAATAAAATAGAGATACTATGACCTACCAGCACCTCGGCGCACCCTATGAGTTGGCAGTCACTGATTGTCACATATTTTGGCTGGACAAGCGTGACTCTCATTTTCCAAGTTGTCACACAACATCACACTTGTCCAGCCAAAATTTGTGACGATCAGTGACCGCCGACTCGTAGGGTGTACCGAGGTGCTGGTAGGTCATAGTATGACCTTGGGGAGGTACGCTTTGATGGCAAGCCCAACCATACAACATGTTGTACAGTCTAGAGTGGTCTACTACGTTTTGGATGTAATAAAATAGAGATATGACCTTGGGGAGGTACACTTTGATGGCAAGCCCAACCATACAACATGCTGTACAGTCTAGAGCGGTCTACTACGTTTCGGATGTAATAAAATGGATATATGACCTTGGGGGCCAGTACAACGGATTACATAATTATGACCGTGGAAATAGACCTTGACAAGCAAGGTAATCTCGACGCGACGCTTACTTCAAGAGCACGTGAGAACTGCCGTGACAATGCCGTGACCCCGTCCTTTGTCATCCTCATTTGACAATTGACCAATGACATCAACTTCGTCTAGCATCTCTTGCTCTTGTTCTTGGTTACCCACGGGCCACTGATTGTTGACGGGATTCCGGCGCTCAACATTTGACATTCAATCTTCGACACGTGTCTTTGTTCGAGTGGCACAAAGCAATGCGTCGGCCAAACGCGCCACAGCGCCGCCGCTTGGTGACGACCGACAAAGTCACGAGGTGGCATTGCGGCCACAAAGACAGGATGGCCTTACCCTCTGCTATCAACCCTACTTCAGCTCCAACCCTCACCATCTCTCCCCAACCTCTGCACTTTACCAGCCGCAATGCTCCAGACTACTCCTCCGTCTACCTCGACAAGTGAAGCCGTTCGGTCCAACTTACTTAAGGAGAACCTTGTCTATGTTAAGGAGTCTGAAGTCTACAGTATCTTTGAGACCACCTTCGTAGTTGGCCGAGTCTACTCCGAGGCTCAGATCATTCAAGAGCAGGTACTATCCTTTCTTTTTATCATCATCTCTTTGAAAGCCGACCCCAGCTTTACTACCAGGTCGAGAGCGGAACAAGGCTTACTGTCTTGACTGTTTTCCTCTCCCCCAGCGCCAACCTGAAAGATATCATGGGTCCTTACTTGACACGTATCGACCTGGCGGCACGGCACAGATTCATCTTTACGAAGTCTGGAGAAAGTCTGGTCATCGGGAGATTCAACGCCCAGGACTACGTCGAGTTGCAGAAATGCGATCCCATCCTGCAGGACGCCCGTTTCAAGACTCCTACCGAAATCTACGTGTTCTTTGAAGACCGCGACTGCCTTCTTGTTTCTGGAGATCCCGTTTTCAGTTTTCAAGGTCGCTTCCATCTGTTGCCCCCGTATGGAGGTGAATCCGAGTCGAAAAGCGACTATCATGCCTCCAAATCAGATGGCGCCTCTGCTGAGCACGCTGACGCAAGTGGGAGCGACTCCTGTTCCCCCGCTTCGGACGAGGCCGAAACGTCGGATACTACAGCGGCGTCTGAACAAGAGGGCGATCATGAGGAGAAGAATCTTGATCCTACCAGCTCTAGTTCTGGTGATCTCCCCTCTAAAGACAGCGAGTTATTGGGCACTATCGCGGAACCCGCGCCCGCCATCATTCAACACCACGTTGATAGCTCCTCCGGTGATGGTCAGCTTACCATTGAAGCTAATCAAGATTTGGACCTCCCCATTTTGATCGTGACATCTGCTGACCAGACTCCCTTTGTTTTTGCAGATCTTGACAACGGTAGGTCTGATGATGTTAACTCACTTACTGCTTTGCAAGGTTTATCTGTGGAGGCCCTTCGAGCTCACAATGCAGCCCTCGAGGCGGATGCCAATGTGATGTTCTTGTAAGTCGTGCTGACACTCTACTTCCTAGATTATAGATGGATCACCTCGAACTGTTGTCTGTATCGCTTGTCACGCTGCTTCACCCGTTTGTATCCACAATGATTAATGTGCTCATTATGTATTATTGATATTGTTGCAATGATTATGAAGTCTAACGCTCATGTCGTCCGAGCTTGATCAGTGCAATATATTGAAAATTTAGTAACGTTGAGAGCTTGATGTGACCTCTACCCATTCCAGCGCTCTTCTCACACGTTGAAGTTCCTCATCATCGCTGAACGCTGTCCACCTTTGCTCCTTCGGTTCCTGATGTCCTCGACGTAACATTTAGCTGTGATCTCCTATGTTTTCTTTAGTCCCGCTAAATAGTTTCCCTAGATTTGTACGCTTGTTCTAGCAAAGCTTGCTACAGCTTGCTTACAACCAAGTCAACATTCCTATCTTCTCTTTTTTTTCTCGCAACCAAGATCTCCTCTGCCCACCTGACCATCCCAGCAACCAGCCGGTCTACATCCGACGTGGTATTGCCTGCATGTAAGCAAACTCTTATTCGATCTTTGCCCTTGGGTACAGTCGGCCACGTTATGGGGCGGGCATTCATCCCAAGGGCAAGCAGGTATGCAGATAGAGGCCGAGGGTGGACTGTCATTATGGGTATGATTGGGGATGGCTCCGCGTCGGGGGTCAGGTGGCTTGGGAGGGAAAGAAGGTCCGGAGGTATCCTACTTTCTATCAACCGTGGGCGAAGGGTTCTAGAAAAGTATGTAGAGAGTGAGAGGAGCCTTGCTGATAGCTGTCCAAAAGCAACTTAGCCCGAATCTAGATGACTGCTACCCGACTCACATGTTGAGCAATACCGTTCGTTAGCATGTCAAAGGAGCTGTCCGCCGCGATGATGTTTGCGTAACTTAGAGAGGTCGTGTAGATTAGAGACCTGGCATAATTGAGCAGATAGTCACGAATCAATGCGTTGGTCAGAATAACGGCTGCAAAAAAGAAAGTAAAACGATAGGGAAGTTCTCGACGGAAACACTACTTACCCCCGGTGGCAGCCAAAGCTTTGCCAAAAGTGTGAAGCCTCGCGAGGACTTTTTCTTCCAGTCCCAACAACGCAACGCGACCTCGGCCTTGGGGTCCATAAATACCTGTGGAATGGGCCTCGTCCACAACAAGGTACCCATTGCCCTTTGGAAACAGCTCTTCCAGCAAATCCACGATCTCTTGAAGAGGTGCAAAGGTTCCATCCATGCTATAAAGACTCTCCACGGCTATAAAAAGACTCGCCTTTCCTGTTGTCAACTTCTCACAGCCTCCCAGTAGTCCCTCCAACACCATCCTCAGATCTTCGATAGAGTTATGCCTGAACGCAACTTGAGAATCCCGTTCAACGCGCGATGCATGCATCCCATCGTGTACCGACGCGTGAATGTACTCGTCGTACACGAGCACATCCCCCGGTTGGGGGACACACGAAAAAAATCCCACATTGGCATCGAAGCCCGAGTTGAACAGCAATGCGGCTTCGACGCCAAAAAATTCTGTCAGCCGAGCTTCGAATGCGCTGTGGGCAAGACCATTGACCAAGAGCCTTGATCCACCTGAACCTAAGACGTCTGGAGCTGCAGAGAGTTTCTCAAGGAAGCGGGTGCGCAAGGTGGACGAATTGGATAGGGACAGGTAGTCGTTTGAGTTAAAATCGATCAGAGGGGATGTTGATGAAGATGTGTTTGGATCAGGGAGTCGCCGCCTGATCCAACGAGCCTCGCGGGAAGCGAGGGCGGAGGTGAGTTTATCACGTAGATCGGATGAGGGTTTGCTCATCGCGAAACGCCCCGGAGGGATGTCAAAGGAATTTGATATGTTTTTTATTGACTCGGGTCCCCAAAGTCGTCGCAACGGACATTTGCATGCCGAGGCCCGAAAACCCTACGAAAACTAACGCATGTTTAGAACAACGACAAGGAAAGTGAAACGAACTGCATCTCAGTTTCAAGAACATCATATCTTGGGCAGCTTCAAGTCGGTCAAGGTTGTAGAGAGAAAAGTTAAATTACATCGTGCAATGCAGAAACGTATGTATGTACATAATCATCAGTTACGTCAAACTTTTCAGACTATTCTCCACCCAACGTGTCGTCGACGAATGGATGATAATTTTGCAATGCCCCGTTGAGGTCCTGAGCAATCTCAATCCTGCAATGCCTCAATTTCCGCAGTGCTCGTTTCAAGATATTTTTCATGGGAATCCTGATACGCAGCTAAATTCGAGAATACAAGTCAATTGAACCAAGTATTCGTAGGCCAAAATCAACGCTCCTTACTTGGTGTTTTTGCTAGAGCGCGATATCGTGCAATGACCTCGCGGTTGTGAGCGATTGCCGCCAATTGCGCGTGTCTGATAGTGCCTGTAGCATCCTAAGAGCAGAGTTCTGAAAGGGGGGATTGAAAACCAAACCAGAAAGGTGCACAACATTGGGAATATATCGGAATCCTGCGATTGATGTGAGGAGAGTAAGTCCAGCCCACGCAACTTGGTGGTGATCTCTCCCAACACGGATAATGCATATGTTTGTCGTGGGTGAAAAGTATTTTACTGGCAAGGCGTCAGCGATAGATGAGGGAGTATCAGATCTCAACTCACCAGTCAATGATAAAGCAACCGCGCCCCATCCAGTATCGCCAAAATTATTCTGAATGCTGTGTTTCAGCGCAGCCCAGATAATCTTCCCATCCAGCCGACTCGTTCCTGGCTTGGGTTTCTCGAGCTCGAGAGGTATGAATTCAACGAGGAGCCACCTGTTCTAACGACTGGTACTTTGAGCGATCACGCCGAATCTAGAGAAAGAGGTCTACAAACCTTGAAGCGGACCATTGCCTTGAATTGAATGTGAACTTTATCGAACTAACTTCAGGTGTGTGGGTTCATGAGCTTAGACAAGTTGACTTGCGCTGAAGGTGAATATGGTTGAAGGCAAAGGAATATATTTTTCCCACCCTGATTTGTTTTTCTAACGCTCATGAAAAAGCTTGCTCATGTCGGTACATGTTTCGCTGCACGTAGATTTATCTTTCGCATAATATTACATCTGACTTGCATTTGCCAGGGAACTGAGGCGGCGACTCTGTGGGAATCACTTGAAAAGTTCAGCCAATTCGCTTGCGGACGGAGACGAGAGTATCAGGTAGGGTACCAATCCAAAGTGCTACAGGACCAAGAACCGCTTCTTCTCCAGTCGAGTATCAAGGTCCACCCACGCAAAAATGGACGACGTCGATAGATGACCAGCGGACCTGATGCTTGTTATCTGGTGATTGAACACGCCACGAAAAAACTTCAACTCGCGATATCGGTTATGGGATCTTTCCTGTGCGATACACCAACGTTTAGGGGGCGGGGGTCTCATTTTCAGCCGCGGTGTAAATTGAAACCTGCATCGCTGGCGGTCCATTGTCGTTTCGAATCAAACGGTCTCCAAATTGATGAATTCTAACCGCCTTTCTTGCTTGGATATTTTTTTTCTGTCAACGCAAGATACTCACTCAGCCCGTGGGTGAACATATAAGAATACTTGGACAATAATTAGTACATGGGTCGTATGCGTTAATGGTCATGTCAGATCGTAAAACACTCATCGTCGTATCCTGCTCATTGCCATCCCTCCTCTCCCACTTTCCTTCCCCGATAATTACACTCCACCAAAAGTGGAACTAAATTTCCTCCTTCCGGTTCAACGAAATAATCCATAAGCGCCCAGCCCCTTAACCTGGGTTCTTCGGCATCTACAGGAAGACGTGTCATGTCCTCCTTGAATTCCTGCATCCCCTTCTCTCCAACATTCAGAGACAAATTAGCATCAGATGGGATCGGCTCCAGCCCTTCATGGTGCTTGCGTAACCACCGTGGACGTCGACGAACTGCCTTTACACTCTGAGTTCGTTTCTCCTCTGTTCCAGTGAGGATATCTAATAGCCAACGACCCACCCGGATATTCACTCCTTCCACCCCAAGTCCCAGGGCGGGCCAGCCAAACCCGCACGCGATAGTCGGAGGGAGAGCGAATGGGAAAGATGCTGCGGAGAAATAGGTGATCGACAATGTCGGCTGGGGGCAAGTGGGAGGCAAGAGAACCTCAGTAGCTCGAGCTACTTTCTCGGGTATCGATAGGAACGAGGGCACAGCGTACCTATCCAGTCATTTTGTTATTTATTTTATTTCATAGAGAAAGAGAAGAGATGTGCTCACCAATCATGAGTTCTAACAATAGTCCCTTTCAACTCCCACTCGAAACCCTCTTTCTCACTATCAGGCCACGTAGTGGGATGTATCCCAATCCCCTCGAGCCCCCCATCCCACTCCGCTCCATCTCCTCCAAAACGGCTGAATAATACAACTTTCCCCCTAACTTCTCCAAGTTGTGGTATCCGATTTTGCAAATAGTACATCCCGGTGTCGTGTGTTGACGTTGACCACCCCCCGGAGGAAGCCATCATTGTCTCCCTTACAAGCCGGGAGAAGAGCTTGGTGGGCGTTACGGCGAAGTCTTCTTGTTTGATGGACATGACAATGGTTTCGCGGGATCCTTCTGGCGATATGAGGAAGTTATGAATGGTTTGGAGGATGTTGGGGAAGGGAGTTCGTTGTGGGTATAGGCCATGGTATGCTATTAGTTGGTGTTTGGGCGTTGGCGCCGTAGCAGTCGTTCCAGAAGAGGTGGATGAGGGGCTCATGGTGGTGATGACTGCCAGACGGATGTCTATGACGCGAATTCCTGATTGGAGTTGCGATGCGAGGGGTGTTGCGGGGGTTTGGCATTGCGATATGGGCCAGCCATAGAATGCCATCCTGGGTTAGGTGGAGGTTGGAGATACGTTGCCTGGGACGAGGTGTACTTACGTGTCGTGGGTTCCTGGGAGGAGGAGGGCCGAAAGAGATAAACTGTCTGGCATGTCGGATAGGAAGGACGCCAGGCTCCTCCTTGGTATAATGAGAAGATTGCAGTGAGAGGGTTCAACCTGAGGAACGCAATGAGGGCTGGAGGAAGAATGACAGAAAAGCGCACACCTTGGTGCAGTATATCCTCCATGGATAGTGAGCGGGCATTGAGACGGCTTTCCATGAAGTGCCCCTCAGGCTGGGAAGGCGGACTACAAAAGGTTCAGAGTCGCCATGGGGTGTAGAGAGAACAAGTTGGGCTTTTGCTTTGACAGCGGGTAGGGTTGTAAGGAGAGATTGTGGAGCGAGGATGGCAGTTGTGTTGGTAGAAAGTAAGATATCTTCTGTGGTCAAGTTGCAAATACTGACCCTCATGATGAGCAGAAGTAGACCTTGTTGGCACATCGGCCCGAGGTGCCTCTTTGCGTCTCTTCACCATGCCTTCTCTCGAACTCGTCACAAACGTCAAGGTAACCCGACTTTTATATCTGTATAACCCCACCATCTTGAACATCATGATATAGCTTGCAGATCCCAAGGCGTTTGCCCTTGATTTCTCAAAAGTGACACACCACTACGTCGCCAAGCGCAGAAGTTCTAACCATTGTACCTCAAGGTCGGCGCAGAGACACTCGGAAAGCCGGAAGGCTATATTACAGTCAACATCACGTACAACGAGACACTCACCTTTGCCGGCACCTTCGATCCCGCGTATGTCCTCAGCATCGTAAGCGATCCATAGTGTTCCACCAAATTCTACATCAGTGGATCATCGACTCCCGTAGATAAGCCTCGACAACCTCAATCCAGAAGCGAATGAACGCTACAGCAAGGTCTTGTCTGAGTACTTTGCAAAGAAACTTGGCGCTCCTTCGGACAGGGGATACATCGCCTTCATTGATCCTGGCAGAGCAAACATTGGGTACGTAGTCCACACATTTGGGGTGTCATACGTTTATTGAGATTTTTGGATTGCTAGCTACAAGGGAACCACGTTTGCTACGATTTTTGGAAAGCAGTAGAAAACTAGAGATAAGATAAGATGTTAAATGTTGCACTGCCACAACGCACAATGCTGTTGACCTATGTTTGATTACTGCCGGGTCATGCCGCATAGCCGAACTTTTCGGAGTTTCCGTTACCCAGATGTCCTCCTCGATTGCACCATTTACACCAGCATGCCAGTCGATCCTTGGCATTTATATTTAATTTCGGACGCTCATTCATAACTCATTCCATTCTTTATTCGCCTTAACGCAAGATGATGCTCACTGGCCCCGTTCTGGGAGCCGTCCTCCAGCTCGCGTCAGCCCCCTCACAGCTCTTCTCCCCCCTCATCCCACAAAAGGTCCTCGCCACATTCAACGCGCTCCCCTCACCCGTCCAATACCCTCAATACACCGACACCACCACGGGGAAATGGCAGTACTTCACACCTTGGACATGGACTTCTGGGTTTTTTCCTGTTACAGGTTACGCGCTCAACACGAGGAAGACGCTCTGTGGCGGCACGCCGGCCAACGGACTTGGCGTTGCAGATTGGCTGGCGCTGGGTCGATCAGCTAGTACAGGGCTGATTGGGCTGGATGCGAGTCATGGAATTGGACACGATGTTGGGTTCCTAAGCTTCCCATTCGTGGAAGAATTGACTATGTACGTTTAGCACATATCCCTGTTATAGTTACTTTGCTCATCCTTGTTCAGAAACCCAACGAACGCGACCGCCATTGCGGCGATTAACAGGTTCGCCACTGACCTCGCAAGCCGTTTCAATGTCAAGGTTGGATGCACGCGTAGCTGGAACACAACGGACCCCACAGATTTCCCGGTATGTTTCTAATATTCATTTAAGCTTCAGATACGGTTCTAGCGGCTGGCAGGTGATCATCGACAACATGATAAATCTCGAGGTTCTCTTCCGTTCCGCAGATTTGACGGGAAACAATACTCTGAGAAATATAGCAATCTCGCATGCAAACACGACCATGCTGAACCATATCAGACCTGATGGTGCGCATCGTCATGTTTATCCGTAAAATGATGGTTTTAACGCGATGCAGGCTCTACCTGGCATGTCGTGGAATACAATACGACAACCGGTATTGTTATCAAGAAGCGGACTCAACAAGGATACTCCGATACCAGCACCTGGGCTCGTGGGCAAGCATGGGGGATATACGGGTTTGCGAATAGTACGTCTAGGTCACAAATTGGCTGAATTCAGCTCACATTTCGATAACTCAGTGTACCGTCTCACCGGCGACGTGAACTACCTGGCGACATCCCGTAGACTAGCAACATATTTCCTTCGAAATTTACCAGCTGATGGGATTGTTCCTTGGTGCGCCCTTACGAGCTCCATCTGCTGTATACCTAATATTCCAACGACAGGGATTTCAATGCACCTTTGACACCTGCGCCGCGCCCCGCGGATTCTTCAGCTGCAACCGTCGCCGCGACTGCCTTGCTTCTACTCGCGAGATCTGAACCGACTCCTGCTGCAGCCAAACCATGGAGTGACGCTGCTATTCAGGTTTGTCATTACTCTCTTTCCACAGGTCTGCATCAATTTAACGAGGAATGATTAGATTTTGAACAATATTACCACCCTCGCGTGGCGTCCTTCATGGCAAAGTCTGCTAGCCAATGGGACGGTCAATATGCCTGCCAACAATTCCCTGACTGGTATTGTCTACGGTACGAATTCATCATTTCTCCGTTTCACGGGTAGGCTAATTGCACATCTAGGGGATTATTATTATATCAAGGCTGGAAACGATCTCATTTCGATGGGCCTGGCCAAATGCACTTGATGTGTATGACGGAACTAGAGTGATCTATAACAAGTCTGGATACTAGAACCACTGGGACCATAGACGACAAGCGTTAACCCCGCGCTTGAAGGTGGACTTTGGACTTTCAAAATTAATGATCATGTCCTGTTATTGTAAGAAATCCAAAGGAATACAAACGAGTCATTTTCTATACAGCCCTTCCAATCAGTCTATGACTAGCCAACACAATCAAGCATAATTAAGGCGGAAGATATCGTTGAACCTGAAGAAAGACCTCAATCAAGCAGTTCGACTGGACTCAAATGCGATCTTACACATAGTAACTCGCGCCGTCGGGGATGAGTTGGAAAACCTGGCTGAATTGCAGAGGGTTCGGCGAGTCGTCAACCTAGCAGGACAAAGGGTGAAAAAAAGGGTCAAGAAGTTTGAAAATCGGACGCACGAGCAACAGTCCCGTCACGCTAACAAGTAGACTCGCCAGAGTTGGTGATGATGGTTGAGCATCGATGGTGGTGACTTTATGTTGAACCTTCTGAAAGGGCAGATTCTGGGGAAAATCAGATGTCTGCATCATCCGATTCGCATAAATTGGGTTCATACCACCAATTTTTCAACGATGGCCTTGTCACCCTGGATCGGCGCGCCCTCGAACGTGAGCATGGAGTGTTCGCGCTAAGGAGAGATGCGATCAGTGAGGATCGCAAGAGATTTGAGTTGGGGGTTTGTGCACATAAAGACTCCCGAGGTTCTGACGACCCGAAGAGAAGGTCTGGTAGTAGAAATCCGTAAATTGTTTCGCGACTGCGTTTGGATCTACTGCCATGGTGGTGAAGAGAAAGAATAATCAAAGATGCAAGAAGAGCACGTGAATGGCAATTACTATAGTTGCTGGTCGCTTGGCATTGAACCACAATGTCCCATTTCTCAGAACAACCACGACCTACCATGCGTCGAAAATCTTCGGCGCAGAACCTCCTATCTTCTTTCAAATCATCAGCATCGTCCGCACCCGTCAATATTGCCTCTTCATCGGCCGCCTCGTCCTCTGGCGTCCCATATTCCCCACCTAATGGAAACACCCCTGTTTCGACCACACCGCTTGCACGGGAATGGGACGCTCAGTCCATGCACTCTGACGGGTTGGGAGGCGCGGGAAGTCCGGCCCTCACGCAGGGAACATCGGTTGAGTATCTGAGAGACCTTGTTCAAAAGAGGATAATCACGCTCACTTACATTCGGAATATTCATGAGGGGTGCGTGCATTTCTACGTGTAAGCTCAGTGCGGGAAGTGACTCCGCCTTGTACCCAGGCGAAGTCACTGGTTTCATACGATACTTATAACTCGTGCAGAGCTCGACAAGGTGTTCAACAACGTTGACATGAAAAAACGGTAATCCATTTTCCTGATTTTGGGCTTCTTCGGACGCTGATTACGGCACAGAACGTATCGTTTCGCCATCCTCGGTTTATCACTCTCCAATCTCCTTGATATAAACCAACCGCAAGATCTGCTTCGTGGGCTCCTCAACACCATCACTGAATACGATCAGGCGAAGGAGGACGGGGAGAAGCCTAAGATTGTATGTTCCTATTTCAATTTAGACGATCGCTATTCATATTAACGCGACACCACCGAAGCGTTTGTTCAAAGCCAAGAACGCGAAAAAAGGCACATCCGGCATAGCAGAATATACATATACAGGATCACATGTCGACTCGTCGGAAGCCTCCTACCTCTTCACACCTCAGATAGTGCGTTCTACTGTTTTCTTCATCTTTTTCACCATACCCACAGAATGAAAAGCCGTTTCCATTAGACTACCATCAAAGCCTCTTATCTCTCCTCGACGTCCTATCCGAAGTGTACAACAAGATCTCCAAACTCCTTGGCCCCTCCCCCTTCCCCCATTCCTCCCAACACATGATGGGTACCCTGGGTCTGCTCACGCCCCATCCAGGCGTATCATATCTCTTCTCAGGCGATTCTAATACGAACACAAACCATCACTCCAATCCAAACCTACTACTGCCACCCCCTGTGCCTGAGAGCGAGATGAGCGGAAGCTTATGGGGTATTGCCAATGCGAGCGTCACGGCGGGGGCGGGAGCTGGTCACAATGGTCCGTTCATGCACGGGAGCGCGCTGGCAAGTCCCCCAGCGTCGGGATGGACATCAGGGCTTGGCGATATGGTGTTGAAGATCGACGGGAAACTCAAGGTTCGTCTCCTCTTTTCCTTATCGCGTCGAGGCTCAGAACGATTTTTTCCACAGAAAATTACATCCACTCTGTTAAAAGACCTCGACGCGTTTGCGCGGAACGGAATAAAAGACGAATTGGCTTCGCTTGATCCGCTGCTGCGGAACATTAAGATTCCGGACGACACCGGTGCGGGGGGTGGGAAGATCGTTTATGATTTTGAGGGGATGTGAAGGAGGAGCTCGGACATGAAGGAGGACACCTGAAGAGGACGACGGATTCAATTTCGCCAATGACGAAACCTTGGAAGGGCGCTAAAGTTGCTGCCGTAACTCTCTAACCTTAAGCAGGGGAAAGAGGCTTGGCCCTGACGGCACTTCGAGTTGCTGACTCACGCCCGGCACCTGTTGGATATCATAGAGCGCGGCTCCATGGTACTCAACAGGAGCAACTATCCAATGCGACGAGGGATCTCAACGTTCGCTCTTCTTCAGACGGAAAGTACCGTGTGTGGCATTACGACCTTGACTCGAAAAGATATGTGAAAATAATACATATATGAGAGATCAGTTCCCAGCCCACCCTTTCGGCTGATCATTGAGAAAGGCATTAGTTCTGCAATTCAAAGACGAAAGACGACCGAGACCCACTTTGACCTCGTCTCCCAGGCGTCTCACTCCCATCCACGGCGTTTTGACGTGCTTCAACCCCTCCTCGCCCTCGTCCCAGGTATAGCTCGCCCCAACAGCAATCTTCGTCCCATCACAGTTGAACGCTATCGCCGAGACGGGGTTGGGAAATTTAGGGTATTGGCGAAGGCGTTTCTTGACTTTATGGTCCCAGATAGATACTGTCCCGTCAGAGCCTGCAGAGGCAAAGGTATTGTACCTGTCGGACCGTTCAATAACATGAGCAGAAATTTTTAAAAAGGTGGTGGAACATACGTTGGGTGGAAGGCGAGCGCGTTGACGGGCCATACGTGGTCTACGTCGTTGATTGTCTGTCTGTGGCATTTGAACGCGTATCTTTTTTCTTGGGCGGCGGGTGAAGGGTCGAAATATTCTACGGCTATCCGGCCCTCTACCGACGCTGTCGCATAACCTTACCATCAAAAGCGGTGAGAAAAATGCAACGAAGAAAGGGAGTCAGCACCAAAACAGACCTTGACCGTCAGGCATACATGCCAACGACCGTGTCATGTACTTCAAACTGCTCTCCCTCTGCTGCGCGGGAATGTCCATCTTCCTGATATCGTAGATGTGGAAAAGGCGGCTGGCCATCGCAACGACGAGGGTGTGGTTCACGAGGTCAAGGGTGTAAACGCGCTCTGGAGTTTCATGCGAGCTTTGTTGGTGCGTTTGGGCTCGGGGATCCCAGAATCGGATGGTGCGGTCCCAAGAGCCAGTGATAAGAAGATCTGGGCGCGCATTTGATGATGAGAAGGGGAACGTGGTAGACGTGCGACGTACTGTTTGCTTGAGAGAAAGACATAGAGGAGATACTGTCGTTGTGAGTCCCGAGGTTGGTCATTCTTTCTGTGGAGAGATCGAGTCTGCGACGGTGGAGTAAGTAATATGTATACGGGTATGAAAATAAGACGACGACGTACTCTCTAACAGAGGTGTCTAGGCCTCCACTGTAGCCATGCGTAGCGTCCGAGAAACAGCAAGCCAATACTGGTGCACGGTGATCGAACTTTGCTTTAGCTTCGCTCTCCTTAACACCCCTCTCTCCAACTTGGTAAAAGCGGACAGTCTATGAGAATACGGTGAATAAGTGCATAGCACATGTAGGCATTGAATATACCGTGTCCCATGAAGAAACGAGGAGTTGATTTGGGTCGGTAGGTGAGTAGCGGATTGAGGAAATGGTGTCGAATGGGAGTGATGGTATCGTTGTGTAGCTAGCGTCATCTGAAAAAGATGTATGAATAGTGGCAATGAATATTGGAGCGCATTTCCTTACCCATACTTGCAAGTTGCAAGATGAATGTGGACTAGAAGAGTAGTTTGCACTTGTTATTTCCAAAAGATCAATGCATTTAACGTTGGACAAAACGCGCAAGCGACAGGTTGGATACAAATAATAGTATAATAATCAAAGCCGTCAGTTTTATGCTGAGGACTTACAGGTGGGGCCTGAGGATCCAGAACTGCAACCCAAATGTCAGCATCAGAATCCAGACCCACCTCAAAATCAAACAAGCTTCAGCCAGCAAGCCTGTTCAATCATATGCCTATCTATAAACAAAGTTATCAGTGAATGTTGTAGGCGACTCGACCGTCAAAAGTCAACTTCTACGAGCAGCTGTTGAAGTCCGTGACGACAGAGTCTTCATTGTCGGTTTGCTCAACCGTGCCATTCGGAGAACGACACGTCGACGCATCTTCAGAATCTTCGTAGTCTGATATATCTATATAGTGGTCTAAACCAATGTCAGCTTTAGCCACATACTTTGTTATTGTAAGAAAGCTCACCCCAATTTATATCCTCTACGACTGTGTCGTCGTCAGTTTCAATGTCAACTTCAACAATCGCGTCGGCGAGCTTTCCCTTGGTCGCTGCATTGCAGGGAACATCGTTGACGGCGTGGCCGGATGCCTGAGCGGAAGTAGATTCTTGACCTGACACGGGCGCCGCCACAGACAGAGCGGCATGAAGAGTTTGCAGGACATCCTTGAACTCCTGGTATGAGAATATAGACATGAACGGCTGATACATTGCAGCGACGAGCGGATGAGCTTGGATGTCGGCCATGGTCGTCGAGTGGAACCGTCCGCGGAAAACAAACTCAGAAGGAACGCCTGGAATCCAGTAATCAAGTTGCACAAACACGTAAAGCTCGTCTGGGAGTTTCTTTCCACTGGATCGAAATTTTCGGACTAGAGGATCGTGGCTCATGAGCTCGACAACTTCCAAGTCATTTTCTTTCCACCAGAGCACGGTCCCATTGCGTAAATTATTGTCTGCTTCAGGCCCAACGCGAAGTTTTGAAGTGATGCATCGTTTCGCCGTAGCCTTCTTAAGGCGCTTCGAACTTCCGCACTTGACTTTGCAGGGACCAACAAAGATCATCAAAATTGTGGTTTGCGCTGAGGCTTCAAGCTGAGGCAATCCAGCCGAGTAAGCACTGAAAGGAAAGGAAGAAGGAAAGACGCGATACTGACATGTATTTGCTCGATCAAGTCCTGGTAATAGCTTTGACCGATTTTGAACTCGCTGTGTCCAACGGGACGTTCATGAACGTAAAGGGAACCAAGAGCTGGCATGTCTGCAAGTTGTCGTTGTGAGAGGGAGAAATGGCCAGTGGCAATAATGAGGGAAGAGTAGATGAGAGGGACACACACAACGCGCCCATTTATACGGGACGATGCCACAATTAAGTGGTGCCTTTGTTGAGCAAAGCGGTGGCCAGAGTCCAGACAACCTCCCTTTGTCCAACGTCATGTGGCTCAGTGGTGGCAGAAAGATCAAATTTAGACTCTAAAAGCACCACGACCGTCGGGCGCGCCTCGTGGGGAAGGAAAACATTGCACAAGGATCAACGGCCGAGCATCTGTGGGTCTGTGCATCCAGAGCTTGATAGAAGAGAAAACACCAAGCGATTATCTCAAGTGACGAAATGGCTTCGATTCATTCAGGAAACTAGCGCAAGTTTCAACGAGCCGTGAAGAGGTCGTAAGTAGCAACTTCGACATCGCAACTGTGCAGTGAGCAGGATGGGAGTCAAGCAAGAGTAAATTGCACCTGTTACATATTTCCAAAACAAATTCAAGCCAATAGACTGTAGTCAAGTACATACATCCTTCACAATCTCAGTAATGCTTCCTTCTCCTGCATGCGCACTTGCTCTAACATATGAGGTTGAGAAAGACTAGAGCAGCCGCTTGCGCTTATTACAACTGCAGTTCCTGGCCCCGCATGTGCAGTCGTTGAGAGCGTGTGTGTGCTTAAGAAGTCGATCAGGAGCTGGAAAAGACGGTCAATAGGCTCGACTCACTTCCACCATGATTATGATAGTATTCGCTTAGGTGGTTAGGGTGGTGGTAGGTGGTCTGGAGATGGATTGAAGCCTTTCACAGGTCTTTTTATAACGCTAAAGTTTCATGTTCCGGCATTGGAGTCCCGTCATGGGACTCGCAGTCTGTCATGAGTCCAGTAGCATAACGGGCGCCAGGCGGAGCATGGAGATTAGCAGGCTGGGCATTGACTTTGGTGTGGAGAGGTGTGGAGGTGATGGTTGTGATCAGGTGGAGGCCGAGGCTGTGATTAGGTGAGCAGCCATAGCTGAGAACCTTGTTCAGAAAAACTGTGCAGCTCGCCGGAAACATGCAGGTAGCCTCCAGCTCCTTGGTTCCTACCACCACATACCCGGCATATCACAATTCATATTATCCAGCGCTAACAGGTATACAATTTTAGTCTTCTTTTGATCATTCAGTCCTGACTCTTAAGCAGCCCCTCAAGACTTTGATCTTAAGCGACAATATCTCGCTCTACTTCCGCCCCAACAGATAATCGAAATATGCCTCACATTCGACGCATACGTACCTCCCTATGCCAAAACTACCATCTGGCCACCTGATATCAACGCTGCCATCGCAGCGTTGCAAAAGCCGCCCCCGACAGATGATTCGCAAACACCTGCGGGCCCACAAACGACGGCAATCATGGATTCGCTAGGACCATCCGCCAACGCCCCATCCGCGCCCTCCAAAGCTGCAGAATCACCCAGCGAACCGCAGCCTCCTGACAGAGAGGCCTCAGCGACCCCCGGCCCATCAAGCGCGCCCGTCGCGTCGACCAGTACCGCTGACCAAAATTCAACAGCGACTCGACCCGTTTACCCGCAGCAACCTTATGGATATGGGCATTCACAAACGGCTTATCCTCACGCACCGTATTATCCGCCACCGCCCGCAGGTTATCCTTATCCGTCATATCCTGGGTATCCACCCATGTCGAACGGGTACACCGCGCAAGGATACCCACCTACAGCGACATCATTGTATAACACATCTGCGCTCGCGCAGGGACCAGACGGTCCTCATGCGGACGATCTGCCTAGCTATGAGGAAATGATTGTTGAGGCTCTGACAGATAGCGGCGACCCTGAGGGATGTGCACCCAAGGACCTCTTTTTCTGGATGGCATCTCGATATCCTCTTCAGTCTAACTTTCGACCATCAGCTAGCCAGGCGCTTCAAAAAGCTTTCAAGCGTGGTCGGTTCGAGAAAAGCAGCGGTGGAAAATATCGATTAAACGCTACATGGGAAGGGGGCAGTGTACGTTTCTCGGTTTTAATTCGAATTATCTTATGATACTGACTTTTATCAGACTACCCGCCGTACGACTCGGAGACCGCAAACCCACAGCCAACCGCAAGCAGCGGGCGCTACGTCCGGATCACCATTTACACATGCTCCGCTCGTTCACCATCATTCTACGACTGCGCAAGCTCAGCAGCCGTATCAAAATTCGTACGGCTACCCATACTCACACTATGGGTACCCGCCACAGCCACAGGCAACCCCAGCACCACAACCTGAAAAACCGCCAGCGCCACCACCTACAACGGGAGACGTTTCCGATGCCTACGAGGCGGCGCAGAACATTCTCAAAGCTATCAATTTTGGGAATTTGTTACAGCTACCCCCAGAGGAGACGAACGATGGCGCTACGCCCGACCAGCCGCCTTCTTCTCCGCCGAAGGAAAATAATGTTTCAGCGATGCCAACTTCGCCGGCTGATGTTCCTGTTGAGCAACCACACCCGCGCGCAGAGCTTCAAGCGCATTTGGCACTGTTGGTGGCACAGCTAGCTGAGCTGGCCCAGGCTGATGGTGAGTGGTTGATGCAGGAGGTGGACCCGCCACCGCCAGTGGTACAACCGCCACCTCCGGCACCGCCGCCAGTGGTGCTGCCTCCGCCTCCAGCACTACCTCCGCCGGTTCTAGCTGTGCCAGAAGAGGATGAGGATAGCGATGACGGTGATATGGAGGAGGTTGCTTAATTATTTATCATTATGGCACTTTTCAGGATCACATTACTATACTTATTTTACGGAAATTGTATAAATTCTCCATCAAGATGTTACAGAGTAAGTATGAATGTGTTCGGACTGAGACTAGTACTGTAGTAGCTTTGGGTGCGTGACAGAGCCTGAATTTTCTCATGTGATGTGACAATCGCGTTGCGCCCAAGCGTGTCAGAATCAACTATCGACCAAAGACAGCATTCAGAGTTCTGTGCTCATATTCAACTCAAATCTGAGTAGCTTCAGGCATTTCCTTGATAATTATGCCTTTTGGGGTCTCTGCGAGCGACGACACGAAACCAGCAAACGACTTTCTCCTCGCCGACGTCCCAGACCCCACAGATTTTCTCCCTGCAGCGGAAGCGCCAGGTCTACGAAGCATTGACGGGGCTTTTCGATGCACTATCTGTGGGGAGCTCTTCGATGGCCCAGTAACTCTTCCTTGTGGCCATTGCTTTTGCTCGGGCGTGAGTGACGACCAAGCCACCTCTGGTCTGCACTTCACCGACACCTTTCTTCCATCAGTGTATACGACCAGCAATGTCTCATAAGCAAGAGTGTCCTATTTGCCGTAAAGTTGCAAACGAGGGTCACCTTAGACCCAATCCAATTGTGGAGGAAATCATAAATGGCTGGAAGGACGCCAGGTACGTATGTGAGCTGATGGGTTTACCTTATCTTGCTAATGTACGAAGCTCTCAGGCCATATATACTGTCTCTTGTGAAGCAAGAGGCCCGAAGAAAGGTGGCTGACCAACCGGAAGTTCACGCCAGCCCCGCTAAAAAGCGCAAGAGAAGTCAAGAGAGGAGTTCTAGTGAACTTGGCAGCGTTCCTGGACTACCTCACACACCCATCAAACCTCGTTCCTTCAAGAAAATGTCGCATTCCCCCTCAAAGCCAAACCCAGTCAAATATCCGTCCGACGGCGGCGCAGGTCCGTCTAGGATACCAACGTCTGATGGGGACGAGGAGGATCTTCCAAGTACCCTGGGGCTCAATCCAAAATGTATGCAGTACCTCGTTTATTTCAATCGAACAAGAAGCTAATGGGAGTTTTCAGCTGACGACCTTGTCAAGTGTCCTTTATGCGAAAAACGAGTCCGTTACAAGAACCTAAACGGTCATATGGACCGCAGTTGTAAGGACCCTGTGCCCGTCAGCAGCTCTTCGCAGTGGTCGAAAATCATGGCACCGAAGGGCAACGCAAGAGGAAAACAAAAGTATGCCTGAAAAAAGGTTGCTTGGTAAATCGTCTGATGTTGTATCCATATTCAGGAAGAAAAGCAGTGAGACGGACGAGGACTTTCCCCTTCCAAAGGCATCATACGCCACCCTGAAGGACAAGCAGCTTAAGGAAATGCTACAGGAACACGATCTTCCAATAACTGGTGACCGTCCACAATGGGAACAACGACATCAACGGTAGGACATACCCTTTCTTATCTTATAGGAGGTGGGTTCACGACTTCATAATATTATCATTCAGGTGGGTTATGATGTACAACGCGAATCTGGATCGATCGCTTGCCAATAGGAAGACAAAAAATGAACTTCGACGCGATGTTAAGAAATGGGAAGAAGAGATGTCCAGGAAGAAAAAACCTGTCGTCGAAGACTTGGTAAAATATCAGGTAAGGGTTGGTGTACATATTCATAATGCTGTCTTTCTAATGTCACCTGCTAAATGACAAATCAGCAAACCCACAAACCAGAGTTCGACAGGCTTCTTAAGCTAGCCAAAAGTACCAGAGATAAATCGGCGCTTGAACCTAACGCGGCACCCTCGTCATCAGACGATAACCATAAACCCGTGTCCACGGACGCATCCTTAGTTGGACCGCCTTCTTCAATGACAGGTGTGGACGATGTTATCGATTTGAATTCCGACAAGGAATAGTTGACGTTTACATAACGTATTTTTTTCTTTGTTCTTTATCTCCCAATTCTATCGTTGGCGATGGCAGCTTTTTAGGAAAAGACCGAGATTCGGCAACGAGTGGGGCGTACACAAGCGTCCTTCGTATGGTTAAGGATTACAAGACCTGAAGATTGCGCTTAACGATCAAAAGGCAGGTGCTTGACCTCGATACGTATATCGTTTGGTGAGTTGAACCGATGCGCCTAAATTGGACGTATGGGAGGCAGTCACGATCCACCAGGAGGGGTACGTAACTCTAATTTCCGATTTTCCTATCTTGATGGTCGCCCACATACAGCTTACAAAGGCCAAGGGTTTGCGTTCGGCCAGCGCGAGAGTGACCACGTTGAAAAGAACAACTGATTTCAAAATCAGCAAACAGACGTTAACAAGACTGCCAAAAGGACGAGATCCTCGCAAGTCGAACTCACAAAGACAAACGAGTGTCCCTCGACGCAAGACCGATACACCCCGCGTTGATACCAAAGGATCATGAGCAAGCACCAAAACCAAAACCCAAGAGCTACATAGACACGCCACGCCCCCCTTGGAGGATGAAAGTCCGACTCGGAAGAGGGACCCTGAGTGCTAACATTGACCACTAGGCCTGACGCCCAAGCGCCTTGTCACTCCGGTTCAATGGTAAATCCCCTGAGAGGATAACCTAGGGTAACGTATTCCCTGTTTACCGCGAGCAATCTAAGAGAAAGAATTGCTACTTGATTCTTGAACGCAGGGGGTTCGAGGGAGCAAGGTCCGAGATCCGACTCTCAGATAGCGTTGGGATCAAGTTGGGATGGCGCGTGGGGGCGCGTGACGCTGATATCCCTGGCAGACAAGGCAGACGACTGAGTTTAACCAGGTTTAACCTGAGTTGTGGAATGCAGGTGCCCACAAAGGTTCCAGTCAAGCTTGCGTTACGCCGGTTCAAGGAACAAGTTCTTGTTGTCCGAGTGAAATTTGAAAGTGATGTAACAGTTCCCCCACCTCGACCGTTAACCATTGGCCCCCGTATGGACAATGTGAGATTGATGTTGGATATATTTCTCCCAGCCCAGCGTTAGCCCTTTTGTCGTTGTTCTTCGGGTTGAATCGGATGCCGATCAATCCCAAAAAGGCAAGTCTTGTAAAGGGAGTTCAACCGGTCTCCACGTGGGTCGATCCGTGGGATCGTGGTTTGTACTCCATTAGGCAGTCGCCCGACACTACATATGGAACCCTATCCAGGTCCCATTCAATTCTCGCCTGCCCTTCCCACCTTCCTGGTTGCGCGCCTTGCGTATATCTTACATTCATTCCTACACCCTCTTTCCTAATGTCGTCGGACCATTCAACAGTACGTCTCCTAAATATACCTTTTGAGCGCTAACCAACTTTGCATTTTGTAGCTTTCCTACGAGAAATCAAGGACCATTGTAAGATCGTTTATTTCACCTTGCACAAACTAGACGTTAATTATTATTCAGGATGGGCAACCCATGCGAGGTACACACAAAGTGAAATATCACCCAAGCGCAGAGTGGGATTTCCAGTTGGACAGCGAACATCTACCTATCGATCTCTCGCTGATCCTGCCTCATTACCGCGCGCGAAGTCAGCCAATTGAACACCGCATGGCGATGTTCGCCGAGTCTCGATCAAGCCCTGTCAAGTTGAAAGTGGTGCGTTTTGCTTGACGGGAACGCCCAACTCCGGACTAAACGAATCACCCCAGTGCCGGAACTCTCCTCGGACTAGATTCTACCTTGAAGTACAAGGCGGCGCATCAGATGTCACCCTCTGGCTTCCCTCGGATTTCAAAGGACGGATACACCACGCGGGAAAGGCCACGTTTTCTGCTGGGTTTATCAACCGGATTTTGCGGAGGGCTCGCGTGAACGAGCCACATGGGGAGGAACGTCACGATGAAGACGAGGTCGTCGTGATAACACGTGGGCGCATCACATTCAAAATGTGGGACGTACAAACGTCTTCGCCCGAGAATACCCACAAAGAGTCACTAAAAAGAATTTTTGGTTGCTCTTGGAAAGCACCTGAGACAGTCATCGATTGGGACTTCTTGCTAAAAGATTAACCCTTCGGAGTTGATTTTGTCCTTTCCCTGTCCGCAATTTCTCCGGCCTGCTGCCTTCCATTCATCACTCTTTTTATTACGGCCTTCACATCCGTCTCATCACATTCCCTGCACTCATACATTTCGTTCGTGTCCGATCCCTTCAACATCACATACTGTAGCACTAGCACCAGATTCGACCTGTAGCCTCATATACCTTCCCTCACATTGTAGCACAAGCTCTCACCTATGCCTCTAGTAGAATTCTATGATCACCAACGTATCACCGACTATACCTGCCCTAGGCCTATGCTTATGCCCACATGCCAACTACAATTGGGACTGATAAATTTTCATTATCCTTCGAAGCATATGAACATGCCGTTTACAATTGCGAGTGATATTTTTTTTTGTATTGTCTCTGACGAGTTTATTGTACAACAACAATCCACCATGCGAATGAGATAAGAAATAATGACGGTAAAAGAAGGCGAAAGAAATTGAAGACATCAATGATAATCAGATGGCACCCACATTCGAAAGACATTTCTCCACCGTATCAAGAAGAACTGGGTTCTCCAACGCAGCGGCTACCCTCTCCTTATCATTCAATTGTTTGTTCACTTCAATTTCCCCGTCAATACCCTGCTAGAAAAGAAGAAAAACGGTGGGCTTACCAGCATGTTCACTTTGATGCGAGCCTGGCTTGACATATATGTCCACTTTGAAGCGGTTGGGGAGGCTTCGGAGCAAACGAACTCGTATCGACAGACCTGATGATACCATTAGACAAAAAATAGTGACAGTATAGACAACTTACCAATCAGGGTGGACATGCCACAATGGGGCACAGTAGGCGTGAATTCCACTTTAACGTGATTGATTGCAACAGAAATCTGCGGGGCTGAAACAACCCTCAGTTCCTCCAAGGTGTTTGGATGCTCAGGATCGTAGATGGCACGAATTAGATCTATATCTGAGTGTAAACCCTTTTCTGGAGCTTGATGAGCATTGCACTCACCGAAGATCTCGTCTTGATCAATCTCCTCAATGCCATCATCTTCACCGTCGCTTTCGTCATGAGAGTCACGCAGCCACAAGGATTGAGCCAACAAATCTGAATATTTCCCAGAAGCCTTTGCAGGCGAAAATACCACAGGATTTGGATTGAAAATTTCCCCAGCCATCACGACGGGAGTTGAGCTTAATGAAGCGTGACTGTAACGAAGTCACGCGACGGCAGCGTCGCGTTTCCGTTCGGTCTCTCCGCATCGCTACCACCTGTCTCGTTGCTCTAGAGCTCCACTCCGCCCGTCACATTCACCCTTGAAAATCCCTGTCGAAATGCCGCCAAAGGTGGGACCATTCAATTCAAGCCATCAACGGGGCCACTAAGTCTTACGGCAGAGGAAACGCGCCGATGATGCAACAGCGGCAACTGGAGACTCGGGAACGTCGACCAGAGCTACTCGTGCCTCGACGAGGGGTTCTGTAAGTGGTTCTTCACGGTCTAATGCTTCTGCCTACTTGACTCTGGTACCAAAGAAGAAGTCTACGAAAGCCACCAGCGATGGTGTAGTTGAGCCGGCGGACAGCGTCGAGGCACGCGTTTCTGACATCGCCTTTCGCGAGATACTGACCCTTATATTATATAGGCTGGGCCTGCCACCAAGAAACCGAAGAACAAGGCCAGCAAGAGTAAATCTGTGACAGAGCCATCTTCGAGTGCCGTTCAAACTGCAGGAAAGACAGGGACAAAAGGGTGCGTGTGTTCAGCTTTCTGAATGTCTTTTTCTTCCTCTCCATTCCTACAATGGCATATGTCGACACTCTTTCATCCTCGAAAAATAAGTGGATGACGTAATATATTTACTCTGTCGTAAAGCGGTGCGGGTTGCACGTGGCTATTTGGACGTGACACAGCCGCCCGCACTGACCCTTTCCATTTATACGGTGCTCCCTGCTCTTCGAGTTGGTGAATGCTGCACTCATGCCCTTTTCGTCATTATTTTGCTGCTCTTCCAACAACGTTAAACGTGCCTACAGCGTCGACGAGCCAGCGCACAGTAAGGGTAAATCTCTCCCACCTCAGGTACGTGTCGCGCCCAATCGAAACTTGAGAATTGCGTCTTACCAGCCCGTTCAGGATGTAATTCCTCCTCCCGCTGTATCGCTCACTAATACAACACCAGCGACTATACCCCCGCCCAAACCCGTGCTGCCACTCAAAAATGAACCCTACACACCTCAACGTTCTCTCTCCCTCTTCCAAAGTTACGCTGACAGCGACAACCCCAATGTGATTGGTCCCGAATCGTTTGAGACACTTTGCAGTGCTGCGAATATCCCTTTGGATGGCTCGCTACCTTTAATTTTGGCGTGGCAAATGCAGGCGAAGGAGATGGCTAAAATATCGAAGGACGAGTGGGTGAAGGCCACCGAGTCGCTCAAGCGAGTCTTCTTCCAACAATCTGATGATTCACCTGACCATCTTCCATCAGAATCTCCTCACTTTCCCAACTGACGATCGCTTTGACTGATCTGGAAAACCTGCTGATTCTGGGGAAGCCAAGTCTCAAAAAATCCGCAAAGAAGGATCAGGATCCTTATGACCGGACACTTTACTACTCTTACGCAGACGACGCAAAAGCTGCTTTCCAAAAGTTTTACATGTTCTGTTTTTCCCTAGCCAAACCGGAGTACGTCATTACTTCTCCGCCGGAATGTCGCGGTAACAATTGACACTTGCCATTCTAATTTAGGCAATCAAGAAACATTGACATGGAGGTACGTCTGCTTTTTTCAGCGCTAGCGAATCGGATTGTTGACGCTTTGTCCAGACCTCAATGGCCTTCTGGTCTGTGCTACTCACCCCCCACTATCCCGTCATGAAAGAAGTCCTCCAATTCATTACCGTCCGTCTGTTATTCTTGTGAATCCTGTTTCCTTCTCATTCTTTGATGTCGATAGGAAAGGCAAGGAACCTACAGGGCTGCCAACAAAGATCTTTGGAGCATGGTACGCCATAGTTCTATCCACGTTAATTCCCGTTTAACACAACCCCACAGATGCTCGAGTTCTGTGTGACCGTCAAGCCGACCCTTCAAGACTACGAAGCTGATGGAGTAAGCGTTTGACATCTGGTTATCCTCCTCTTGCTAACTTCGTATCAAGGCATGGCCGACACTACTGGATGACTATGTTGCCTGGAAAAAGAGTAAGACAAGCGCCGATTCTTTGGAGACTGACTAAGGACTATTTTCTCGCCAATCTTCGCTCTTGGGTCTCTTTGATTAGATTAGGTTCATCGTATTACACATTATCAGATAATTTCATACTTCTGAGGACGGATACTTACATACGAGTCGACTTGTTGCAGACGCCATGGCGCAACCCGTTGCACGTTTAGCTGGAGATTGTATAACCCTGTGATGCTGATGCTGATGTTTCACTAGACTCGAGCCAAGTCCCTTTTTGTAAATTGAAGACAGTCGTTCAATCGATTAGGACTGGTCCGAGTCTAATGGTTCACTAGTGCACCCTGTGTTGGCGCTTTGGGGGACAAGGAGATGATTGAGAACAAGGACTAGATTACAATAGCATACCTACACCAGCTGCCTAAATAACGATGCTCTAGCCCTCTCGGGTCATATATAATCCAAAATATTCGTCAGTTGGTAGAGTGGGTATCTTACGCCTTTCCGGTTCGAGCTGCTTGGATGAGTGAAATGAGACCGCGTATCCTGGCGCGCCAGCCATGAGCATAAACAAAGCGAATCAATCCGCTTGTAAATTGCCTGGGTGGGGGGATATTGTCAGGTGATTTGAGGAAAGCTGTCGAATCACTCCACGTACCAACTGTAAGCAATAGAACGAAGAGGATAATCCATAACTCTCGGGATGGAGGTTTGAATCAAGCTTGGCCAGCGGTCGACCATGATGGCCTTTGGATTTGTCAGAGAGCGAAGACCTTCTGGTCCACCTTTGAGCAAGTTATTGAGTTAAAAAGGTATCCGACACAAGGTGAAAAGACAATACCAAATCTTCCATAACCGCTGTACTTGGTTCCTCCAAAGGGCAAATCCTGACTATAAATCAAGTGTAAGACTTCTGAATTTACAAAAGAAACGAGGGGTTTGGCACAAACTTCATCTGCAAATAAAATTGAGCAATGAAACACGTCATTTCGATAAGTTAAAGCTTGCTTACATAGAATACTCCAAAGTCATTGATTGAAACCATGCCACACTCCAGCTGTTTCGCAACCTTAACGCATTGATCTTGGTCTGGACCAAAGACACTGGCGCCGAGTCCGTATCTTGTGCCATTCGCAATTTCGATCGCCTCTTCAACGTCCTCATAGGGCATCAAGACAGCGACGGGGGCGAACACTACCAGAGAAACATCAGTAACTGAATTAATCTGATGCAGTCTGAGTAGGAAAAGGTTGGACGAACGTTCTTGGTTTGCTATATCCATTTTCGTATCAACCGGCCCAACAACGGTCGGGGAGAAGAAATAACCGTTGACGAGCTGGTCGTGTCCATGTTTGTATTCCTTCCCACCTACAACCTGGGCGCCAGCCTCAGTAGCATCGCGGATGATTTTTTCTAGTCCGCGGAACCGGTCACCGGAAATCATCGACCCTCCGTCGACAGTCGTTACATAACCTTCCTGTGTGAGAGCCAACACAGAACCGACACGGAATTTTTCCGCAAGCTCGGTAAACATTTCGTAAAGCTCGTCATACTGCTTGGAATGGACGATAAGTCTCTCAATTCCAATGCAGTTTTGGCCCATGTTTTGACTGTTTGATGCTTAGCTAGGTAGCAATCGAAATGGATGCAAATACTTACTAGACTCCGCGGAACCACAAGCTGACCCATTTCTTGAGATCAGTGTCGGGAAGAATGATGGCAGGATCCTTGCCTCCAAGTTCAAGTGTCACCGGAGTGAGGTGGTCTGTCGCCGCCAGTGCAATCTAAAAATGAGTGAGTAGAAGACAACGAATGTAGACACTATGCCCCACTTTACGTCCAACAGTTTCAGAGCCAATGAAAGTAATATGTTTGATATGTGGAGACCGAGTGAGAGCATCAGCTTGTTCAGGGTAGCAACACACAACTTGAACTAAGTCGGGATCATGACCACATGCACGAAGACACTCTTCGATGGCTCCAACAAACCATCCCGTAGACCAGATAACTTGTTCAGAGCACTTCAGAACAACACCGTTTCCAGCGAATATGGAAGCCAAGATTGGTGACCAAGCATTGTGTAGCGCTATCGTTGTTGTTGAGGCAAAAAAAAAAACGGTAGTAAATGTAGCACTCACGATAGTTCCACGAAACTATCGCAGCCACAACCCCCAGAGGATCATAGTGTACCTGGGACTTTTTATAAAACATCATGAAGTTCGTTGATCGCGTTTCCGGTTGTAGTGCTTTTTCTCCGTGGTCCAGCAGCCATTCCATCTTGGAGCATATCGTCAGAATTTCACCCAAGGCAGCATCAATCACTAGAATCACGGTACCACTTCGGTTAATCTCCCAAACGTAGAAAAGAAAAGAGTAACATACACGTCTTCCCTGTATCGCGGCATGCGACACGAGCGACAACTTCCTGATTGTCAACAAGCCACTTCATCAAGCTCCTAATGACGCGTCTCCTTTGTCTAAATGTCGTTTTCTTCCACGTCATGGAGGCCGCGGTGGCACGGTCAATCTTTCTGGCAATGTCATCTTCGCCGTCCGCAAGGTACGTGTCAAGGTGAAGCCCTGACGCAGGATCAAAACTCGTAATGTAGCGACATCCAGGCAGGTTCAAAGGCGGGAGAATGGAGTCATCATCGAGATGAGATTCAAGGTGTGGGCGTTCGAGTACTTTAGACTCCCAATGGGGGTCCGCAGCCTATGTATGAGTGAGTGTGAATTGCTTTGATACATATAAGAAAACTAACTGCAGGGGAGTTATATTCAAATGGTACGGGGCTATTGTGTTTCTTCTGATAGCGTTCATAGACAAGATAGATCCCAAAAGCGAAGAATATAGTGAGGGGGTAGGCGATTGCATCTACGCCTTCTTTGGAGTCATGGCTTCCACCTATTTTTCCCGTAACCCAGGGGTGGTTCATTAAGGATATTAAAGCATCCATTGTGCTGAACCCACAGGGGGGACGTGAAGAGTGGTGAGCGTTAAGTGAGCGTTGAGTTCAGAAAACGAACAACACACGACCTGTCACAACAATTTCAAGTCACATGATGCAGCTGTTTGAAAGGATTGGATTGTGACTACGGGTATAGAACAGGGAGATTGCGATGGTACAGGAATGATAATATGGAGGGTAAGCAATTAACCGGCTGTCGACCAACGATGTCGGGTGGGGGTGGGATGCAGATGCTAAATTATCATGTCCAAAGTTCAAAGAGTAATAATCTTGCGGCTGGCGAACCCGCAAAAGAAAGAACGCAGTGGTGGAAGTATAACGATAATAAAAAAAGAGCTTGCCTTTATTATGTTGTTGCGGATGGTGAGGTGTCATCTCGCACGCTACTGACCGAGTCCTTTTTTCGGAGACCACCCAGCTGACCCAGCTTCTTCAACCCTGCTAAACTGCTCTTTGTCTTTTTGTGTCCTTTTTTCCCGCTCGCATCCAACGCTATCGACGTGACTGACGCCGTGTCGCTGTCCTTGGTGGATTCGGTGGGAATATCTTCTGGGTGGGATGATTCGATTGGGCTTTCGACCACAAGACCAGCGGTCCCGCCGCCTCCCACTAATCTGATTGTAGTGCTGGGGTCAGTCTCGTCTTCAACTGTGTCCGAAAGACCAATAATGAAGTCTGAGGTATCTGCAATCAAGGACTGTTGTGTGGGAGTTTGATCACTGGGTGATATGGATGATGAAGGTTCGAGGACTGGTGCTAGATCGACGAGAAGTTCAGGAAGCGTTGAAGGCGCCACTTTCACAGAGGAGGGTGACGGCGACATAGACGGCGGAGGAGAAAGAGGTAAGGCTGATCCAACACCATCCGATGTTTCACGTCTCAGCGCTGGTTGAGGTTGTACTATTTTGCGTGTTGAGGATACAAGTCCAATATCCTCGCGCAATTCTCGCATCCCGGTATGGCGACCAGACTCTAAATCTTCAATAGAAGAATGAGCAGAATCTGGTGGAGATGGCAAGGTGACAATGTCGCTGGCTGTGGGAAGCTCTACAGGAAGAGGTGCTGGTATTTTGGTCAGGGAGGTACTGGCTGGTATTGGCGATGAATGGGTTCTTGGCGTATTTGAATTTGAAGTATTGAGGGCGGCGACCGTCGGTGGCGGAATGGGATCAGTAGCATCTTGCAGGACGGGTATTGCTACCTCGGCGCCAGGTCCCTGCGATAGGCCAAGGCCTACGTTGTCGACAGCCTATCGCGTAGACAATAAATTTGCCAAGACAAGATTGACCTGACATATACACTAACCTTTCCTTTCAAATCCTCATCCTCCACGGGCGGTGACAAGATTGTGTCTGGTATCACACCTGCTTCGTGCCATTTCCTTACACTCCGGTCACCCCACGCTTCAAATACATTCCAACCCCTGTATTCTCCAGTGAGGCGCAAGCCACCCGAACCGATATCACCCCCTCCATCGCCTTGCCCCCGTCCATTTCCATCATAGAAGTAGCTTTCATACCCCAAATCGTCCTCACTTCCTTCGCTTGCATCATTGGCACCGATTTCAAACCCTTCTCCACTTTCTAGTTCTTCCACGAAAGCCGCCAAGAACTTTGCCCATCCACCCGGACCATCACCTCTCCACAACACCACTTTAGTATCAAAGTCACGTCCAAAAACAATGACCTGGCCCACAGAACCGCCTTCGCCAGGATTTAGGTCAACACCAACATAGTTGCCAGCTTTGTCGGCAATGAGTGGGATCCACCCTCTCTGAGAATATTCCTTCCGAACCCATCCAGGAGGAATAGACTGCATAACTTCACGAAGGTTGGGGTTCGCACCAGTGGTAGAGTCATCATCGACTTCTCTCCAGAACCGCCATTCCTCCAGAACGCCTTCAAGTGGAAGTAAAGTCAATCCAAAAAACAGACCTTCAGCACATCCAGCCGCGGACTCGGCTTCCTGGCCGTCTACACATAGATAAGATTCGCGAACTGCAGCTGGGAGGGCAAAACCGAATTGCATCTCTATGTCGGCGAGGTCTTGGGGTAAAATTCCGTAGTTGAGGGTATCGCCTAGTTCGGGGTATTCGCGGTTTAGCCAAGTGCGAATGCGATTCCAGGTGTTTGATAAAGGAGGGTAAAGATATTTTGGTGATAAAGGGGTGTGCATAGGGTCCATATGGGTTGGCAGTAATGATGCAGAACCCTGTTGGGTGCGTATCCCAGCACTGGTAATTAAAAATTAGTCGAATACGAGATACTCCGAAGAAGTGCAACTTACGAAGTCGGAACATAGCCATACGAGCTTGGACCCTGCGGTGGGTAGGTATATGAGGAAGGGCTGACAACCGCGTCAACATCAGGAGTGTTAAGTGCAGACGGGTCGAATGCATCGGGATGAGTGCTGAAAACGGGTGATGAGGTAGGGAGAGAAAAGGCTTCGTGTGTTGACGACAAAGCTTGACCCTTCCTAGAGCGCTGGGACGAGTCCGGGGAAAAGAGAGACGCGAACCAGCCCATTCCTCAGAGTCAGCGAGGACGTCGTTGAGCTACCTTGAAACAAGCAAGCGACGGTGGTCGTTGGCAACAAATCAGATTATGTAATCTAAACCCCATGCTCGCCGACGTATCCAACGCCGCCGACGTCTTTTCTCCCATCCAACTCCCATGTGGTATACAAATCAACAACAGGCTTGTCAAGGTGTTATTTCTTTTCTCATATATGTTTGCGTTTACTAATTCACTCCTAGGTTGCTATGTACGAGCACCTTGCCTCCCTCTTCGGGGGACCTCCAAACCTATACCACGTTCAGCTGTACTCTACATGGGCAAAGTATGATTGGGGCATGATCATTACAGGAAATGTTCAAGTATCAAGGGCTCACCTCTCTCTCGGCCGGGACATGATTATACCTGAGTCTGTTACCTTGGAGAGCATCTCGCCTTTCAAGGAATTATCATCCGTCATCCATGGAAAAGATAATCGTAATCTTGCTATCATGCAATTGAACCACTCAGGTCGACAGTCGAGCAATTTCCTGGGTGGCCGCTATCCATTTCGACCCCCCCTTGCTCCAAGTCCACTTCCTGTTGGTGCAAAGACTTCTGGCTTGCTTTCTGTTCTAATCCACAAGATACTCTTCCAAAAACCACGCGCGATGACCTATGACGATATCGACGAAGTCGTCTCGTCATTTGTAAAGGGTGCTGTGGTTGCAGCTGCATCAGGGTTCGACGGCGTACAATTGCACGTTGCGCATGGTTGTGAGTAGCATCAGATCTTTGTAAATGATGTGGCTTATGGTGAACCAGAGCTTTAATAGATCTTTTAGCACAGTTCATTTCTCCCAAGGCTGGTCTCCTTCTGTCGCGCTCTTAGCGTTGTTCTGATTATCACATCTCCTCCAGTCGAACAGACGAACGGATGAATATTCAAGTGAGAAGGAGAACGCGCTGCGACTTCTACGTCGCATAACTTCGTCCATTAGAGAGGTCGTCCCAAGTAAATTCATCCTGGGCATCAAGTTAAACGCATCAGACTACACCACTTCTCAAATTGGAGAACAGCCGGAGGATCGCGCGCTGGAACACCTTATGACCGTCGCCCAATGGGGTGATGTTGACTTCATTGAAGTCAGCGGTGGGGATTACGAACACCCAGGTATGCTCTCGCATAATCCACTTCTTTTCTCGTCTTTGACGCGTACGTAGATTTCATGACAACAACCCCTCACTCTCCCCGACAAGCTTTCTTTCATCGCTTCTCTCACCAAGCACTCAAAGCCCTAGACACACTCCCCGAAACCTCGAAACCTGCTCCTCTCATTCTGCTTACAGGTGGTCTGCTCACGCCCACACTCATACATAAAGCACTCTCATCTCGACATGCGCAACTGCTAGGCATTGGGCGCGGCTCCGTGCTCCGTCCCGATCTTCCTGAACTCTTGAAAACAAAGGGCAATGACCAATCTCTCTGGGACGATGCCCCGTTCCAACAGGAACCCGATTTGCGGAACCCCCACTTTCTTGGCTATTGGCCCTTCAGTTGGTTTTGGGGTTTCGTTCCTAACATCGCGCTTGTCGGCGCTGGAGTTAACATGGCCTGGTATGTGGTTGCGATTAGAGGCATGGCGTTGCGGATAGGTTCGAACATCATTTCAAAGCCAAACTATTCCATTGGAGGGCTCGGAGCTGTCGTAAGGATGTGGGCTTGGACACCTTGGGATACATACACAGCAGGCCCTTCGTATCGTATTTTAATTTTATTCTCCGTATTGATGTTCGCCATACTTTCTTTGGGATTTTAGGTCTACAGCTAGGAACTGTTTTAAGCAAATAAGCTTTTGTTGTTATCTGAGCCGCTATTTTATTACGACCACGGCGAAGACTAGAAAATATGTCCGAGAATCGTCGTCCCCCATGGCCAGCCGAAATTATGATATGTGTCAGATCTTCGTACATCGCTTTCAACCCGAGAAATATTTGTTTTCAGTACATATCTGGGTATGAAACCGTAAAGAGACCCTTGTAGTATGTGTGTCTATCGCCAAAGTCCTAACGCCCAAGAATCATTTAGGAATGTAGTCTACCATAGAAAGTACCGCAGGCGAAATGTCCAGAAATAGGAGTGGTTATGCAGAAGCCCATCTAAACACCTTGAGATTCCATGTTGTCAGAACCTTGCTTGATGCTCGGTACACGAGATGAACACCACGTACCACAGGAGTCACCACAGCGTCTGTATAGTCGCGGAAAGCCATAACATCTCCAACGTAGAATATTCGTTCATCCATGAGAACAATGTGTACAGGTGGTAAACCTGACTTTGCGTTAGAGAATATACGGCCTCATGGTTAACAGGCTGGCTTACTTCCGTCAGGATTCACCCATTGGATATCAATTTCATGGGTATCAGGGTCTATCGAGAACTGAAAAGACAGGAAGTTCGTTAACGATCCAAGGAAACTAAAACCAGACAACGCACAACACTCGTTTCGAAGTGGGTGGCACCTTTGTGGTCCTGTAGTGGCCGGTCGCCCGGTTTGGCTGAAGAGGTGAAATGTTTATGAGAAATAGAAAACTCGCACGTCGAGGAAAAAATATACTGGATAACGAAGTATAGCGGGGAAGATGGAAACTTAATGCAATGTTAGTAAAAAGTAGATTTACAAGTGGATTGGGCACCTACTTCTTCGACATGGCCCCGAGAGACTGCCCATACATCCCAGTTATCACACACATACGAAGACCCTCCGAGCCCTGCCCAGCACGCTACCATCAGCTCTCCACATAGCATGAAAACGATGCATCCTTACCAAAACTCTGATCTCAGAAAGTGGCCCAGTGAGGATGTATGCGTACTTCGGGGCTTGTTCAGCAGATTTCACGATCTTGTGGTTGTCGAGAAAGCCGAGTACAGCGCCATTTACATTGCCCTTGTGGATGGCGATGTGACCAATAGCGGTCCTACTCGACAGCGCGTTAACGAATGTCTATTCCAGGATGCCCACACCCACTGCTTAGAAACCTTGAATGGTGCTATTGACCACAAAGTGGAGTGGGCGCTTTGATTAGTCGCAGAGTGACGCCATTGAAACAAGATACTCACCCATCCCCAGCCCACCTGCCAGTGGCCCTGTCACCTTTCGCGCTCGTTCACTCGGAGATTTGACACTCTTTTTCTTCGAGCCCTTCGGTGGCATAGGAGGCATCCCGAGCTTTTTTCTCTGCTCATTCCGTACTATTTCAGGGGGTGTATATTCTTGATCATCGTCCGCAAGGATAGAGGTCGTAAGGGCTAAAAGTGTCAACGCCAGCAAGGCGACAAAAAGTAGGACCTTCATGGCTGGTATCAAACTAGTGCGAAGGTCAAGAAAGTTGCCATTGAGCGCCAACGAAGGGGCAAAGATCCCAACTGAACGCGTCCCTGATTTCCAAAAATAGTTGTAGACGAGTGTAGACGTTGAATTGAACTAAAATAATACAAATCGTTCGGGTATGCTCTGTATTGCTCTCATCGACACTCCCCACACCTTAGAAAGTACCAAGGTGACTTCTCACTGAAAACTCTGCTCCAGTTTTGGCACGAACTTCATCCAGGGTAACTCCCCCTGCCAGGTCAATAAGCTCCATTTTGCCACTCAGTCTATCAACGTCGAAGACTGCCAACTCAGTGATGATGGTGCTGACGGCACGGGCGCCCGTCAAAGGCAGCGAACACTCCTTGAGGATCTTCGATTCGCCGTGCTTGGATGTGTGTTCCAGGACAGCGATCACCTTCGTCTTGTCGGGGTTGGACACGAGATCCATCGCGCCTCCGATTCCTGGTGGTCGTAAGTTAATTAGCTATCGGTGGTAAGAAAATACGTAGAAATACCTTTCAGCATCTTCCCTGGTATCATGAAGTTAGCAATGTCACCAGCTTGCGAAACCTCCATGGCCTTTGCAAAACGTTAGTACCAAGGTTTGGTAGAATAGAAAAATGTAACATACCCCAAGTATTGCAACATCGATATGGCCGCCGCGAATCATTGCGAATGATTCACTTGAATCTGGCAGAAAATGTTAGTCTGACCTAGACAAAACGTCTACAGGGCAACGATCTCACCGAATACCGAAGCGCCGGGTAGAAGCGTGACCGTTTCCTTCCCCGCATTGATAAGGTCACTATGATATCGTCCAGAGGTCAGACGGGAAGTCGAGGATGGGAGAGTCACGTTGCATACGCGTCAAGCTGTTCCTTCGTGGGGTAAGGACCCATGCCTAGAATTCCATTCTCACTCTGCAACCAAACTCGGACGCCAGGTTCCAAATATTCCGGTACAAGTGTTGGCATGCCAATTCCCAGGTTGACGTAAAAGCCGTCTTTGATTTCTTTGGCAGCGCGCCTCGCGATTCGGTGGCGCTGAGTGATAGCAGCGGCTTTCTCTGGAGAAAGAGAGGAGTCGCCGGAGGTGTTCTGATTTGCGAGGGTCACAAATTCGATTTGCTTCTCTGATGTTGCCTGTACGATACGATCGACATAGACGCCTGGCAGATGGATTGCGTTTGGGGAGATGGAGCCCACTGGAACAATATTTTCTGCCTAAAACAAGTCAACTATGGTTGTTTGGGCATTTGCAGGAAATCAAGAATACCTCGACGATGGTCAACTTAGCGTTCTTGGCCATCACGGTGCTGAAGTTCTGTGCAGCATAGCTTTGTTTGTTGACATGTGGTAAATCAACGAATAAAACCAAGAGACATACCGAAAGACACAGTTCCCAACTTCGTCCACTTTCCAGGCGCGCACGAAGGCAACGTCACCTGGCAGAGCGGTCTCCAGAACAAATCTTTTACCATTTATTTCTCTGGCCTCTTTGGGGATCCCCGGCAACGCGACACCGTTTGACGCGCCACCTTCATTATAACGCTGCGGAATAGTGCCCTCCTCTATGGCAGTGGAAGCTCCGGTAGGCGTGAAGAACGCAGGGATGCCAGAAGCGTGCGCGCGTATACGCTCTGCGAGAGTTCCTTGTGGTACAAGTTCCAATGTGATTTGACCCGCAAGGTACCTGCTCTCAAAATTCTTGTTTCTATAGTAGGCTGGCTATGGGCAAAAGTAGTCGGTAGAGAATGGAACGTAACACACCCTCCTGGGTAAGAAGCGATCACTTTGACGAGCTGGTTAGTGTTGATGAGTTTGTCTAAAACTGAGTTCAGCTGCAAATTTAGGAAACTGAACGGGGTATCCAACCCAGGCCAGAGCCAGTAGTTCCCGCATTGTTGGAGACCCCAGTCAAGTTTTGAACATTGGGTCGCCGTGACAAGGCCTCTAGCAGGGTATCTGACTTGGTCCGTTAGCTCTCCCGCAAGTAATCACGGTGGACTCGACAGACCTGGTATACCAGCCAAACCGAACCCTACCAGTCGAGAGTATGAGAAAACGAGCAAGACCACTAAACGCGTACTTGAAGCTCTCACCTCCGCAAAGCAACACAGCTCCTGACTCTATATCCTTGACAGCCTCCTCTGCTGATGACCATACTTTGGACTTGATCGCGGGAGTCTCGGCTGCTATGCTGTACCATCGGTGCTGAGACCGCTTCGCCTTCAATATCCTGAGCGACTTTCCAGTCGCGAAAAGTTGTCTTTTGGGGATCTGTGCGAGCAGCATACTAGTAGAGTGGTCGGAGTTCTTTCAGCTCCAAATAAGACAGCGTGTTTTCCCCCGTGGACGATAGGGAATATAAGATAGGCGTTCGCGGTGGTGGATTGGAGAGCTTCATCAAGAAGGTCGACCCGGACCTCGGCAATTCGGACCATATCCTTAGTCACGTAAACGGGTGGAACCTAACGACGCCCTGCGCTTTATAGAATGAAATGTTGGTCGCCATTCAAAATATTCACAGTCACTATGGGAGAGCGAAAGCAAAGTCATATTCAAGGCAACTGGTCGAAATTATCATGGATTGTCTAGACATCGTCAAATTCTTGGACGAGTGAGCTTGATCGTTGAAGCCGTTGGACAGCAATGCCAAACAACGCGTCAACAGCTGAGCCTGGACTTCCACTTCGCACTCACTCTTTCTTCAATCCACCCGTCTCCCAATTCACAAAATGACTGACTGGACTTCGGACGCAAATGAGGCTCTTACACTCTCTTTAGGTACGCACCTTCGCCACAAATGTCAAAATACCCTTACTTATGTGTGGCCCAAACTTCATAGTGAGGTCGCAGGAGGATAAAGAAGCCTTGGCGGAAAACGAGTCCTATATTGAATTCCACCCAAATTTTACATATCCTGTACGTTGGGCGCGATTATCATATGCGCGGTTCAGCATTTAGACTTGGACGTCTAGATTTATGGAGAAGACGAGAAAATATATGGTTATAATGACTTGGTGATCGATGTATGTCCTGCTTTCATTCTTCATTGTCTTCTTAAATGCTCAATGTCCTGCGGTTTTCTAGTTGCGGTTTGCTTCTGGGTCTCTGGCCCAATATCTGTCAGTAAAATATTCCGAGAAATTGGGATCTTCTTCGACAGTCGATGACGTGGAGGGAACACTGGCCGGATTTATACCTTCAGGTATTAGTCACTTGACTCTTATTTTTATTTTTCAGTTTGAACAGGATTTCGTCAGACTATTACAAAGATGAAAGAGCTTTTTTGAAACGCGTGGCAGAAGAGGCGGTTTCCTTCCAACCGACAGGACAGCTCATTTCAAGTTATACTAGACCTTCGCCTCTTGCTGCATCCAAAGGAAAAGGGAAGGGAGTGGAAAGAATGCAAAATCTGGATCCAGGAAGTGTAGATACGATCGAATTTGAGGTATATCATGTACGTTCATTTCACTTTCCATCATTATTCATACTCACTATAGCACAAGGCAACATGGAATACACCTGGTTTCCGGGAATACCACCGACGAATGCAATTATTTATTTTGCTATATATTGAAGCAGGAACATATATTAACGAGGAGGATGAGGTTTGGGAGTTCGTTCTACTGCAAGTAATTAGTCTCTTTCTCCACACCGCTAAATTAACTTCTGGCTGACCAGGTTTGAGAAGCGAAAGAGAAGGGCTTCGCCACATCTGGCAACGTACCACTTCGTTGGCTATTCATCACTCTATCCCTTCTACCATTTCCCCGAAAAAGTGCGCTTAAGACTGAGGTATTGAAACTTCATGTCATTTTCTTCTATGCCAGTACTCAAGGCTCTCCCAATGTAGCCAATTCGTCATTCTCACGCCATATCAACGCCACGGGCATGGCTGTAAGCACCATCACATAGCCTTCACTCAGTGGCTAACTTATACCTGCGTAAAGCTGAACTTTACAACGCTATCTATCAATATGTTATTCGTCGGTCCGATGTTGCAGAACTAACCGTGGAGGATCCCGCAGAGGCATTCGAGGACCTCCGAGACAAGAATGACCTCAAAATGCTTCTTGCCAACGAGCAGTTCATGCAAGAAGGTTTTGGCGGTGAAGTGTCACATGGAGGTGGTCGCGTGGGCGGGGTGGGGAGAACGGGGAAGAGTGGGCGGGGAGGCACCGGAATATCGACGAAGGGGAAGATGGGCCCTCCAGCTGATAAGGCATGGGTTGAGAAGTGGAGAAAGGATTTGAAAATTGCAGGGGTAAGCTTCAGTTCCAATATACCATCTAGCTTACTATTTGCTGAGGACTATGACAGAGGCAGTTTCAACGACTCGTCGAAATGCTTATTCTTTTACGATTGGATGCATCCGACGCACGCGGCCTGCGAGCGTATCGGTTACAGGTTAAAGAACGCCTCTATCGGTTTAATTTTGTGAGTTAGTTGTTGCGGAATTGGCTCAAATCTAAACATTTTGCGCCTTGTCCAGGAAATTCTTGCTCAGCTGGAGAAGGATGAGCGTCACGAGAAACTGGAAGAGACATTCCAAACTGTGAAAGAGGATTATCATCGGCTTTTAGCCTTGGTTCATTGATGATGCTCAACAAATTAGCCCCTATGTGCATGTTCCCATGATTCTAGCTATCCAGTCGATGATAAGCCCTATCTAGTATCGCATGTTACTCTGGCTTTCGTGTGTTCATCTTTGGGTCTCTATTCTCCAAATCATTTCGTTCAAACGTGATTTCAACAATCGACAGTGGGCCCTGAAACCATACATAAAACCCACGTAAACCCGAAGAAACGGCACATCAGCCCAAAGAAATGACACAACCCAAAAAAATGAACCATTAACCCAAAGAAATGAACCATAAACCCAAAGAAATGGAAGATTTGGAATCCTCAAGCTTCTACCGCAGCAACGCACCCTTCACCCTGAGGATCCTCGTCATGGGGAAGAGCCTCCATCCCATCACCAGTTCGCTCCCGTCTTTTCTTCTCCATAACGACAAATGATAGGACGATCAAGTCGATGTCGAGGGAACATGGTTGTATTCGAAGAGCTGACTTCCTCTCGCCAGCGAAAAGGCCTTCAGCGTTGATTGTATTCACGTGGCGCGCGACTTCTTCGTCAGTACCAGACCGCAAAAGCTGACCATGATAGTCAAACGGATATACACGCAATATGTGACATGAATGTTCACCACATAACCGGAATTTTTTGATGTCATCCATTGATACTCCTCTCCGTCATTCCCAACGAAATAACGGGATCTGAGGTATGTTTCCACGAGTCAGATGACAGTTTAACAAGAAGAGAGTGAGGGATAACAGCCGGAAAGGGGGTGGGTATGGGAATGGCCAACGTACGGACTGAGCTTGCGCCGCCTGTACAGAAACTTGCGGGCGCGTACACCAACCCCAGGCTTTCCGACACACCTCCCAAGACCGCCAAGTAGTGGGCTGCGAATGATAGTTGGAGTTTCCCAGGACTTCCATTCGATCTCTGCAACTATGCTGTCTTCCGTTGAATCTGCAGGGCGCTGTATGTGGGTTACACGAACACCCCCTCTGAGCTTGGCCGTACGAATCTGGTAATGCGCGACGCCGTTGGCTGATACGAGAACAGAATTTTCTGGATTGTTTGGGATAAGAAAAAAGTCCATGATCTTGGAGTTTGGAATTTATGATCGGTTTGTGCCACTGGCTGCGAGATGCGAGGCGTCGAGCAAAGTACAATGGCAAAACAGGGCAATAAGATTCAGTTTATGCACCAGGCACTAGGAGGAAAGTAGGAAAGAGGGAATGCGACCTTTCAAACTAGGGCTGACAGTTGTAGTTCAGTCTGTAAATTCCATTAGGGGTACGGGTAATTTTAGCGGGGTACAGGTAGAATCTAGTCTAGACCAGAACCTCCCCCTTCAAGATATAATAAGTCGACCTCTTTCAGAGGAAAGAAGTGACTACTGACCATAGTAACAAATGTCCGAATCCGGGTTCCTTGTAAAGTCTACAAATATACAGGTATTCAAGCGATACAGAGCGTGCGGGTGTTCACAGCAAAAATGGATCATGATTCAGCGAAATTGAAGACTCCAACGGTGTTCCCAAACCCAGCAAGGGCATGTGAAGGAGATATGAGGAGGGGTGCAACACGAGTGAATGGTAGGCGGGCGATGCACTCTCCTGATATTGGTGGCATTGATGAGAGAGGAATTGTTGACGGTGTTTCTGGAGGTTTCAAAGCCAACGAAGAAAGTATTGAACTGCGCAACAATGCAACGGAAGGATCGTACGTCCACAATTCCCATCGATCCAAAGTGGCAGTTGTCAGTCCATGAGATGATGGAGCAAGTTTCATTGGTATTGTCGTTCCCCCTTTTAATTTTCCTTGTTGACGAGGTTTACGTCGAATGCCAACAAACTTTGCAGTGGTTACATCCCATCCACCTCGTTCACAGGTGATATCCGCCAACTGGGCGATGATTGCGTTCCGCCAAAAGGATGAGGGATTCGTAGGTGTCACTGAGCCATTTGAGGCATCATAGTCGTCCCCGGCCAAGGGTAGTGTGAGTTGTTCTGACGATCGTCGACCAGTGTCCTTTTCTGATGCCCGTCGGGAATGTACGCCGTGCCCAGAGACAGGGAACGAAGATGTTTCAAACGCCGTGGCAAGCCTGGCTCGTGAGGCCACGGGAGAACTTTTGTGAGAGATTGCAGCATTGCTGCCACTGCGCGACCTCCGACCCAGACTCTCCCGAGAAGACATGCGGTGAAGTTGACTATGTGCGCATGTACATCTTCGGAACTGATCGTTCAGATACAACTTGAAAACCCTAACGACATGGTCGACTGAAAATGCCACGGAGAGACTCTCCATGGGAAGCTGACCACAAAAATGGCAGGTCTCGCAAAGCACTGGCGAAATACGCAGATGATTCACCATCCCATTGGATTCTTCCAGAATCGAGATGCATTCGCCCGTATGTCCATCCCAAAGGGATACCGTCCCAGCTTCGGTCGCAGTAGCGAGAACGAGCCGGGTACGTCCGCTGAGCTGAGCCTCGCACGCGTGTACCTTCCAAACCACATCGAACGGATTCCCTGGCTGGATATGGAATCCCGGCGAGAGCGCAGATTCAAATTCGCCTATCTCCACGAGATCAAGTGTTCCATCGTTCAAACAAAATGCAACCAAAATGCGATCATCTGGCAGGACGTGCAGCAGGGACGTTCGGATGACTGAAGCGTTGTGCGATGTTGTGAAGTATGTTACCGTAGGATGATCTCCAATTGACCACCGTGTTGCTGCACCATTCTCATATGTTGCTAGAAGAGTGAGTGGGGATTCAGACGGTTTGCGTCCTGGTGGAGAGGGAGTTTGTCCAAGGGTTGTCACAAATTGAATCTCCGTGACACCAGCGGAGGAATTAGGCAAGGCCAGCGGTGGAAAGGAGCGGATTTGATTTCCCTCCATCGACCATGCCGAGATAATCCCGGTCCCCGTGCCCACACCAAAATGATCTCCTTTATCATCGATGTTGACACAAGTCAATGTTGCAGCTGCGGATGAACTGCTCGCTGCACGCGGCAAAACCTCTGTAGCGTCTATAGAAATATGCGACTGTGTATCAGTCCGCCAGATGATAATCTCGTTGTGAATGCCGACAGAGATTACGACCTGACCATCCTTGCTTGCAGCGATGAGTTCTACATCACTGGCAAAGGCACGTGGAAGTGTTGAGAAGGATATACGTCCCTCCAAAGATGATTCCTCCTTGTTAGTTGGAGTAAAAATGTCTCCTCTGTTTCGTTGAGCTTCCAGTAGTTCGGTATTCTTCAAAAGATAAAGCAATAAACCCCACAAAATACTAGTTGTAGCGGCAATGGGGAGAACCATGACCTTCAAAAGCCAGAGTATGAATCGGAAGGTTCGCATCGAAAAACGAGGTCGGTGAATTTTTGGCGAGCTAGTATTGTCAAGTTTTGGACTGAATGTAACAACAGTGGGAATTTCTATGCGAAGATGGAGCAGGGACTCTTGATTAGGATTGAGCAGTTGCCATATTTGCCAAGCAGCAGAGGTCTTATTAGGCCCTACGTTGGAGAGCCTGCCGTTACTGATGCTGGGACGCTTGATATGACGAGCGGCTTGAACTGTAGACGAGGTTGCGGTGTATGTGGAGTAGTATAGCGTCGCCGTGATCGCTAAAAGCTGAAGAAGACGTATAAACAACGTTTCTCAGAACTTCGAGAGAGAGATTACCATTAAGAGACTGATGTTAGTTGCCGCGCGACCTTTCAGAATGCTTTGAGTACCAGTCATCAGCTTTTGCCATGGCGAGGGAGGTTGTTTTAAGCTTGGCGACTCCTTGCGAATCGGTGGTATCGAGGGTGCGAGGCTGGTGTCCTTGCGCAGTAACTCTTCAAGCTGTGTAAACCTTTGGCGTAAGTACTTTTGACGTAGAGATCGTTGGAGATATATATACCTCCAAGCGAGCAATATCAATTGAGAGCACGGCCATGAAGAATGTATGAGCGAGGAACCAATGCGCCACCAAAACCACAATGGCAAATGCACAAAACTGACGTACAGCACCAACGGCGAAGACAGCGATGATTCCGAGGGTCGCGTTGTAAAAGACGACCTTGAGAGTATTCGATGTGCCGGCTCTGCTGAGTCCCTCTGCAATTCGCTGTTTGACCGATAATGTGACAGATGTTTTCCCAACTGCATCGACCTGAAATCACGTTACGGTGCTGATACCGAATAGAGAGACGGACTCATACCAAGCTGAACATGTTCTCCGCGCCGACGAAAATGATGACAACAGGAAGCAGTTCCCTTGACCGGGAGGGTGAGAAATTACTGATGCTTCGAGATTAGGAGACACATACCAAGGCACCATGGTGATTCTGAAGCCCACAAGTGCACACACACTAAGTGACGTAATAGTACTGACCGCGATTTCCACCAAGGCTGTGAATGTGACACCCAAACGAGAGTGCACGGCATCCATCTGGTGGAAGGACCATGCAACGTAGGCGAAGAAGCCGATGTATGCAAGATAGAGGAAAGCCGAGATGGCCGACCAGCCCATGCTAGATGACAAATTTGTATCGTACTGTGTGTCACATTGAATGGCAATACTGCGCAGTGGAGGAAGGTACGACGGACCTCTAGAGCTACGATGGTAGGTTCCTGGATCTGAACCGTTATTTCCGCGTGTTGAGAAAAGGCATGTTGAACTGTTTGAACCCACTGTGCATGTTCGGTATTTCCGAAACAATCGGATTCCGGAAAGAAGTAAGTTAGAGCTAAGAAAGTGGCGTAGTCGAACTTCGAACTGGAGACATGATGCTCGTAAGACCCTCGGCCAGCAAGAACCATAGCTGGCGTTACAATCACGCCAGCCACGGTGACGTTTTGCCGATGACTGAGTGCATTTGGAGTGTTAAAGTCCCATCGCAGAGCGTCCCGATCATAATTCCAGAAGGCCAAGGGAGAAAGCACGAAGCACTTTCCGTCAGGTTGTTTGAGGCAAGGCGAGTCTCCGGCGGCAATCAGCGTCTCCAGGCGGAGTTCAAGGTCAAGAGCCGATAAGAGGGTGTGTTGGTTAATAGCTCCTTCGTCGTCGGTCGAGGGTCCCTGGATAAGAACACGCTCAACGCGAACGGCTCGTCCAACTTGACATTTAGCACGAGATACGGGATCATCATGAACACGAAGTGTGTCATAGCCTGACCACAAATTGACCAAATCTTTCTGCGCCTGGAAGCCAGACACGGTCTCCGGAGATAGGAATGAGTCTAGAAACGCATGCGTATTTTGCTGAGACGACGAGTAGATGGAGAGTGCTGGATAAAAGAGAGAGGTTATGACAATACAAGATATGAGGATGACGCGAATTTGATGTGTTGCACAATGGCTAGAGCGCCAAGTCAGAAAACGTAATTGAGGAGGTGAAGAACCACGCACAGTCCAAACTGAAAGAAAAACCTCTGCCCCAAAATCCGAATCCATTGAAAGAGAGTTGCGAGACGATGCGGCATAATTGACAAGGTATTGAAGTGAACTTGAATACCAGCCGTCAGTTCAATGAGCAAGAAGCGAAGAAGGCGATGCCGACACAGATAGGAGCGCTGTCAGAGTAGAATATAAATATAGGGATGTAGAAGATAGTAAGAACCGCTGCGAGAATTCAAAAGGAACTGAATAACGCGCAGGGCATAGTATCCACCACGCAGCAATTTGGAGGTAGCCGCTGAGTAAAGGGTTATTTTAAGTAAGGGGCCCACGGGGAACTGCATCGCCACGTGTGGTCACGTGATTGCATTCCACTTCTCAGCCGCCAAGACTCGGGTTTTGCTGGCTTGTCCAAGCTCGTCCACCATGGCCTCCATATTAAAGCCTTTCTCGAGGGTGGCGTCTGTCGTGCAAAGAGGGGTTGGTCCTACGACCTCTAACAGATGTGCGTCACGATTTTTTAGACAACGGGATTGATGCCAACTCTTCTCACCAGTCCTCCACCAAACCAACGCGCGATATGCTATTACGCAATTTCAGATGCCAGCTATGTCACCTACGATGACTGAAGGTGGAATTGCAGGGTGGAAGAAGGGCGAGGGAGAAGTATTCAGTGCGGGAGATGTGCTCCTTGAGATCGTATGTATTTTAGTCAAGTTCTAATTCCTTTTTAACACATGACATCTTCTTTTCATTTAGGAAACCGATAAGGCGACAATAGACGTTGAGGCTCAAGATGACGGTATTATGGGCAAAATTCTGGTCAGTTTGGAAGTGTACTCTGGGTTCCAACAATGCCAACAAGCAGCGACGTCACTAGGCCCCAGATGGTTCCAAAAATATTCCAGTAGGACAAATAATTGCATTCTTGGCAGAGGAAGGCGACGATATCTCAAACATTGAAGTGCCGAAGCAGCAAGCTGCGCCTCCCACACCCAGACAGGAGGCTTCATCACAATCTCCGGCGGTTGACAGCTCAGTTCAACCAACACCGCAACCTTCTGAGCCGCCCACCCTCCTGTCCCATGCCCTCCCATCCCATTCAAGGCCTCTATTCCCCTCTGTCCACCGACTTCTACTGGAGAACAATATTTCCGACCCAGGCAAGATTCCGGGGACCGGAGTACGGGGTATGATCACCAAGGGGGACGTTCTTACATTCCTCGGTAAAGCGTCAGGGCCGAATGGGACATTCAAACAATCCCCTTCCCCCATCGAGGAGGGGAACAAACTTTTGCAGAAGAAGGAAGAGGTCAAGGTACGTAAGTTCAGTGTTTTGGGGCACTTGCTTTCTAATCTATCTCGTGAAGATCGAGCCTCTCGACGGCCCTGCCATTCGTCGGCTGATTGTCTCATCCATGCTCCAAACCTCACTGAAAAAACGCAATCCTCCTCCAGGTACGCAACCCGACGGGTGATGTTCAATGTTGTGCTGACCTTCATGCGCTGTAGCTTTCGCAGACGCCGATTTTGACTCAGTCATTTCTGGCTATCTTCCCCCGACCCCTAAGCCTCCGTCGAAGGTTACCTCTACGACATTCTCATCAAAAAGTCCCTCTTTTATCGACGGTTTGATTTGAATTTAGACGTAATTTTCTGGGCCCTTACTTACTTAGAAGAAAGCTGGTAATAGACGTACTGGCTAAGCACTGCTCCAAAGGAAGCCGCAAGTTTTCATTGATAGTTCGCGTAATTCTCAACAACTGCTTCAGCGCACGCAAAAGCGCTAATAACAGACTACACGGCACTTTTGTAAGGAAGTAGATAATTTTTGGATAATTTACTTTGGTACGCGATCGTCACATGACGTGACTCAACGCGGTTCTCACCACAAATTGTTTCAACTTCTCGTCGTCGAATGCCATCTCCTGTTCAAGAAATCGACTCTCAAGCATGTCACAGGGGGAGCTCCCTCCAGTACGTTTTCAAGTGCAAGGAAAATGCTAGTCTTGATGCTCAAATGCCCGCAGGTTCTAACGGCATCTGTGCATGACGTTCGCTATCTAGCCGCCCTACTTCGAGGTGTGAACTTTGTCAACGTACGAAAGAAGCAGCTCATTCGTCGATCGCACCTATTGCTGAATCGTACCTTCAGCGAGCCACCGTTACAGTAACGAAACGGGGCCTCACCATCAGCGTTGAAGAAGCCCGCACCTTGCTCGGTACGTCGCCATAATTGATTGGTTTAGTCGAAATGCGAGACCTCACCCAGCTGGAAGGCACTGCGTTTGTGTTCGCAGAAATCTTTGACGAATACGTGTATCACGCCGATGGCGATGGCCAACTCCCCACGTCTTCTCAAAACTCGGACGACGAAGGCGAGGCGGATAACGCTGCGTTTGAAATTCCGCTTAATATTTTGATTGACTGCCTCAACATATTTGGCACTGCTGGTCCTGCTACTTCTAGTAGTAGTGGGGGTGGAACAGGGAACTACAAACGATGGCGTCAAGTTGACGAAGATGGCTCAGATGACACGCGAGACGATGGTGATAACGGAGGAAGAGGGAGGGGAGGGGGAGGGGGAGGTAGGAGAGGTGGTGGTGGTGGTGGTGGTGGTTCGAGGGGAGCTGGGGGGACCATTGAGACTTACCTTGGAGGTGGGACTGACAAGGCTACAAGCATGCGTATGTCGTACGCTGGGGCTGGGTATCCATTGACACTTCTCATGTGCGTCTTGCTGTTTCCACAACTCAAAATCTTCCAACCTGATTTTTTTAGAGCGGAAGACGCATCTGGTCCCACCACTACCTGCGAAATTACGACCTTTGACCCAGAACCTCAACTCGAGTTAGAGTTTGACAATTCAGCAATGTGAAACATCTTTGCTCCCCATCCGAAGCCAATTCAGCTGAACGTCCCTTCTAGAGTTCTAAAAATCATTCTCAAAGTACCTCTTTCAAGGCTACTTGCTCCGCACGGTCCTCACGTTTTAATGCCTTTAGTCTTCCTGGTTACGAGACGCCCTGTCAGAACTCGACCCATCGTGCGACAAGTTGACTTTCATCGGGAACCCTCCTGTTAATACAGTCGTTGCACCCAACGGTGGTCAAAGACAACAACGAAATACAACAAAGCCAATGCTGCGAATACAGGCTGGAGGGACGTTCGGCAGTACTGAAGTAAGTGTAACCTTATTATCTCATCATTGCCCCTTTAATGATATATAGATGGACTACCCCAACGACCGTGATGTGCTAGAGACGTTTGAATGTACGAGAAGTGTTAGTTTCAGGTATTTATCCCCATAACAATTTTTTGCACCGATCCGAAATTCCAACGCTATCTGTAGCTATCGATTTGGGCATATATCTCGCACTCTACGAGCTCTTCAAAGTTCAACAAAAACTTCATTGCGGATCGACGAGGAAGGTCTTCTCAGCCTCCAATTTCTTATGCCGTCACCGAAATCGGCAGGTGGGGGACCAGAGTTCGCTGACGCCTTTATTGAGTTCCGAGTGAGTTCATTGAATTGTCCTGAATGTACGAAGACTGATAAAACCGTTCGAGTGTCTGGCTTTGGATGACGAGTTGTAAACTGTATTGCCGCTGCAAACATATTGGCATGTTGTACACTATCATACATCATATGTACAGATTTGAGCTCCATTTTTTGACAGCAAATACAAAAATTGAAACAATCATCACTGAATGTTATACATCGCGTCGAAACGCAATAGCTCAGACGAGCTCATTGAATACCTTGTTCCCAATTCCACGCGAATTTGCAAGATTAGAAACAAACATCCTCCGAATCGCGGCACCGTCAAGCTGACAGGTGAGTGTCACTTAGCACGCCACAACGCCGCCAATGGACTGATCAGCAACTCACCTGACTTTCCACATCTGATGAGAACTTGACGGATATCCTACCGGGACCTGTGGTCACCGGGCTGCAGATTTCAGTCTGGACATGGGTTGCTAGGGGAGCGCCAACTGGTACGGGAGGCCCACGGGGACCTCCCGCATGAACACTTCGTTGACCATATCCCATAGAGTGCATCTCAAAGAGGGACGGTCTGCGCGGACTCATAGTCGGAGAGCGGGAGAACATGATGCGGGGTGTGTTTGGAGGTGTCGGGAAAGGATTGTACGGGGGAGCATCGAGGTCACTTGTTAGTAGTTGGGCCAGTTCCTGGGGGTTTGTCGCGACAAGGGCGATTACTTCTTCAACCAGGACGTTCGTTGTTCCGTCTGGCATCTGGAGAGGCGGGGATAAATCTCAACGTTAGATAACATTGAGTGGATAGATCAACTGACCAGAATTTTCCCCAATATACCTGGGGCGTACGCTTCCACGTCAATCATAGCAATGTCTGACTCCTAACAGACGCTCAGCATGGTGCTGTAGAATATACATCAACATACGATTTGAAGTAAAACGTCCCCCGCAACGAACGCTTCCCCTTCCTTCTTCCTCCATCGGGTGATCGTTCCCTCAGTCATAAGAGGAGACATCGCAGGCATAAGGATCGCTTGTCTCCTCAACGAGCCGTGGATCGCTATATCGTATAATCGTTATGGCTGGGGTATATTCGATGACTCGACAGAAACTCACAACGTCTCCTAGTCATGTGTTGGGCTTGCATTCTGCAGGACTGCACTGCAGCCTTCGAGACAGCGAAAGTGGACATATAACGATGGTGATGTTGGCCAGCAACGATGGGGGGGATATACCGCGATCCTCGCGTATTTATACTCGACGCCTGGGAAAGATGGGTGGGCACAGATCAGGGTGAACAGCGTACAGCATTCAAAGACCAGTAGTTCAAAAGCTTGACGCCGGTGAGCAGAACGATCCGGTATAGACTTGCAGGTTGGTCTTATGAGGGAAGGATTGTCACTTTGGAGCATGTTTTAAAGTAAAGTCCATCTCATGACCAGGCCGGCCATGACATCATTGGACCTGACTCGATCCTCTAGCCTCCTCTAGCCCAATTGTAGCCAATGCGTACCTCTCCAACTAAGGACTCAAACGGAACTTACACGGAATTCTCACTAAGTCTTTGACACCCTCATATTTGACATCTTCGACTTCTTTGTATCCCAAGAGATGCCACCAATTCAAGTTGAAGGCTCCTCCAAAACGAACCCCCAACGAATCCGATAAGCAGTGATGATTGCGATGATGGGTTTAGTTTCCACTGGCATTCCGAGTGCTGAAAGGCTGTGTTGAAAAGCCTTTCAGCTCTCGGAAAGCCACCGGGAAGCTCGATGGAGGGATGTCCATCTGCCGCGCCTCCAACAGCCTCAACGTTGCTTTGCCGAGCTAAACGACCAAGGTTGAGAGACCTGATATGGTGAGATGAACTAACTACTGAGAAGAAACCCAGAAAAAATCGCGCCTTTCGCCTATAACATCCATGTGACGCTCAAAAAGCAGGAAGCCTCGGAGATTTGAGGCATAACGCGGGAAGGTGTCTAGGCTGGCAAACGAACCAATGTCCGACGGGAAAAGTCGGTGTTCGCTAAAATCTAGAATGTGGTTTATGCAATTCGGTGTAGCGCATCACTGAAATAAGTAAACGAAGAAGTTGACCTAGACCCGTCTGGACTTGAATGGGTAAGAAAACGAAATTCGTGCGTCTTGAGGCTTGAGCGCTTAAGCACCGTTGTCAGAATTCCTGGCCATACCAAAATAGTGGCAATTTTGGGGAATGAGATTAGTGGCGACACGAGAGTGCTGCCTGCCTCCAGCTGCTCAGGGACTCTTCCCTGACGTGACCCCTAGTACGCCCATGGCACGTAGCCCACACGCTAGCGCGGGTTCCAGGGAGCTAGAATCGAGATGGAAGGGTGTTCGGGGTAGCCTCACTTTGCAGGTAAGGCTCAAGGTATAGTCTGTGATCGATGTGATCAGCAGTGATGGGAAGAGGGTGAGCGCTATTTTTAGTCACATGGCGTTTATTTATGTCAAGTCCTCTGAAACGAACGTCGATTCTAGCCTCTTGCCACTGATGCGTAAAAATCAGGCCGATATAGGAGTATGCATAGGAGTCGCCGATTGATGAGGAAATTTAACGTTGTGGATGGCATTGTTCAACGCGCCACGGAACATGGTGGATGATGCAAGAGGACCGTGACGACTGCGCCAATACATATCGTCACTCCATCTATGGAAAGAAACAATGAGATTCGAGCGAGGCCTGGGCTACAACGTGCCCAAATTGCTTCAGCTTCGCGGGAAGGTTGAAGGGGGTGGAAGAACTTCTTCGATCGAGGAAGGTTTGAGAGACTGGCCAGTTAGGTGATAAAGAGCGTCGTCTCGGGTCGGTGGAGTTTCGTTGCTCTTCCTATAGGACGCTATTGACCACGGGACCACGTCTGTCGGTGCGAGGGTTGGTGCCAGTGCTAACGCGAATTCGCCAAAACGTTAACCCCGCCGACGAGCCAGCACCTAATTAGCATGTTCTTATGCGCAATGGATGGCAGCATCAGTTAATATTACGCCAATTCTATCAGTGCCAGTGTAAAGCGCAATGCCAGTAAGACCTCGAGGACTGACATCTCCAAAGACTAGGGCCCATTTTGCTTTTCTCAGAAAACGTGGTGACGGATAGAATTCGAAATTGCGGCGCCAAAAGACATGCGAAAACCGCCAGTAAGTACGTGTGGGGATGGTGTGGGATATATCGGATTACAATGGTCGATTATAACCGCCTCTTGACAAAATTAGAGGCGGATTCTGATTGAATCTGAAAAAAAAAACCTGGTGGTTGTGGTTGTGGAAGAGTGAGGTATACCGGTTTCACCGACTTACTTACTGCCGTTTGCATAATTCCGTGAACACTGCGATTTTTTCCCCCACCAATTGTACACTTTCACACGTCCCGCAGATATCTGATCAGTAAGATAACCGTGATTCTGCATACCCTCCATGATGCCACCAATCCCCGATGATCTCGAGCGAACGGTGGTAGATTGATATTTTTTGAAGAAGGCCTAACCTATTGACCCCACCCCACTCGCAATTGACTGGAAAATGGTCACTCGTTGTCAGTAGCTGATAATCACGTCACGCGTCAGTTCACGGAATTAATGAGAACGCGTCGGTCTAAAAATAGCTTATCAGTCGCGTACCGGTCATGTCGCCATACCGTTGACAAGTATACAAACGCGCAGGCGCTTCCAGTTCGCAAATCACCGCAATCGATTGAAAGTGCTCGTAGTATTTTTCCTGTTGACAATGATCACATATTCCGCCATCTAATCAGCTTTTGAATCAATACTTACTAGGAGACATCATCGGATTTCCTCCCCCTTCTCATGTCAGAAATATTCTCGAAGTGAGAAGGCTGTGCTTGCACAGTGAGAAGGCGATCGGGCCAACTGTAAGCAGCGCTTAAGTATAGACAGATGGATTCAACGGGTTCATAGGTGAGTCGACTACCCGAACCACGCCGTGAGTATTTTACCCTCCTCTAGAGGATACCTTGAGGGATGCTCCGAGCCGAGGGTTGAGGCCTCAACACCCGGTTCGGAGCATTCACATCCTCAACGTTAACGCTGAGGATGTGAATTTTGAATTCGGAAGGTCCGGCAACCACCCGGGGATAAACAAGGACTTACTGGCGCGCGGTTGGTAAGGATGTGGGCGTTATTAAACCCGTTCTATGCTTGGCGGATGCTAACGCGATCCAGCTATATCATCTGCCCAAAGCGTGTCGCGACGCTCGATGGTTTGCAACATTCGAAAAGGACCTGGTGACAGGGAGCGGTGTCTGCTGTCCTGGACAAAGGAAATTTCCGCTCCCTGTCGGTACACAATATTTTCAGTTTTATTGACTGCGAAATCGCGAATTTGCTGACCGTGTCGCGGTCGCGGACTTGCTATATCAAACGTTCGAGCTTTATCTCCTTTGACTGATATTTTCCGTGTTAAATCTTTTCGGAATCTACCGGCGAACATCAAGTTGCCGATATGGCCTTTCGTTTATCTTCGCCCGCGTCTTCTTCCTCCGTCTTCTCATCTGCTGTGAAACGCATGTGAATTCTCGTCTCCGTAGTTACTCCCAGCCCGCAAGCTTACCTTGAGATATCTTCGCATAAACTGGTTATTTGAAACGTTGCAATTTATTTTGATGGAAATCAGCTTGCCCTGCGATATCAGCGAGCGCTCAGGTTACAACATCAAGTGAACATCAACGTTTCAACTTGCGGGAGGAGGAGATTGAGCGGGCCGAATGGTCAGGGCCATGGCGCTAACATCCTTGAACCCAAGTGCACACGTGCGCTGCGCAAGGTATTTGTTCTAATCTGTTCTAATGCTCGGTCAGTGGCCCCGTCCAGAACGACGGAAAATATCAGGTACTCATTGGATTATTTTTCGCAAGTGTTTGTTTGTCTGTATGACAGCGCCTTTTTCTTTTTGACCATTTTTATTGTTGTTTGAGCTCCGGAGGTTCATTTACGATCTTGTTGAGGATAGGATGCCCTAGAGTCCGAGACAAGCGGTTTCTTTTGAAAAGGATGAATTGAACAAAATTTGACACTCAGTTACGCGGAGGAAAGCAAATGGCGTGACATATCGATGAAGCCCTTGGAGCGCTTACAACTCTAAAGGGCAAGGACTACATATCCAGTAAGATGCACGTTATGATCAGGATTTGTTGTTACCTACCATCGATAGGGAGTATCGGTAATACTCGCAAATAAACAAGCCTGCAAGATCGTTTTCCTTTGAACGAACGGATAGATTGGACTGCTCATTAGTGGGACGGATTCAAACTCTGTAGACATGTTTGCAAGAAAAAACAAAGGAAATGACTCCATATAAAAGAAGCTTGGCGGTCTTGGCACTCGGGCAGTGCCGGTCTTATGTTTTTATTTCGCAGACAGCCTACAGACTCCCATCCGTATACGATTCATAGTCGTTTAAAGGGCGTGTGCTCTGTATCCTGAGGTTGAGCACACCGGTTCAGCTCCCAGAATTGTAGACGCGAGAAGCTGACTTACCGTGATTGGTGAGATCTCAGGGTATGGGTAAGTAAAGGGAGGCGACTGTTGACGGGACTGTGGGAACAAGGGCCCTTTAAATTTCAAGGAACATTAACGAGCATTATATAACACCGACAGGAATGCCAAGAGTTACATCCAAGTCAGGCCGACTGCGCAGATTCAGCTGTGGATGAATAAAAGATCGGCGAGTCAAAGGGCGTGGCTGTGCTGTCGCGAGCTTGGCGTTGACTGTGCAGAAAACATATGAAAGTGGGAGAGACTGTTACGCAGCCAGGAGGAGAATAATGGTATGGTGGGTTGGATGGGAAGGAATGAGGATCGGATCGGGCACGTACAACGGGGACCCCGGAGACTGCGATGGAAGCAGATCTAGTTGCCAGATTGCATTTGAGACTGAGTTCGGCAGACTTACCCTTTGCTTACGCTTGCTCGTCGTCTCTCTTTCGTCCACCATGACCATCTTACAATCAAGACAGCCATTTCCGCCACCAACAAAATTCAGTATACTGCTTTCTCCTCAATGGCAGCCACCTCATGCACCATCGAGCAACTCCCTTTCATCTTCCTCCTCACCGTCTCCAGATGGTTCCATATCGTCATCGTCTTCCTCGTCCTCTGTCTCCTCCTATACTAGCCTTAGCACAAATGACCATACTCCTGTTCAAAATCACCCGTCTTCTGCTTTGTCGCCCACCTCTCGTCGTATTCGCTTTGCCCCACTTCCAGACCCCCGTCGCTCCGTCTTCATCTCAGATGACGGCGACGAAATTGTCATTTCAGAGGTCGATGATACAACTCAAATCTCTTGCCCGGCAACCCCAATAGCCCAGGCTGTGACTTTGGAACCAGACCCGCTGTTTCAGGACAATTCCAGTCTGAGCAGTTGCTGTTCCTCAAAGAGAAACAGTGATTATACAGACATCTCTTCGTCCTCATCAACACCAGGGACAGCTACACCAGCCTCGTCCTTTATGACACCCGCTGCTAGCGAATGTGACAGCTCGGTACTGCCTTCGCCAGTGACGCTGACTGCTTCGCTTCCCACACTTCAACAATCATCAAAGCCGTCATCATCATGGCCCAAGCCAAAGTCATTGTCGCTTCTACGCCCATTCAAGAAGTCCTCTGGGTCAACTTCCCCCTCTTCCTCCCTCTCATTAACCCCCACTCCGTCCATTGAACGCACCCCCACAGGTAACAAGAGCGAAGAGGACCGCACTATCAGTGGTATCAATCTCTTTCGTGCTTCTTCGCTTGACAGCAACAGGGAAAATGCGCCATCAGGCGGCGGTTGGGGCCTTTCCCGGTGGTCTAGCAGTAGTACAGCGAAAATTAGCAATCTCAGCGGATCTTCGCCTCTCGCCAGGACTCAAAGCACACAATCCTATAAATCCAAACCCGCCAAACCTCCTTCCATGGCTGCGAATCGCAACTCCACTGGAGGCATCTTTTCGTCAGGATCGACATCAGCCAAGCCTTCAAACCCCTCAAGAAAGGGCACGCGAATGCTCAACGGACGTGTTTACGGCGGTCCTAAACGCGACCCAAACGCCAACCCTTTCGCAAATGCTCGCGACGAAGAGCCGGAATTTGTCGAATGGGGATATGGTGGTATGGGAAGTGTTAAAGGAGCTAAGAGCGCTGGGGTATCCGGCACCAATTGGGATAGACTGCATGGGAACGGAAGTGTGAATGGATCGAAGCAGGAGGGTTCTGGCGCTCAAGAGGAGGACGAGAATGGAGACGATGGAAGTGGCATGGGATGGGTGAAAAAACGGAGAGAGAAGAGAGAGAGAGAGGAGAGAGAGAGGAAAGAGAAGGAGGAGCGGGAGAAACTTGAGCAAGAGAAAGGGCCAAAAGGGACCGACGACGTGGTGCCAGGTTCGGACGAACTTGATTCCGGACCAACGACTATCGTCGAAACCTTCACCCCCACCGATCACGATCACACTGCGGTTGTCCCCACCATAGACACACCAGAACTGTCGGTCCTCACATCCGATCCAGTCACATCCACCGAACCATCAGTGCCTCGCCCAACCACACCGGCATCAACGTCCACGACTACCGGCGTTATACACCCGTTAAACTCCCCCTCCACATCTCTATCTGTAGAAAAGGAATACATCCACGAAACTATCTCCATCCCGACGCGGACTTACCACCATCATCGGGGACATTCGCGGGGTGGGTCAAGGGACACAATACCTCTGAGCCTATCTTCGGGCACAAGTGTCACGTCGCCCAAAGTCATTGAGGAGACCCACAACAGCTCGAGCAGCGCGAGTGAGAGCGAGAGTGACTCTGAGGATATCGGGGAAGAGGATGCTGATGCCGAAGAGGACGATGACGAAGAGGACGGCGAGCTCGAGAAACAGAGAAAGACCGCATTCAGCGCTGGAGTGGAGAAGATTAGTCGATTCAAGGACCTCACGTTGTTCGATGAGGTTCTGGTATCGGAGGACAGTCGCGCTTAGGTGCCCGAGGCGCTCTTCTCGCTTTGTGGGGGAAGGAGAAAAGAGGTTGAAAGATTTCAGCATACTTATCAAATCGTACTTGACTACGGCGTTTTCAAGCACCCAAGCTTTTCCCAGCTTACGCCTTCGCGTCGTTGTTCGGGAGCCACTCCTAAACGCTTCACCTTCTGCCTTGGCACTCATCGGACATCCTGCTTTTGGAATCCGAGAAGCTACCAAGGACCTCCGCTCTCGTTCCACCTCATCACACGTTTCCGCATCCGCCACCTTAATTCCACACAGCTCACCATCCAAGACCGCACTTCAAAAGCAACCAATTATAATTCAACACTCTTCAACGACTTACGACATACCATAACGAATCTAACCATTGCATATATACATCTACTGTCCGACTTCTTAATTTATAGTGAGTGTTTCTTTTTTTTGTAGATCATCAATCCGGGACTAATGACGTTCTTCTTTGGTGGCATAGATCCTGCTTGGCGTGAACGTGCCGCAGTTGTAAACTTTGCCCATATCGTTATCAGCACCTCAACTCCATCTTTTCTTTCCTCTCTGGCACTCGCATTTTGCCATTCTCGACGGCGAAATGTGGGCGACTATAATTTAGGTGTGTTTCGCTTACAATTTCTGCTCGACTGTGTGTGCTTGCTAACAGCGGTTACCCTGCATAGGCCTACACTCACTCTTCAACGACCAAAACGCTGAAACGATTTGGCTTGCCTTGGCTATTCCTTGGCAACGTTCTTGGTACGAGTATTTCGCTTCGAATGGTAAAGATCAATTGCTAAATTTGCCTTTTAGACTTGCTCTTTCATCGCCGCTGGACTTGGGCTCTTGGTTTCTAGACTGCAAGGCCCCACCCACTCTCTCGTCCACTCGTCGCTTTGTCTTGTTATTGTTTCTCCTGTGGTCATTGTTTCTTCTCTAGTCATCGCTTCGTTTCATGGGTCTTGGTTATTTCGTGGTCAAGTGCTAATTTATCATGTCTGGCTCCTCATCCAATTGTGCATCATTCCGATACAACCATTTCATTACTCTTACCTAGTATATTCAATATATCATACACGCAGACTGCAACATGTTGGCGTTTCTCGGGAAATCATGTGTTGTGGGTAAGATCATTTGACATACCACAGCAAAGTATACACGTGACCGTCAAGAGTTTCGCCATACTTTTCGTTTTCGAAGCATTCCTTAGCAAGCCTTCTTAGAAAGCCAACCGTGACCTGCTCAATTTGCGCTGTACGGTGTCAAGGGTGGGCGTTGAATATAGCCTTCCAAATTCCTATATAAAGCCGCCCCATCCGCAAATCTGGCGTTATCTGCTTTATCCCCTGTCTGCGCAACTCGCTCCCGCTTTCACGCGCAGCGCACGCTCTTGTCTTTTCCAACGACGACGATATCATCCTCATCGATTTCTCCGGCCCTTCAAAGGCTTTCTCAGGCAAGGTTGGGTTACCATAAGGATGGTTTAGGGTCTCACCTTGACTTGACAGGTCTATAGAGCCTTTAGCAATTCTACCTCAGCCAATATGCCTCCGATTTACGATAAACCGACCGTGGACAAGTACGACTATGTCGTCATTGGTGGTGGGAGCGGGGGATCTGGGACTTCTGTGAGTCGTATGCGCTTGCTATTGTTCCGAGCGTCACTTGACTTATGAATTAGAGGAGAGCAGCGACGTATGGTAAGAAGGTAGCTGTTGTGGAAGCTACCCCTCACCTTGGTGGCACCTGCGTCAATGTTGGTAAGACTTTAACAATCTTCTATGGGTTTCATCGAGTTGACGCGATTTACTCAGGTTGTGTGCCCAAGAAGGCAAGCCGCGATATCCACGCAGCTATGCGCCTCTCCTGACATCTAGATTGTTGCAGATCATGTGGCACGCTGCCGACCTACAGGACAAGATCTTGCACCAAGCGCCAGGTTACAAGTTTACAGGCGTTGAGAACGCAAAGTTTGATTGGGCCGCGTTCAAGCCTCAACGCGACGCATATATCCGGCGGCTAAACAGCATATATGCGACTAACTTCGATAAAGAACACGTCGAAAACCACCAAGGATTTGGGCGCGTTACTTCGCCGACATCAGTTGAGGTAACACTCCCTGACGGCAAGGGAAAGTACACTTTGCACGCGGATAAGATTTGTGTTGCGGTTGGAGGTCGACCCGTCATCCCTTCTGACGAGGAGATTCCAGGAGCATCCAAAGGCATTGACTCTGACGGTTTCTTTGACCTTCCCGAGCAGCCGAAACGTGTTGCAGTGATTGGTGCGGGATATATCGCGGTCGAACTTGCTGGCATCTTTAACGCCCTTGGCACGGAAACTCATCTGGTTATCCGTGGTGAGACTGTGCTCCGTACTTTCGATCCTACGCTGCAGGAAACCCTGACTCCTTGGATGGAGAAATCGGGTGTCAAGTTGCACAAGAAGAGTCACGTTACAAAGGTAGAAGGCGAGCGCGGCCAGACCTTGACGGTGCACACGGACAACGGCGAAAAGATTGATGTTGACGTCGTGTTGTGGGCGATTGGCCGCAAAGCAAACACGCAGGGGCTTGGCTTGGAAGAAATAGGAGTCAAACTAGACAAGAAAGGCGACGTGGTTGTGGACGAATACCAGAACTCCTCTGTGGAAGGCATTACTGCGATCGGAGACGTACAGGGCAAGTGGCTCTTGACCCCTGTCGCTATCGCAGCCGGAAGGAGGCTTTCAAATAGACTATTTGGACCAGAAAAATTCAAGGACGATAAACTGAGCTACGTAGATATCCCGACTGTTGTCTTCTCGTCCGTCATTTTCGCTTGCTCTTCTGGGTCATTGATTCGATTATTTCTCTAGGCACCCAACCATCGGAACGGTAGGCCTGACCGAGCCTCAGGCCCGCAAGAAATATGGCGATGCAGTCAAGATCTGTATGATTACTTTCCGTCCCTTTCCGTTCATACTTTCTCAGTGCTCCACAGATAAGTCGTCATTCAAATCACTTTATTTCTCCATGGTGGACGAAGCGCACAAAGAACCGACCGTATACAAACTTATCTGCGTCGGACCAGAAGAACGCGTTGTTGGTGTGCATATTATCGGTCAGGGAAGTGATGAAGTCATGCAGGGCTTCGCAGTCGCTGTCAAGATGGGAGGTGATTATTCTTGCACTGCTTCTTTACTCATTAAAGATCATCTGACCATATGTTGCTGTTCTTTCTAAGCCCGGAAACAAGATTTGGACGACACCGTTGCCATTCATCCGACATCGGCGGAAGGTGAATCATCCTTGTGAACTCTTGTCTTTCGCATGATCGTAACTTCGTTCTTCCAGAACTCGTCACCCTTAGATGATAGAAACAGGTGAAGGCTGTGTGTAGGCTTGGAGGCGGCGTACCTCAAATCGTTTGCGGAAACCTCATGTATTTTTAATGATGCACACCAATCCGAATCGTTTATTGTCCTTAGGTCGCGCCCTGTTGCCCCGCCCCCTCCCAGAGCAGACCAAGTGGTTTATACGCTGAGATCTAAAGGCCGGGCGTTCCCCGAAACCAGGAATGCGATGTCCATGGTTGAACTTTTGGGCTTCTTGCTTTCCAGAAACAAGAACTGGACAAGTCGCAAGAACGTCATTGTGCGGTGGCAACCCTGAAACCGTTATGTTTGCAACTCAAAGTGGACGCGACGACTCATCTTGCCGTCATTCCAATCGTTTCAATCACCAAACCATTCAAACCTGCGCGCTCTCTGCGTAAGTACACCTGTGGGGAGGTTGACCGCCCGAGTTAAGGGGTTCAATTACGTACCTCGCACGTACCGCAAGCATCGGGTACGTGTAATCTTGTTCGTTTACTGGAGACTACGGTCATAAAAGGTCAAGGGTGGAGCCGTCCTCATCGTGCGCAAGTGAACGGCTGCCTGCCCAGCGTATACTACGCCAAACAAGATGTTTACCGAAGGTGAAAAAGAAGGATGGGTTGTGATATTGATGTTCAAATCGACTCAAGGGTTTTCTTGGCTCGACAATCCTTTGCAGTCGTGTGACTGTCTTTTTTTTATGATCAACGGCGAGCCGCGAATTAAACTCAGATATGACGATTTCTGGCAAAGGACCTAGGACACCGTTTCATTAAAAGTGACGGGGAAAAATTGGGGGTTGTACGAGCTTTACGATTGTCCGTGATAACTGAGAAGAGTAACTCAATCGCAAGGGAAGTTCCCGTGCACCCTGAGTCCCGACGTGGGTTATGGGGTTGTTGTGGGGTAAGAGGAGCTATAGACTGATGGCAGATGTCATCACATCGTAAGTCCACTATCGATTAGAAAGGACCACTAAAAACACGGAACGAATCAGCCGATTTCTGTTTGGCGCCCTTCAATGTGCGAACGTGCAGACCAGTGAAGGAGTTTGGCCTCAGCTACACTTGCGCAGAAAGGACGTGGGCCTATATCGGCGCAACGCAGCACGTCGCGATCGCATGGGGCAAACTCTGGTGAGCAGGAACGAGAAATACACAAAGAGGAACGGCAGTCCTGTTGAACTTCATCTTAGCACCCAAATGAGTGATCGCGACGAAAGTTTGAGAAATCATTCTGTCCTGAGGTGTCGTACAAGTACCAAGTGATGAAGCAATACAACAATCGATTAACAGATAACCAACAGAAAGGAAGGAAAAAAAACAAGCGACGTGCGACTAACTAAGTATCCCTGTACAAAATTCTCAAATTCATCTGCGATTATCAGATAAAAATCAGCCACGATTTCAGCACGAACTGGACTCGATTGCATACCTAGTATTGAACATCGATATAGGGCATCTGAGGGGGCGCAGGTGCAAGATCTCCGAGATAGTCCAGAACGACTTTAGGTTTCTTGTATCCCGCCCTAGAAAATGGCGAAGCATACTTCCTAACCTCCCCGGGAACCCTCTGCCACGCCTTCGAAACCGTCATCCAGCCACGAGCCACAGAAACAGTTTCACCGTCTTCAACGAAATCATCATCAGCAACTACAATCTCCTCCCACTCCTCCTCACCCGCCCCGCCCGGCGTGCTCTCAGTGGGCAGGGCTCCTAAGAGCCTGCAATACCGTCAGATGACGTCCTCATCGGAGTAGAACTCGTCGTCGTCGTCTTCATCAACCGATGTAAGGTTGTTGAAGTCAACCTTGTATCGAAGCAAGCCACCTATACCACCAAAACCCTTGACGAATTGGGCTCCCTCTTGTGAACGGTTGGTCACGAACTCGAGCGCTGCTCCAAAATCTTTGTATTTCTCTGCAAACCATTCGAGAAGGGCTTGAGGTTCTTCGGCCTGCTCCATCTCGAGTCCAGTCGATTTGTCTATAAACTTTTCGCGGTCCTTCTGCTGATCTTTGTATGCGTGGATGATGATCTCCTCTGTTGCACAAGTGAGATAGTGCAAGCTTAAAAATGGAGAGACCCACCTCCTGCAGCGTTGCGGAGAATGTAACGCGTAATATCAAGATTCTCCCAGACAATCAGAGTCTCAACAGCACCAAGTTCGAGCGCCTTCAAGGTGTCGTCGATTCCAAAGCAGTACCTTCCAGTGTCTTGACTGATTTCATCAAAGTACTTTTGTATAAGACGTTTCTCTTGAACAAATTTGACGTTGGCAAGCGATTCAGCGGCAAGTTCGATTGCCTGGCCAACGAATTAAGGCGGATGTTCCACAGACCAGATCAATTGACGCCCATACCTGATTAAAACCATTCTCGCCACCATAACTTACATCAACGACTTTGATAATTTTAGCAGCAAGTCTCTGATCGAACATGTCGCTCTGACTGAGCTCAGTTTTGAAGTCCGCACTGCCGGCGAGAACCAGACCAGTCACGTTGACCTTGTCGTTGGTGATGAAATGTTGAACGGCCAGCTCAGCAACCTTTCGGACGTAATTATGGCGTTTTTCGTCACGAAGACGGGAGAAACGAAGGGCAGACTGTCCACCACGTCCATGCTTCTTCGGAAGATCGACGGTGAACTTGTGGGTCACTTCACGGGTGTTACCGGCGAGCACTCCGAAAAGAGTACCGTTACCATCCATGACGATGAAACCGAAGCGGGAGTCAGATTCCAAAAGTTCGGACAGCGCCTCTGTGTGAAATTTGTTGTCGCAGAGATAAAGCGAGCTGAAGATATCGCTCAGATCAAGAGTAAAAGCAGAGGGAGTCGCATGCGTACGTGTTGATGGGTTTGTGGGGCTCAAAATCGAATGAAACCTTCTTCTCTTTTCCTTCGTCCGTGAGAATGGTTCCAACGAACAGCACGAGACCATTGGGCGGTACACGATTATATAGCTTCAGACGCTGCTGCGTACTGGTAATGGCGGCCAGCACGGACAGACGATTGACTCGGGATTTAATATTTGAAGCAGTACCATATTCTTGAGTTAACATGGCAGAGGCACGTGAGATCTGATCCTATAAAAAGGATTAGCGATGTCGGTGAAGAGAAAACAATGGGAAGTCACCTTTGGGGGGATTATAAGACTGATCATGGAAGTGCCAGCTCTGGAGGTCGATTAGCCATGCATTGACCAGTACGTCTTGAAAAGATTATACCCTCTGGCGGAATCAAGGCTCTTAATGAGCTTTTTAACCTTCCACATCTGTATGTTCTGCTCCGCGGCGTCCTGACTCATGATGGGCGACGATTGCTGGTCGTACCAAGCGGTGGGGCGGGGGAAAGATGGTGATGGACTTTGAACAAGATCGATTTTAAGCACGAGGCCAAAGCTTTTTCTGTTTGCACTTGTGTTTCTCGATCTTAAACATGGACTCTGTCAGAAAACGCAAGCTCGACTCCACAAACGACAATGACTCGGGCAAAAAGCCCAGAATGACTGAAGGACCCGCCTCCGCTGGCCCGAGCGCGGTTCCTACGGTTCAATTCGCTGAAACAGCTGAAGCAAGTGTGGTAGCGGAGTTGGCTTCGGTGAAAGGGAAAGGAAAGGCGGAAGAAAACGCGCCGGGTCGCGCGATCTCAAACATGGACTCTGTCAGGAAACGCACAAACGACAATGACTCGGGCAAGAGAACCAAAATGACTGAAGTGCCCGCCTCCGCTGGCCCAAGCGTGGTTCCTGAGGTTCAACTCGAAACAAGTGCGGCAGCGAAAGGCAAGACGAAAGAAATTGTAGCGAACGCGCCGGATCGCGCGTCAAGACCGAGAATCAACAAGCTCGCGCCACCACGCCCATTCCCAACGGTACCGAAGTCTGTATCTGCCACTGGCCCGCGTTCAGCACACAAAGAGGGCAAGAACTTTCTCTGTCTGTCTCGTAAAACCTCGTTGGGTACTTATATGCGCAGATGTAAAGATGTGATTATCAAAGACGGGTACGCTATCACCTATTTACCACCTCGCCCCGCATTCAATTACTTTTCAGATATAAAACTCTTCATCTGAGTGCGATGGGAGCTGCGATACCCCTTCTTCTCCAGCTTACATGTGCCCTGCCTCCTATTCTCCCCTTTCCCAAAGACGAGATACATACGGAAGTGATAACTGGAACGGTCAATGTTCAGGACGAGGTCATACCCGAGGACGATGAGGAGGACATCACTTATCAGACGCGAGGAAAGTCTACCGTCAAGGTCATATTTAGGATCGGTGATGGCGAATTTGAAGGCGACCGCACTGGTCCACTCCGGAAATATAGTAAGGGTGGAGGAGGAAAGAATAAAAATGGGAGTGGCGGGAAAGATAATGACGTAGGAAAGCAAAAGGATCAAGGATCGTCTGCAGTGGTATTCCAGGAGCCCGAACAAGAAGATTTTATGGACATGCTATGAGGAGGTTGGCATATATGACTTCCTTCAATCTTCAAGGGAGACGTCGACGTGTGTATTCTTTTTATCCATAAACTTTGAAATACTTGAACAATACAATATACATTTTATATTCCTTTCAGAGCTCTGCGTTACTTGGTCAAGCCGCTTTCCTTCCTCCTAATTTCTGGTTCCAAGGGAAACCGCTGGCTCTCTGGGCTAAGCGAGTACAGCCTTGTCCAGATCGGTTCCAAAGGCTTGGGAGTCCTCCAGGCGAATTCATCGTTACGCAACCATAGACGGATGAGGTGCCTCCTGGAGAGGAGTAAACAATTCTTCTCATGACGGTGTATCGTAGGCGAAACTCACGTCTTTTCCGCACTATCCTTGAACGAATCTCTCGCATGCAACAATCCCATGCTATTGATGTACTGAATATCACCTTTCTGGAAATTCAGCCCAAGAGAATATTTCTCCGCTAGGAAATGCACTGCGTCCAAGGCTTCCGCTTGAGCCTCAGTAATCGGAGGAATATTCTGACTCCGTTTCTGCTGCCCGTATCCCGTAAAATGTCTTCGTGAATATTGAATTATTACGTGGCCGTCCTCGTAGTACAGAACTGGTCGAGTTGTATATCCCGGATCACCTCCAAAACTAATTTTTACAACTTTGAGAATAAAACTCAGCGCGACATTTGATGAAAACACGAACCTATCAAGGGGCCACAGCTCGCTTAGGGTATGAATCAAGTCCGGGCGCGTCGCCGCCAACTCATTGTACACGCGCGCCCCACTGCTGATTCTAGAAGTACCGCCCTCTTCTGCCGTCGCCAGCGCCATCAAGGCGATCAAGTCCCCGACATCGGTGTGGAAGACTTGCTTATCCGTGGTATACGCCGAGTTTCCGATGCCTCCCTTCTCATGAGCATGGCTGACTGTAAGGTCCTTGATATGAGCGAGCACGGCCCCAGTTCCATCTTGCTTTCCTCGCGCAGATCCGACATGGGAGGATATCCCTGAGCTGTTGTGAGTATGTGTTTGACTCTCGCTAAGCGACGGAGATGGGACGGTACGCACCAGCGTAGATTATAGCCAGGTCCGCGGGTGAGTATTGATCGATTGGGATGGTTCGTAGAACGAAGAAACCACGCCCAGAGTACAGTTCCTGCGCAAGACCTCGTAGTTCTTTACTCAAGGTGGGAAGCGGGAAAGTATCCCTGCCGACATGCCCCATCTCAACGTTCAGGCCTATATAATCAGACTAGTGAGCAGTTTCATTCAGGTATGTGATATGATCCCGACCTTTGAAATGTACCAGAGCGTCGTCGATTTCTTTCAACTCCGATGGAGTGAGGTTATACACCCATTGGTCCTCATTTTTCCAATCTTTTCCTTCCCATACGATAGGGCTTTCCACTTGCTGAGGATATCCAGGCGGGAGGGCAGTGGATGGTAAGCTTGGATCCTCGGCCAACCTTCTCGCTGTGCGTGCGCGAAATTTCGTTTCATCAGGGTGATATGCAATATCTGGTTGGGTGGCGGCCGATATAGTCATGATTTGTTTCTAGGCAAGAATTCAGGTGATCATGATGTCATGCGACGTTCGTATGTGAATCGAATCCAAGCATAACAGTGTTCCACCATATGCAGGCCTTGCCATGAAATGCTCAGGAGTGTGAAAATCTTATGCCCGTCAGATTCGAGGGGGTATAGATTCAGACTACATTTCCGCTGAGAACAAGGGTATTTTCGAAAAAGAAAACAAACAAACAAAAAAGTTAAACCAATATGGTGCCCGTCAATCTCACATCCCTGATTGACGCGCCAACGTGTACAGTAAAAGTTCCAGTAGGACGCACGTACACCTGACTGGGGGTATCCCAAACGCTTGAAAAAAAATCAACAATCAGCAACTCCCACCACAGTAGCAGCCTGAGTGCATACCTCATATCTCTCCGACTGAGATTGAACGAAACACTAGAACTCGCACCAACATCCAACTCAACCTCCTCAAAGCCTCTCAACACCCTCTTCGGTTCCCCCGCACTCGACGGGTATGCAAGGTACAGCTGTGGTTTCTCATATCCCGCAAACACACCCGTGTTGGTCACGGTGAACTTTATCAATCGTGAGTCATCTCCTGAAGAGGCGATGGACAGCCCAGAGTACGAAAACGTCGTGTAGGAAAGTCCGAATCCAAATTCGAAGCGCGGCATTATGTTCTGGTCATCCATGTACCGGTAATCAAGAAGAAGCTTCTCCTTGTATTCAATCTGTCAGATATTCATGAATATTCGTCAAGAAAAGAGCAGAAAGAATGGTACCGTTGGAAACCCAAGGCTGTTGTAGACGATGGAAGTCGCATAAGCAGCTTCATTCTGGCCAAAAAGTCATTTTGGGTGCTAAGATGGAGAGCGCAAGTACTTTCATCTGCAATGCTGAATGGTAATCTTCCGCTCGGGTTGTATTTTCCATACATAACATCGACGATCGAAGGTCCGGTCTGCTCTCCTGGGGCCCCTGCATAGATAATAGCGGTGACGTTCGGGTGAGTACTCCAAGGCATGTACACAGGTCCCACAGAATGCACAATGACGATAGTGTTGTTGCAGACCGCTGCTACTTGCTCAACCTGGCATCACAAACCAGTTAACGAGAGAAAATCTCGCGGCCGTGTTTGACTGACCAGCCTGCCGCCACTCCACCACAAATCAAGGTCATTTCTATCGCCCATGTTGCCCACCACAACATCATAGAAACCTAGTTCACCACTCATACTAAGTAACCGTCAAAAACCATGCGTTTCCAGGCGAGACGAGACATACGCATTTACAAAGACGAATGCCACATCCTTGGCCCTTGCAGCATTGACTCCATCTTTCAAGTTGTTCGACAGTGACGATGTAATTGTCGCCGAGGAACCCACAAAGGAAGTTATTGCAGTGATAGGAGGAATGATAAATTGAAGGGAATTCGATCCCGAGCCCCATCTATCGGAAACAACGATCAATATAATGGCGAAATGTAAAAATAAAAAGAGCTCACCCGATGGACATCGTGCCATCATTACATTCGTTTAGGTCATTACAGTTGAGATTCGGGATCTTGGCATCTTGCCCAACCACAGCAATCGTCTTTATCATCGATTGCGCAAGTGGTAGACCTCGGATTGTTGTTCCGCTGGGAGTACCAGTCGTCGTCGTGCGGTTGTTTTTCAGCAAGACGGCTGAAGCGGATGCGATCTCACGAACGAGGTTCGTATGTGCATCGGTTCTTACGTTAACATTCAAATTCCGAGGTCCGGAGCCGTCGCTCTTCTGGGCATCGAAATTGACGGGGGGATAGCCCTACAACACTTTAGTATCAGTGAGACTGCTGGGATATTGGCGCGCAAACTTACAGAATCTTGACCAAGATGATACCAAGGAGCGAGTATTCTGGCGACCATCTGGCTGAGCCTCTGCGGAATAAATATTGAACGAGAACATCTGAATAGTCAAGAAAGCCAAACATCAGTAGAAACCGAGCCACTCTTGACAGCAGACTCCAAGCCCCCACTGAAAGACTCCTCCACCTCAAAGTAAAATTGAGTACTGCTGACTTTGGGAAACATGAAATGGACATACCGACGACTATATAGTCTCCAGGTTGCTCCATGTCTACTCCGGCATTTGCGTTATCGCTGGCAGCATCGTGTGTCGCTCCCCAGTCGCTCACAACATACCCTGGGCACGATAAGAGACGAGATCAAAATAACATGTAACATGAGTACCATTAAATCCATTCACCCGCAATAGCCCATTCGACCCAAGGATCCCGGCGTTATGACATGAAGAAGTTTCGTTGAAGCGGTTGTATGCGCACATAACAGAAGCAACGTCGGCCTGAGAAGTGATGTAAGGCTTCTGCTGCTATGGCAATGCGTACGCCTACCTCGATACTTCGAAGGAAGGGATAAAAGTATATTTCATGAAGAGTCCTATCGTCAATATTCGAGGTGTAGCCAAAGCGCCAGTGTTCCTGATTATTAGCAATGAAATGCTTCGCGCAAGCCTGCACGCCAACGCTCTGCACACCGATGATGGTCTCGTAGGCGCCTTCACCGTTGAGATATGGATCCGGTCCGAAACTGGGTATTTTCAATTTGAGGGGGTGAAGAGATAGGATGTTGACAACCTCACCTTTCCCAGGCACGACCAGCCTTGGGATTTCTCATCTGCAGAAACAAAGTTCTGTTCACTGTAAACCAGCTAAATAGATATGCGCACGATATCCATAGCTGGACCTAAAAACACACTGACCGAAAACATCAAAAAATGTTTCTTCAAGACGTCAATGACGAAATACTTACTGGACACCCTTTCCGCGAAATTCCTCTCCAATCGCTTGGCCTCTCGCGCGAATCAGCCGCCGGCTAAAAGTCGCGGCGGCATTGATACCTGCGGGAAATCCAGTGACATTCTTTATGAGCCGCAGTCCCGCTGGTCCGTCTTGAAAACAAATGGAGGGAATCCCAAGGCGCGGGATGGCTGTAGTATCGCCGACACAACGTCCTACGTACGTGTACAATGTTAAAGACGCGCATGGCAGCGTCGAGTGTTGGCTCACGGTTGGCGTTGAGCTGCCCTGTTCCTCGGACAACACCCAATTTTTCGGTGAGGGTCATTTGGGCGACTGCGGCATTGGCCAAAGTGAAGGACTCGTTCCAAGAGCCTGAACGCGTGGGGCATCAATGATCTGGTGAGCGCGCCTGGATAGGGAAGAAGGAGACGCACGGGTCGTGAATGCATCTGAGAAACCTACGCAGAGGGCGATAAAGACGAATATTGGGCGAATCATTACGTGTAAAAACCTAAAGCAAACTCTCATGGGCCCAGTTAGTTATATTCAGAAAAACAGAGCCCCGAAGTCCGCAACCACAGTACCGCCGAGCGGAGGATGGACAATAGGAACTATTTCGGGAAATAAAAGCACGCGTGCGTGTTTCAAGAAGCACCGGACGGCCAAGGGAAAACATTGAAGGTGACAAGCGCAGCACCAGCGGATTGACAGTTAAGTGCACAGCACATGACGGAACGCTTCTTCAACTTGCATGGATGTTCTTGGGTGTAGGGTGCATGAGGCTGAAGAAATGCTGGATGCTAGATAGATATCTTCAGCGTGACCTTTGTTGAACAAGACGCGGCAGTCATCTGGCAAGTCACAAGAGAGGGAACACAAGTTGCATTGTAGAAGACTATACCAAATGCAATCGCTTGGTGTTGATTGGCAGACGCGACATGATCGAAAGCGGCAACCAGGAAAAAATCATCAAAAATAATAATTGAAAATATATCCAGCAACTTCGCACCCTTGAAAGGGCTACTCCTCTTTCTCCTCGTCCTCCTCGCCCTCTTTCGTTTCTTCCTCGTCCTTCTCTGGCTCTTTTGCGCCCTCAGTCTCCCCTTCAGCTTGCTTACTACCCATAACAGTAGCATTGATACTAATTCGCAGCATCAGCCATAGTGAATAAACTTGTTCACAATGAATACGCACTTGAGCATGACATGCACTTTCTCTTTTCCATGTTCACCCGTCTCGGATCCCTGCAATTCAACGGTGATACGCTTGCTCCCCTTCCAGCCATAGCTACCAGTAGAGAACGTGCTTGGGACCAGCGTCAGCGTCCCTATGAGCCCAACGTCCTCTGGGGCTACCGTATCCGCATCCTCCGTTGTAACAATGCTTGGGGGTGTGTGAGTGATGTTCACATGGAGGGGCAAGGCCTTGGCTTTGAAAGCGGATGCTGGGATTGCAGCCTGCGTGTGGCATTGAGAGTGAGTGAACGTGAAACATGTTGTATGTCGACTGGGCACATACCTTTGCGCCTTTCTTCGCGCCACCCTTTTTGCCTTTGCCTTTCGGTGAGCTGCTCGTCTTCGCCGCTTTGGAGACGCGTTCTGTAGAGCCGGCCTCTTCAGCTGCACGTTTAGTTCCTGGGTGGCATAACTCGTCAGCAACAAGAATTGCTCTCCAGGAGAATATTGTCGTACCAGCCATTGTTCAATAGGTTGTGATGGTGGTGAGGAAAGGAAATGTGAGTGGTTTGAATTGAACGGTGGATATTTATTGTGATTCGCGCGGTGGCCTGCTATGCAACGGTTGTGGAGTGACCCTGGTGGCCAAAAATGACGTCACGCGACTTTTATAATATTACAGGTCAAAATCAAAGTCCGAGTCCGAGTCGTTGCCTTTCTTCTTTTCCGGTCCTCTAATATTTCTCTTACTTCTCCCATTCGTCGCAGTCGTTGCTGAGCGCATTCTTGACGACGGATCATAGTCCTCTTCCTCCGCACTATCCTCGTCGTCGTCTGGTCGACGCTCGGCTGGCCGCGAGACCTCTGGGATGTCCAGTGCCCCGGTCACTAGAAGGATTGCTTCGAGTTCTTTGTAGCGTAGGATGAGACGTGTGGGTGTGGTGGTCAATGACATGGACACATACCTTCCTGACGTCGTTCACGGTCTGCGCCCCACGCGACGATCTGATTCCGTATATCCCCTTTCCTGTATACGATTAACATAGGCACCCGAGTATCAGGTAGGTTTGGAATGCATTTATCCCCGATGATAGAAACGAATTTTGTGCGAGGGTATTTTGTCGCTAGAGCACGAATGTGTTGAAATGTGCGATCGCTTCTTGGTATCCTGTATCCAGCCTTTCATTCAGCACATGCGTTTCGTAGAAATCTAAAGGGTGCAACCCACCCATCTTTATACAAGAAACACACAACCCCAGTGCCCTTCTCGTTATCATCATCCTCCTCGTCGACATTGCTAGCCTCTGTGACTTCCCGAGTGTAGTCTTCCCTGCCGATCGGATACACGCGTCCAAATCTACCCTTCTTATCTTCTTTCCGTTCATCGGCTAGGCGCTGTTTTCGGTACGCAGCGATTATACGTTCGGTCTCATCGTCTGGGGCATCCTCGCTGAATTCCTGGAGTTCAGAAGATGTAAAGTCGTTCAAGAGATCATCGAATGTGGGTGAGGGTGGTGGAGATGGAGAGGGCGGCGTCGGTTCTCGTGGTGGGAGGATGCCGTGTTTCCGAAGGGCATCGTTGCTGTTCAGGGGCGTTGAGTCTAATAATGAGACGTGAGCCGGAATGGACTTACAATTCGGTATCTTCGTTGGGGTTGATAGACATGATGAAAGCAAATTAGGAAGTGGGGGTTTTGGTTTTGGTTTTCAATGACATCGTCGGACGCAGTCACAACGTTATCTAACCCAGTCAACTGCGCTCAAACAAGGCAGTACTTCAGAGAATCCGACCTCGTCGTATCCCTTACCAACTGCTGCGCGACGTAAAGCATAACATTGCAACAGCGTACTACTGCCCGACAATATACAGACAGCAGATAAACATCACAACAGTGTAGAAATCCTCCCTGATGCTATCACTCGCTATAAATTCATATACCACCCCGTCAAACTATGAGCTCCTGGATCTCTCAACTCCAGAGCTATCCTCTCCAACGGACGTCCTAGTCAAAGTTCATGCAGCAAGCATCAATCCCGGCGACGTCAAAACGGCTGCAGGCGCAACGAGGGTCATGATGCCCCTTACTTTTCCATATAAACTCGGATTGGATCTGAGCGGGACAGTCGTGCGCGTTGGGGAAGCAGTCACCGAGTTTGCTGAGGGCGACGAGGTATTTGGGATGCTGCCTTTAACAACACGAGGTGGTACGTATCTTGATCTTCTTCCTTTTGCGTTGCCCAAGTTTCGTTTCCTTAGGTTCCGTGGCGGAATATGCCTTGATATCCTCAACAAGGCTCGTACATAAACCAACGTCCATTTCGCACACCGAAGCAGCTTCCCTTCCTTGTGTTGCCGTCACCGCTTTACAATCCCTCGAAAGGGCTAACACCGTCATCGAAGGGGGCCTGTCCGGAAAAACAGTCTTCATCCCGGCTGGTCTGAGCGGGACGGGCTCCATCGCAGTTCAACTAGCCAAGCGGGTATATGGTGCAGGGAAAGTGATTACCACCGTATCAACGTCGAAGATCGGTAAGGTGGACGAATTTCTGGGCGCCGGTGTTGTCGATCAAGTGATTGACTATACGAAGGAGGACGTCTTGAAGCTTGTGGAGAAAGGTAGCGTAGATTTTTTCTATGATACTGCGGGGGCGAGCATGCAGTACATCTCGGTGATGAAGAAGGGCGGGTTAATTATTTCGATCACGACGATGCCTTCGGGAAAAGAGGTCGCCAAACTTATGCCTGACGCGCCGTATAGCATTCTCCGCGTGCTTGATGTCTTGGACTGGGTTAATCGATGGAGAGTTTGGTGGTGGGGTGCTCGGTTAGAAGCTCGGGTGGAGACGGTGGACACAAGTGGTGTTGCTCGAGTATCGCAGCTGGTTGAGGAAGGCAAAGTTAAGGCTGTTGTTGGTCGGACCGCGGATCTGAATGATTTGCAGGGGATAAAGGACGCTTGTGCAGAGATAAAGGCGGGCAAAGGAGGCCTAGGCAAATTTGTCGTCGTTATGAGTGAAGGATAGATTCACGCGTGATTTGTACCTCTATACTAGACCACTCTTACACTCACTTCAACGGCAGGCCTCATGGCTAACGTTACTCTAACCTGCCAACAACTGGAAACTCTGTTACCACGTCGGTATCAGGAGGAAGTTTTTGCACGAGCACAGAAAGGTCTCTCACACTGGCACATCCTTTTTCACTTCCCTCCGATTAAAACTATCGCCAGGGAACATCATCGCGGCTCTCAACACAGGTTCAGGAAAGACCCTAATCAGTCTCCTTCTCATCAAATGGACAATAGCCAAGGAACAGTCAAAGGGAAAGGTTATCATCTTCTTGGTCCCGAAAGTAACGCTCGTGGAGCAACAGAGCCTTTACATTGATAAGAACACTCCTGATAGCATTCGGGTTATGAAACTCCACGGCGCTTTGGATATTAACTTGGGCGACAGAGCAGGTTGGAAGAAGCGATTCGAGGAACATGAAGTGCTCGTCATGACTGGTAGCTTGTCATTCGCCCCGTATCATTGAACGCCGTCCTCATATGACCTTACATAGCTCAGATCTTCCTCAACATATTGACGCATTCAGTGTGGAGCATCGACAAAGTTTCACTGATGATCTTTGACGAATGTCACCATGCGAGGAAGAATCATCCGTACAATGGGATCATGCGCGAATATTTTCACGTCCCTTCCTCGCGAAGACCAAAGATTTTTGGAATGACTGCCTCTCCTATCTGGAACATAAAAGATCCGGCGGGATCTTTGGCGACCCTCGAGCAAAACATGGATGCCAAGGTGATTGGCGTTCGAGATCATATCGAGGAATTGGTGGATCATTCTCCAAAGCCTATCGAGGTCAGTGCTTATCCTTATCTATCCATCTCATGACGACAACGCTGTGCATAGATTATAGAAGAATATCCATCGCCCCCAGAAGAGTACGACTATCTTTTCCCTACAATCTATATGTGCCTTCAAATATTCGAGAAGACACTCTGGGATCAATTAGACATTCCGTGGAGTAAAATAGAAATGCGGTATTTTTCTACTCTTCATAACCTGGGCCCATACTGCGCTTCCCTTTTCCTTTACCTGGAGATCCAGCATCACCTCACCAACCTGTTCGCCGAATGCCAAAAGTATTTATACCCAGTCGATGGGGACATGGCCATCGACCTTCCCTCATCCACACCAGCAAAGCGGATTCCTCTCGAAATTTTCGACATAGATGACATCGTCTCGGACTTCCGATCGTTTTTCTCTTCTGTTGATTGCCCAGCACAGATCCCAATACCCATTCAACTAGCCTGGTGTTCTCCAAAGGTTGACAGCCTCGTCAAGGTCCTACTCAAATATAACTCTCCCACGTTCCAAGGCATTATCTTCGTAGAGCAACGCCAAGTTGCCTTAACTCTTGGCAGACTTCTTGAAGCTGTCCCCGAGCTGCAGGGCACCATCCGCTGTGCTCATCTCGTTGGTCAGGGCGTCAACAGTGAGGGCGTTTCAAGGCATTCTGATCGCTATCAAGGCGACGCTGTGAAACTCTTTCGTGATAAGGAGATTAATATATGTATGTTTCTTCTCATTGTCGCATGACCTAGCTCGACGATTGACGACATGATTTGTCAAGTAATCGCAACCTCGGTTGCAGAGGAGGGTCTTGATTTTCCTGCAAGTCACATAGTCGTAACTCTAAGCGTGTATCCTGACGTCTTATTCAACCAGGCTTGCGATCTTGTAGTCCGATTCGACCCCTTTCAGCATCTAGTCGGGTATGTTCAATCCCGTGGGAGGGCCAGGAACAAAGCCTCGACATTCATCATAATGATTCAGAAAGACGACTTGGCGCAGCTCACTCGGTACAAAGCTCTCCAGGAAGGGGAGCCGGAAATTAACAGGGCTTATCAAACGAGACATCTCAACACAGACGATGATCTCGATGATGATGAGGATGATGACATAAATGACCTGGTGGATCTAGCGGAGCGCGAACGTTATGTCGTTCCGTCAACCGGGGCCATTCTCTCTTACGATAACGCCATCAATCTCATTCACCATCTATGTGCACTCATCCCTCGTGATGCCTTCACGCCCCCTCATCAGCCCACATTCACTGGTTATTTTCAGTCCACGATGCGTTTGCCGCCCAGCTTACCCCTTCCACCACGTCATTTGAGTTATCTTGGCCCTCCTAAACGATCGAAGAAGGAAGCCAAGCGTGCCGTTGCTTTTTGTGCGGTAAAGCGGCTTTGCAAGCTCGATGTTTTTGACGACTATTTGCTGCCCATTTCGAGTCAAGTTCATGAGGAGGATAAGCAGCGGGTGATCCGTGTTCGCGATGTCCCTGCAATTATGACGGTGTCCGTTAGGGATCCTTGGTGTATGGGAACCAAACTCTGGATCCATCCCATCTTGATCGGTGGATGTCAGGTTGCTGGACTGGTAACTGGAACCAAGTTGCCCCCGGTTGACGTATTGGCTGCTTCGTCTCATGTTCGAACTGGATTGGCTGAGCTTGTCTTCCATGAAGATTCGGAATTTGAGGAAAGAAAGATCATGCATGACTTTACGAAGCTGGGTATCTATTACCGCATCACGTCAAGCCCCTTCGTCTCTGCTACGAGTCTTTTTATTATCCCCCTTACAAGCGATAATCAGCCTGATTTTCACACCATGGCTCGCTTAGTGGATGACCCTTGGGGCCGTGAGGATTGGGATTCTGTTACCGAGGATGATTATGACCGAAGAGTCATAATGAGCACCTATGAAAAGGGTCGCACGTATCTCCTCAAAAAGATTCGCGAGGACTTGTCCCCCATGTCTGTCCCACCTCGCGACTCATTACAGGCTGCTTTTCCGACGTACCACGAATACTTTGTCAGCAAATGGACAAGGAAGCGCAAGGTCATAGTTCCAGTCAATGGACCACTGTTGGAGGCGGCTATCCACCCAAAGAGCCATTTAGGCTCTTACTCCCTTTACCCAACAAGTGTTGATACCATTGCTGCTTCCTCAAACGTACAAGTTCGCCTGCTTCCTCAAGGCTGTACTCGCTGGATAGATTTGTCCTTTGACCTCTGTCGCGCTTTCGAAGCCCTTCCTGTCATCTGCCGTCGCATCACCGATGTTTATCGGATCCAATGTGGGCGGTTTGACCTTGGTCTTCCACTCATCACCGAGAATCTGCTTATCGAGGCGTTCACGCTCCCATCGTCCAAGCCTAGTTGTAATAATCAGCGGATGGAGACTCTGGGCGATGCAGTCCTTCAACTTTGTACCACGGTTCACCTGCTCAATGCATATCCCAATCGGCACGAGGGGCAGCTGACTGATCTGCGGCAACAGTTTGTCTCTAATAATTACCTTCTTTCCCGGGCCAAGGACGTTGGTTTAGAACACTTCCTGACTAGTGAAGTTGAGACCGTCCATAAATGGAGGTATACCTTGCCTGATGATGGTAATGCTGAGGGGTTAAGGGATCCACCAAAGCGATATGCGGAGAGGGAGTATCCTCGTCGAAGTTTACAGGATTGCATGGAAGCAGTATTGGGTGCGAGCTTCTTGACTGGTGGCATTTCTATGGCTTTGGCAACAGGAACGGCTTTGGGGCTAGCGTTTGGAGGCCCACACCCTTGGTGGAGGCGATATCCGCCAAGCGCTCTACCCACAGCCGTCTCTGCATTGTTTGAAGGTTTGGAAACGAGTCTTGGGTATAAGTTTCATCACAATCATCTCATCCTTGAAGCTGTCACTCACCCTTCTTTTACATCTTCTTCTGGTGGCCCTTCATACCAGAGATTGGAGTTTTTGGGTGATGGTAAGTCGGTCCATTATGCTCAAGCTATTTTCTTACTAACATTTCTAAGCACTGTTGGATCTCGTGGTCATCAAGTACCTTTACGACAAATTTCCTTCTGCGACGTCTCATGAGCTTGCATTTCCTCGCACTAGAACCATATGTGCCCAAACTCTTGCGCATGTGGCTGTCAAACGCTTAGGCCTTCATAACGTCATGCTGGTAAACTGTCCAGCACTTACGATGGCCATCAACGGTTATGTTCCCATGTTGAAAGCGGCATCGAGCGAGGAGATCGTCAACAAGGGTTGGAAGTACGATCCTCCAAAGGCCCTCAGTGACGTGTTCGAAAGTGTCATGGGAGCTATATTCGTTGACACGGGATATGACTACGACAAGACTGCATCCGTGATTGAATACGTTATGGAGGATGTCCTTTCCGTCCTTTCGCCGTCTCTTACAAAAGATCCTGTCTCCGACCTTTTGGAATGGGCCGGAAAAGCTGGTTGTATGAAAGTAGTTTTCGGGTGAGTTTAGTCTTCGTCTTCTGTCGCTTTTTTTTTTTCAGACTGCTTCGTGAACAGCAGAAAGGTGAAATCGACGGGAAAACTCCAGGCTGAGGGGGTCACGGTTTCTGTACACGGGAACATCATGATTGGACCCATCGTTTCTACTAGCCTGCCTGTTGCGAAGTATGCTGCGGCAGAAAGGGCGATGGCGATGCTCAGGGATGGGGAGACAGACAAGTCATTAGCCCACTTGTGCGATTGTGGGAAGCACATGGAAATCGACAGCACCGGACCGGCGTTGGTGGAGGATGGAGCAAAGTTGGACGCTGTGTTTGATGAAGCGCTGGATGCGGAGGAGGCAGCTGAGGTTGATCACATCATGACCACGGAACTCTCATGACAAGCACCACTCGTTTTGTCGCGTGATGACTGACCACGATGGCCTAGAAATTTGCTAGCCCATCAGGATCAGTCATGGCTCGCCAAAACGCAAGAATTATCGAGGACATTTGGAGGACATTCACGTTACGTAGTTGAAGGATATAAAGTATGGACACCCACTTTCTCACGCATAGGCCTTTGTCTGGTCATGTATGTAACCTGATGTAACCCAAATGTAACCCCAAAGCCAACCCAAAATCCTCTTTCAACTTGCTCAGAACCCATTTTTATATGTCAGCAGTGGCGACGTCTACGTTCCTTAACTCGGTCAAGGCTTTCTACCCGACTCGAAAAGGTGTTGGCACTGGTCTGCTCCTGTCAACTTGACATCCTCCCGCTTTAATGTGATATTTCACACCAACAGTGGTGAATCCTTGGTACATCGTCGCTGCGGTCGCATTCAGTGCAAGTAACAAACCGGAGGGTGTATCCGAAGTATTCCGATATGTGCTGCAAGAGCTTCCACTGGCCAGTCAATTGGCGGACCGTCGCATGATTGCTGGCAAACTGCGGGAAGCAATCTTCAAGTCAGGATTGATCAGTGGATACCCTAAGGTGAAGAATCACGAATAGAGTGTCGATGTAATCCAATGTGCCCGAGAAGGCAATCAACAGTTTGAAAGCTTTACACGAGGCAACTCCAGAGGAACTTCGCGAAACGAAAATACAGAGGTGTGTCCCTACGTACATATCTTGTCGCGTCCCTTATTGCTGTGAGTCTGTTCTAAGAGATACAGGGCTTTCCTTGACCGAGTACGAGAAACGGGGAGATGTTTTCTGGAGGTCTGTTTACGGCGATACCGCCGATAACATTCAGGTTATGCTGAATTCCATTTATCCAGACATGGGTAAGTCAGGCCGTCTCATCTTTTTGGTACTTGCCATCTTATCATTAGCCAGGCTGGTTTTCTAAGACGATTGGGTATGGCATCACATATAGCAACTTCGAAATCTTGTCGCCGTTGGAGACGTCATACGCTCTGGTTGCATCATTGATTGCCGGAGACACACCCCAGCAGATTGCGTGGCATCTAGATGGTGCACGAAGAGGCGGGGCCACATTGGAGGAAGCTCAAGCAGTACGCAAGATCGCAATGGAGGTTGCATCTCATGCTGGTGTTCGTTGGCAGGAAGGTGTGCCGGAAATTGTCAGTTGAATCATGTTGATTTGGGGCGCCACGACAAGACATATTGATCGCGTAGCTTCACGGCTGCTCTCGATCAATCTGCGCAGACCGGGGAGCTGGCCTCGATGAATGGAATCTCGTCGGACGATAATACCAATTTAGCTTCCGAATTCCTTCTGACTCGATCTATGTTGATCTTCCACCAAATATATACTCTCGATTTTCTCACCGAAGCGGTTCCAATTTTGACGCCTCGGAGATGGATAAATCTCTATCATGATTATGGGGTTAATCTGCTGATCAAGTCCTCTCCAGAAATGTACATTCTGCGAGTCTTTCCTCCCGGACATTGCCCGCGAAACAGTGTACAACGGTTTCGATGTTATTTTTTCTTCTGATTGTGACCAGATATCTCTCCAACGGCGACTTCTTCAGCGAACATAAATAAAAAATCAAGAGCCTTATTTTTCCCCACTCCACAAACCAAATGCTCCCAACTCTCGATCGGAAGCAACATTGACGCCAATACCATACAGAAACCCACCGCGTCTATCTGGGCATCCGAAAGGCACAGAGATTCTTATCGTCGAAACCGTCTTGGAGGCCCAAGAGAGGCAAAGGCGAAACGTTGGAGCAGTGACTGGGTGGCGATTTTTTTTGTCGACAGCGTAAACTAGGTAAGGGCCTCAAAAGGTGACAGCTTCACATCATTCCCTTCCCTTCTGTTCATGAGTATCATGGGCTGCCAGAGCACGACGCGTTACGCGTTGTTTGATCCGGAGGTGTAAAGCAAACAAACGGCAGAAATCAATGGGAGGGAAGCGTCAAGGTCTGTTGTCGTTAATTATATAGTAAGTACGCGTTTTATATGGTTCCATTTCACGCGAATACCTTTCTAGATGCTGGCTAATTCGGCTTGTGTTCTTCATGGAAATTTTATGTTTACCACCGCGTACAAGGGTCTCTCTTGCATTTTGATAACTGCAACACGCTTCGCCTCGTATTTCGGACCATTTCTTTACCTCCCCTTGATTAGCGACGCTTTGCGGGTTCGATACCATGCTTTCATTATTTTCCTGTTAATGAGGTTGTGGTGTATTTGTTCATGGCCATACACGTGATGAAGCACCCTTAGAGGCTTTTACACTGTCTTGCCCCCGTATTTTCTTGCAACAATCCTCCTTGCAGGCTTCAGAACGCCTGGTCAGATTTTATGGAGGGATCCAGCACTCCAGAAGCCAATGGAGCCTCTATCTCAGCTGCGATAGCCTCTATTCTTGGTGTGAAGGGCTTGCGCTTTCGTCCTCATGGTTCAAGTCAAAAGGCGCACGTTGTCTTGCGACGCGTCGTAGAGGAGGACGACTCCAGTGACGACGGAAGTGTTACCCGCGTTGTTCGATTTAGCTTGTTTGCCCACAAAAGGATCGAAGTGAAGCCTGGAAAGGAGATTCTGCTCACGGTCGCGACTCAGGATGGGTCATTCAAGGATACAGCTGTCGTCTTCGAGGGCGATCTTCCCGGAGACGAGTCTGACTCAATAGAAGAGGAAGTTACACCCGCAGTCAAAGAGGAAGAGGAAGAAACGTACTACCCTCCCTTGGGGCATGCTATTCCACCAAAAATGCGTAGGGCTTGGACTAAACGAATTGAAGAAGTTATTTCCGTCGCGCGTAAGCTTTACTTTTTAACATTGTTGCGACTTGGTTTTATACATTTCTATTTAACATTATACAGCCCAACCTGCCCCACGAATTTCTGTTGGTGTTCAGGTGGAGCGCTCCTATGAATCAACATCTATCCAAGCGCGTCAAGCATACCTGTCGACATCAACTCAAACTGATTTTCTTGGGGTCTCAGTGCATACTCAAGTTGATCCTATACCAAGACCTCAATCCAGGACGGCTGATAGGAACGCTGTCCAAGTGCCCAAGGACAAATATACACAGACCGAATTTGAACGCAGCCCTTCTCCAATGGAGCTTGATTCACCAAATTCTTCGCCGCTTGTACCATCTGCTGTTATACCACTTGTCGAAGATGAATCCCTCTCCAATTTTGTGTTGCCTTCGTCGTCAAATTCATGCCATCCCATTCTCTTTTCTGCTGATAAATCTATAGTTATGAAGGACTTACAACAAAGAGATACTACCATCGATACCGTTGCTCCTTCACATGCGATACCCTCCCCTACCACTATACCGTCTTCTTTGGAGACGAGTTCCAAACGTCAACGTCAGGAAGACGAGATACACTGCATGTCCATACCTGCAATCCTCAACCCGACGCTCTCTAGCAACTCGGACTCAGCCGTACATACCGTGCCATCGGGGGCAGAGGCACCATCGAAAACAGCTGATGGGCAGACGGTATTTGTGTCGCCTCTATATCCAACTTTTGAGTCTTACTTTTCTCCGCTAGTCATCCGTTAAAGCATCGGCTCTCAAAGAAACGCATAAATTTTGTCAAACAATGAAGAATGCTGTTGCGTCCAGCAGCAAGATTGCTTCAGACCAGCCAATATCTAATCCAAATCCTCCGCCCATAATGCCCCGTGGTTTGAGGACGTTCGAGGCCCTCCAAGGCCTCAGCAGTCGCGCTCAGGAAAAATCTCCTGCTACTGTGCTACCAGGGTCGCAGTCGTCAGCTCCATCGATGGCTAAGCCTTCAGAACCTCGGGTGAATGGCGGATCGCTGCCCCCAGACCCCAAGGCCCTCGCCTACATTGTTTCTGGACCATCGACGAACCGTCTTGGCATTAAACCTTCTTCTAACTCCATGATACATCGATCTCAGCGTGCGCCACCCTCTGCACCAAAAATTCTCAAACAAGCGACGGCAGCGAAGAAGCCTGTCGTTGTTGGCACGGGTTGGTCCGCTGCAAAAACCTCCACTGGAGGATCGTCTTCAGCTTCGGTATCATCTAGTAGTTCCTCTCTTTCTTCTGTTTCCTCGTCGCCGCCTCTTCCAACTCCACCGCCAACTGCTCATGTCTCCCGAGTCGCCGTGAGGACTGCCAGTCTGTCACAGATCACAGCTTATTCTGATTCACCCTCACCACCACCACCTCCTGAAGGCGACCCTCCGCCCAAGCCACCTACACCACCACCATCAACCCCACCACCTCCGGTCAGCAAGTGGAAGCGAGTGGCACCTGACTTCACGCCTACCCCCAACAATGTAGGACCACCAGCAAAACATTTACCTCCTGCCTCTCAGCCAACACTTCCGGCTACCTCAAATCTCCCAAATTCCACGTCAGGTATGGTCAATGGCCAAAGGACTGTGTCTCAAGATGGTGGGCCGTCATCTTATCTCTCCTTGTGGTCAAATTGATGTTTATATTTCATGCTTTAGTGCCCTTGAAGGATCGCATATCTCAGGATTTCTCGACGCCGAAAGCTTTACCCACACAGACACCCGCATCCTCAAAACGTGACCTTTTAACTCGTTTATTTGACATCCCTGGGGCAACCCCTGTGCCACCGCCCGCGACTTCGACGAATACGAGTGCGAATGGGAATAAGGTGGTACCTACCGCTGGTATGTTTGGTTTTTTTTTGAATCAACAGGCTAAATTCCACACCAATACCTAGTTCCGGCGCCACTCACCCACCCCTTACCTCCAAAACCTGTTACAGCCATTCATACTGGTTCTACGTACCGAGGCACCAAACGTGATCGTCCCATTTCGCCTGAGCCCGATCGAAAGAGTCGAAGACGGAAACGAACATTCAAATGGCCAACGGTCGATAGCAACGCGACCATTTCTTTGCAAGGAGAAGGAAACCTTGGCGTGCGGACGATTGCTTTCAGTGCGGATGGGAGTCACTTTGCCTTGAGCTGTGAGTAGGCTACGATTTCTTTCACGGTTGAGGGTATATAATGGAGGTCCTCGTATGTGAAGGTGCTGATCGTACGATTCGGATATGGAACAATCGAACGCGCTCGGAGATAGCAAGACTGTCACATAACGCGCCGATCATGGCCACCATGTGGATGGATGGGGACGCGGGTGTCATCACGCTTGGAAACGATGGGATGGTTAGCAAATGGACTCGGAGCGTGAGTTCATCTCTAGCCTTGATATTGTGTTTTGGTTGATCTTTTGCAGGGCGAAAATCATTGGAAGTGGGCCAAGATTCTTGATGCAGGCGTAGACGATGGGACGGGCGACGATCCCATCTGTCTGGCATATTTGAAGGATCGGCTTGCAGTGTCGTTTCCTCACCTGGGAGTCAAAGTGTGGGTTTGGTGTAAAGGTGAGCTCTTCTTCTGCCTCAGATGCCACAAAATGTCATCGTCTTCCTTGTTTGACCTTTAGGTACATGGCAACCCCAAAGGTCAATCATACGGCAAGGTGTTACTTCAATCAAGTTTATTGATGACGGTGCTGCTATCATCGGTGGCACTCGTGAAGGCGTGCTGTGAGTGCCGACATGTTTTCTGTCTTAGGTTGTCCTCAATGGTGCTCGCTATCAATAGATGGTACTGTGAAATACCGAATGGAACACTGCGTGTCTACTGTTTCCTTAAAACCAGGATGTGAGCCCCTTCTTCTAATTTTCCTGATTAATTCCATAGCATAATCGGCAGAACGTCTCTGGATGTCAGTCCGACTGGACTTCACTTGTTGGCGGGACAGACAACAGGCGATGCACAACTGGTCACAATTCGCAAAGAGGAGAAGAAAGGTACCTTGGATCAAAACTACACTTGCAAAGAGTTGGACGGGGAAAGTGGTAACGCCTTTGGTCCTGTCTTCGCCACGAAAGGTCAAGCTATATTATTTGCGAATATTGAGGGATGTGTCCTTGTGTGGGACAGAAAGAAGGGTGCAATAGTCTATGGCCTGGAACACGATGAAGGTGAGTCGATATCGTTCAATAGTATTCTGAGTGACATGTAATCGACGCTGCTTGATTCTCAGATGATTGGATACAGGCCGTCGCAGTTCGTCGATCTGTTCCCTTATGTTTGATTGGAGCTAAATATATCTCCACAGAGCTTCGACGGTTCTCCAGGGAGAGATGGTTGCCTTCTCACTGGCACGAAGCAAGGACAGCTGTCATGGTGGTCACAGCCCGTTTCTGCCCCTCAGAGTGAGTTCTGACCGTTGTTTTTGTGTATCAGCCACTGATGCTTGGGTCAAGGTGACGAATCACAAAAGAAGCGGGCAAAGGCGGGGACGTGATGAGTTGTGATAGTTTTTGTGTTATTTAATTCGCTGTGACATCGCATTCGCATTGCATCTTGTGTATATATCATCGCTATTGTATCGTGTGCTGAAAATTAGGCGCTTAGGTAATAATAGTTGAGGTTAACGACTGATTTGTGTGTGTTTGGGCAGTCGACGTCGCGCTCGTTGCAACGAACGAACCCCCCTAGACAGACCATCACCGATAGTCAGCTCAGTCCATTTATCAAGCTCTTATCCTTTCTTTCCGTTCTCCAGTCTCCATTGTACGCTCATCACTTCCCTTCTACCCTAATTACTGCGCTGACTACACAGAACCAACCACGCAGCCTCGTGGTCCGTTCCACAATCTTTCGTCTTCACATACCACCCACCTTGTCGCCTTTAATTTCCCAATAAAACACATCTGTGAGTCGCCCGTCTCGTCGTATGTTCCATCTAGCACCAGCGAGACATGGCCATGAGGTGTTGTTGCTACGCCAAATACGTGTGGGACACCACAACTGCAGGGGGTTCGTCATCACGTTCAATGTGTGCTGATGTGTTACCCCGCAGCCATTCCAAATCACCTTTAGACGTCCAGCCATCATGCAAACAATCAAGTGCGTAGTCGTTGGAGATGGTGCTGTTGGAAAGGTACTTCTCATTTTGTCTCTGGCGTTAAAACTTTAACCATAGTACACTTAGACTTGTCTGTTGATTTCGTATACCACCAACAAGTTCCCCAGTGAATACGTCCCCACCGTATGTTGTCGACCCTCTCTCACCACTTCGGTGTATTCACGGAAAAATATGTCTGTGATAGGTTTTTGATAATTATGCAGTCACCGTTATGATTGGCGAGGATCCCTACACGTTAGGACTCTTTGATACTGCCGGTATGATGCTCCACTATAGCCACACCGCATCCATTTACTCTAATTTATAGGTCAGGAGGATTATGACCGTCTCCGTCCATTATCTTACCCACAGACCGATGTGTTTTTGGTTTGCTTCAGCGTTACTTCACCGGCATCCTTTGAGAACGTCAAGGAGAAGTGGTTCCCAGAAGTCCACCATCACTGTCCGGGAGTGCCATGCCTTATCGTTGGGACACAAGTAGATTTGAGGGATGATTCTCAAGTGATGGAGAAGCTGGCGAGGCAGAAGCAGAGACCCGTGACCAGTGAGGCTGGTGAGCGACTTGCGAGGGAGTTGGGAGCGGTCAAGTATGTGGAGTGTTCAGCGTTAACGCAAAAGGGCTTAAAGAATGTGTTCGATGAGGTGAGTCTCAGCTAATCTGTCGCCTTCCTCTCTCATTCTGACGCTTGTCCGTTGTAGGCTATTGTCGCCGCACTTGAACCTCCTGTCGTGAAAAACAAGAAAAACAAGTGTGTTATTCTTTAAGACAGCCCTTTTGACGACTAGGACAATCCAACCTCCTACATTATGTTTTGCTCCCTTCATGTCACGCCACGACCTGGTTATATATCCGCCGCCATTGCCTTATTTTTTTTCTGCCTTGTTTGATTCATATCTGCTCTTATTAGTTAGTTAACCCAGACATATTCTTTTTCTCGGTGCACACGCAATCCTAAGTCGCAATTTTTCATTCGTCGCACTTTTTTTTTTCTTCATCAGCGGGCCTTCTCACCACCACCGCTGAAACCCCACCGCCTTCTTACCTTATTAAATAAATGATCTTATGCTGGAGTCTCAGGATGCCCACCAATCGGCCATAGCTGACCGCCGAGTACCCACGCGATTTTTTCATCAAGCGAATGAATAGTGAGAAGATCATAACAAAAACGTCATGCCTTGCGACTTTACATAAATTATCCGAGAACTTGTTAATTATCTGTCCAAAATAAAGTCGAGCGTCCGCTTTCACAATTAAAGGGGTAAATCGTAGTTGACCCCTATAGTAGTATTAAGGCCAGGATATTGTCTATGTATTGGAAGGATACTTGAAGGTCGTCAGATAACGGTGGATGAGTTAAAGTTAGAGCCTGACTGGAAATGCATCAAACTACCCAGGCGTCGGCTGGGAGGTTGCTGGGGGAGCCGGAGTATCTGTCGTCTTCCTCACCCGCCTGTGAGTTGTAGTAGTTTGTGTGTGAGTGGTAGTCCGACTGGAGCTTGAGCTCGAGGTCGGGGTTGGGCTGGGGCTCAAGCTGGAGCTAATAGTACTGGCACCAGCTTTTCGAATGCGCAAAGCAAGATTCTTGTAACTGAATTGGCGTAGCTTCACCTTCCCTGCATCGGGTGCGCGCAGGCGAAGATCTGTCGCTGCGGCGCTGTCGAAATGGACAAGCGAGAGAACGAGGAAGGTTAGGGCGAAGAGGAATAGGGCCCTTGAGGCGAACATGGCCGAACGTTGCAGGAGGAGAGAGAATAATAGCCATAGGGATAGCGAGCTTTTATTCAATGGACATTGAGACAGCGGATGTGTCGAATTCGGAAGAAAAATGGATAGTAGGAGAAAAGGAGGTGCAGTACGTCGTTCATCGTAATTGCCTTTGCGTAAGGGGCACTTTGTCGGCTTTGTGCTGCAAAAAATAACCTAGAAAGTGGGCGAGAGGTAGCCTCGTAGTCGTCAGTAGTGGTGGTAGAAATAAAGGAGTGTCGGTCACCGGTCAGGAGTCAGGAGGTGGGTGCGATAACTGCTGCACGTGCCTTTTACGACGCGTCACCTTCAAGCATTTCCTGAATTCGACTTGGTACACATCCACGATCATGGTAAGTCCTCTTGTCGCCGTTATAACGTGTCTGTAAACATCCAGCACAGTTCAGAAACACATACGATTCAGATAACACCGTTTTCTCTCCTCAAGGACGATTACACCAGGTCGAATATGCCCTTGAAGCCGTAAAGCAAGGTTCAGCGGCCGTAGGCTTACGTTCAAAAACCCACTCTGTCCTCCTGGCCTTGAAGGTTTGGCCTCGTACCCCCCGAGGGTATCTTCATTCATTGATCAGTTACGTGTCACCAGCGATCTACAGGCGAACTGGCTTCCTACCAACAGAAGATGTTCCGAATAGATGATCATGTCGGTATTGCAATCGCTGGTCTGACCTCCGATGCTCGCGTCCTAAGGTACGTCTTCCTTCTATTTTTGCCAACTCAGTGCTAACCATGCTGTAGTAACTTTATGCGCCAACAAGCCATGTCGTCAAAAATGGTATTCAATCGACCCATACCCGTCAATAGACTTGTGTCTTCGATCGCGGATAGTGCGTGTCAAGCTCGCACTTTTCCGCTCCTTTCTCGAGATTCTGATCCTTGACTACAGAGGCCCAGGTGAATACCCAAGAATACGGTCGTCGACCTTATGGTGTCGGTTTCCTCGTTATCGGCCAGGATAATTCCGGTCCCCACCTTTATGAATTCTCACCATCGGGGAACTCGTATGAATATTACGCCATGTCCATCGGTGCCAGGAGTCAAAGTGCAAAGACATACCTTGAGAAGCACTATGAGAGTTTCGCCGATTGTACGTTAATTGCTCTCGCGATTGTCGGAGAGACAACTCAATTATTTTTACCAGGCTCTCTCGAAGACCTCGTACGGCATGGATTGCACGCACTGCGTGAAACTCTTCAGCAGGATAAGGAGCTCAATGTCAATAACACCTCCATTGGCATCGTGGGGCCTGCCAGCGTTCATGAGACGGGCGTTCTCCCGGAAGGACCATTCCGGATTGTAGAGAACGAAGCTGTGGAACCTTTCTTGCAGACAATGATTGCGAAAGATACGGCTACGGGTGCAGGCGCCGTGCCTCCGCCTGCAGCGGCCGCGACGGGTGATGAGGATGTTCAGATGGCTGGATAATGTATCCGCGAGTCACAATGAAACCGCTTTTACGTGTGGTCAAATTATCTTGTATGAATTCTCTGGCAAACCCAGCTTGAAGGAATTTTTTTTGGTGATCAATCGTCGTGTTACTCTTCGGGAGCTCTAGACGCGAATAAGTACATTGTCTGTGTACTTATTCCCGAAAGCTCGAAGTATAGTAATAAACACAAAGTTCAAATTGTTCATTATCCATCGAAAACTAGTCTTGAGCGTCTAAGTCTAGAGAGAGATCTAGAAGTAATGCAAATGAGGTCGGTATATGAAGAAGGTGAAGTATTAAGATGGGTGATATCGTAAGGCTGTGAATGAAATGAAAAGGTTCATTGTTCGAAGGGTCTGGATGAGAAAGAGGGTCAGATTTGTATTTGGCTCGGTCAATATGAAGAAGTGACTAACGACTGAGAATCTATCAGGTGGGTTGCACCATCTCATTTTGATCGAGCAACAAATCCAGGCGTAGCAGCGGCAGGCTCAAGCTCTCGTCGAACGTAGGATGGACCGGCACGACGGACGGGAGCTATAGTTGGCTTGGCCCGAGCCTCAACCTTCTTCAACTTTACTCGAGAGTCTCGATAGCTGAACTGCCGAAGTTTCTTCGTCGGTGTGGACGCGCCGCTCGTCAACTTACGTCAAGGGGGTCATGAGAGCGATAAGAGCACAGACGACGAACAGAGAGGTGAAGAATCGAGAGAACATGGTAGCGACAGTCGTGGGTCGATTAAGATTGGAGATGTTGAAACCACAGGCTGAATCTACCGAGGTGGGTAAAGGGCAGCTGAGAGAAGTAGCTTCAGCTGCCCGCCGTTTATGTCAATTTTATGTTCTGCGGTGATGTCAAGCCCCGCTTCGAGCTTCAGGAACTTTCTACATGCCGGATGCATCGTGGCAGCTTGCCAAGAATCTAGGAGAGGACCTAGTCGGACCTAGTCGAGAGGAGATTTGTGAATTGTGGGCGATTAAAAATTGATCCTATCATGAACTGTCATGAAGCTCAATAATGGGGAGGCACAGGGAGGCACAGAGTTGGCCGGCGTTGAAAAAAAAGTGACAGCCCGTCCATCCCATCTCGTAGGCACGAGGGACTCGCATACAAATTCGTTATATAGGTTATAACCAAGTTATAAGTTATAACGCTATCAAATGCGTGAAAGCGAATTCGCGAAAAGCGACGGCGGCCAACTTTGTGCCTCCCTGAATAATGTCAATAACATTTCCAATGGCGTCATAGGGCCCGCCAGCGTCCATGAGAAGGGCTCCTGGCAGGACCATTCCGGATTCTAGAGAACGAAGCTGTGGAACCTTTCTTGCAGACAATGGTTGCGAAAGACACGGCTACAGGTGCATGCGCCTGCCATGCCTTCGACGGGTGATGAGGATGTTGGAGTCACCTTTTATGCGTGGTCAAATTATCTTGTATACATACTTTGGCAAACTCAGCTCGAGGCTCTAAGGATTTTTTCCCCCGTAATCAATCGTTGTGTTACTCTTTGAGAAAGATATTCCCGAAAGTTGCCCGAAAGCTCAAAATATAATGGTAAACGCAAAGTTCAAATTGATTATCCGTTGAAAACCAGTCTCGAGTGTCTATGCCAATATCGAGTGTCTATGTCTACAGTCTACTGATGTCCAGATCCTGAGCAGTGTGCAAATGAGGTAGGTATATACAAAGAAGGTAAAGTCGTAGGATGGGTGAGTGTACGAATGAAAAGAAAAGGTTCAGTGTTCGAAGGGAAGTCTGATTGAAAAAGAGGGTCAGGTTTGTATTTAGCTCGATATGCAGAAGAGACTAACGGTTGAAAATCTATCGGTGGGCTGCACCATCTTACTGCGTAGCAGCGGCAGGCTCAGGCTCTCGTCGGACGTAGGAAGGACCGGAACGAGGGACGTATGAAGGGCCAGAGCGAGGGACATACGAAGGGCCGGAACGAGGGACGTATGAAGGGTTAGAGCGACGAGCGTGGGATGGTTGGGGGGACCGAGCAAGGTTTTGATTACCGGCGGGAACACCACCAGCCCTCTTCACTTGAGTGTCTTTATAGCTGAACTGGCGAAGTTGCTTGGTAGGTGTGGGCGCGCCGCTCGTCAAGGGGACCATGAGAGCGATGAGAGCACAGACGAGGAACAGAGAGGCGAAGAATCGAGAGAACATGATAGCGATGTTGGAGGGTCGATTAAGATTGAGGATAATGTTTTTCTGAAATCACTAGCAGGATCTGCCGAGGAGGGTAAAGGGCAGCTGAGGGAAGTAGGGAAAGATCTTCGGGCTTCAGTGTCCGTCTTTTATCTCCTGCGGCGATGTCGAGCGCCGTTGGATTATGTCAAGCGCCGCTGCAGAGCCGTTCTATAATTATGGGTTTACTCCAAGATACCGGACCTAATAGCGACGCAGAGGAGCTCCGAAGGGTAGGAATCACTGCCGAACGCATCGTGCTTGCCAAGCAATATAGGAGACGCCCTAGTCATCGTGTGGCGATCGAGCAAGCCGCAAGGATCCACGTAAAAAATGACCCTGTCAAAAACTGTCATGAACGGGGAGCGCTACAGGAGAAATGACAGGAGAAACGTGCTGAAGGCAATGCATAAACCTTGCGTGAGAGATAGGAGGTGATAAGGAAGCGACTGGAAGCGAGTATGATTGAAAGGAGAGATGGTTGGTCAAAGTTGGAGAAATGGATCGTCAAAAGATCTTCGTGAACAAGGCTTCGACACGGAGGAATCAAGGAGGAATTGTGTGGTTGTAATTGCATGAAGCAGATAACGCAAATAAGGCAACCAGGTTTCCGCACAGCCACTCTAGAACGCTCACCATGTCGCGGCCTCAGGATGACAGAAATCAAGAAGCAACGGTTTATCTTGTGCGCCATTATTACTTTTGTGTGGGGGTACTTTTGCTCACCGTTGTGACTGGTAGGGTAATCTGGATGAAAGGTGTACGGACGCGCTCGTGTGGGAACTCATGTTGCAGGCTGGACCTGTGGGTTAGTCAACTCTTTCCATGCGCTTTTATATTCTCCTGATAAAACCATTTTTAGTGAATGTACATCTCCCAAAAGATCGTATTTCGATGGCACACCAAGGTTACGGCTTCTGCGAGCTATTAACAGAGGAGGATGCCGAATACGCATGTAAGATCATGAACCAGATTAAATTATGGGGCAAGCCCATCCGGGTTAACAAGGTTCGTCGCAGGATCGCTTTTCTTCGGTGGTGCGACATTTGGAATGGCGTCCTCGCCTCTATAAAACCCCTTGCAGTTTCTCTTATATTCCGCCAGCTGACACTTTTTTGTTCTTGTAGGCATCGTCTGATAAAAAGCAACTGGATGTCGGCGCGAACCTTTTCATTGGAAACCTGGACGAGAACGTGGACGAGAGACTGCTTTATGATACGTTCAGCGCTTTTGGCATTATGGCCACCACAGCGAAGGTGCGACCTTTCTTTCAAGGATAACAGTTTGCAGTAATTCTCTCCTTTGTGGCAGATCGCTCGAGATACAGGTTCTGGGACGTCAAAAGGCTACGGTTTCGTTTCTTACACCGATTTCGAGTCATCGGACGCTGCTGTGGAGTCTATGAACGGACAATTTCTAATGAACAAAGCCATCACAGTCCAATACGCGTTCAAGAAGGACGGAAAGGGAGAACGACACGGAACACCTGCAGAACGTCTCCTTGCAGCCCAAGCGCGTAAAAACAATGCTCTCCCTGTAGCTGCTCGGCCCCCACCCGCTCCCATTGCATTTGGAGCTCGGCCGCCAATGCCTGGGTTCCAAGGGCCTTACCAGGGTCAATTCGCTGGCGTTCTCGCTCAGCCGCCTCCTCCTCCAGGATTCACCCCGCAACAGACGATTATGCCGCAAATGCCGCCGATGGGTATGGCGCCTCCCATGATGGGAATGCCTATGATGCAGCCTCCTCCAGGAGTGTACGGCGGGTTTGCGCCACCACCTCCGCCTGGTTTTGGCGGTCAATTTCCACCTTCACAGCAGCCTCCATATTAGATTCCGGGTGTCTTAGTTTCTTTCGTCCGTTTGCATTGTAGCTTAAATCTTGTTTTTTGGCATTGAATCCACTGGGAGAGCACGAATGACCAAGCCAGGCGTCTCTGTCCCAACAAGTTTTAAGCTTTGAGAAAACAGGTCGTGCGTTTGAGAACAATGTGCATATTGGTCGGACCACACTAATGCTAATAATATGAACCGCATGAGAGTGGGTCGCGCCACAGCTCGAGGAGCCAACGAGGAGCTCTTCGTTGTGTTGAGCATTCAATTCTCACTCGTTGTTATGTATTATATTGTACTTGACCTTCTCGTTTGGAGTGAAGGGGGAGACAGGCTATTCATGTGGAATGATTTCCGAGGTGTTGGAGGGTGCGGCGGCTCGGTTGGTTGGGTTCTCGTCGCCAGACAGTTGTGGTGTGGTGTTTGGCACATTGGCAGAGACGCGTCTTTACGCGTCGTACATAACCCTAAGGCTAGGCCTCATATGCACTACCAGAAAATCCAAGAACTGAATAAGACAAACGTCAACACAAAAACAAACGCTCTCTCGCAGGCCGCGCGGGTGAGTAGACACAATTCATATGACGCACTGGCTGAATCATTTCCCCTTGGACTGGAATTCAGTATGCCGAATGGGATCGTCCCGATCGCATTGGTGCGGCCGTTTCGGTTTCACCTCGATCCGAATTCCAATGGCTCAACAATTAAAGAGATATATATATCAAGAGTTGTCTCCGTTGCCGCCCTTCCCCCCCAAGTTCGCCCTCGCACACCGTATATAATCTTGCTCTACCTCCCTACGTCCTTCCTTCCCGATGGCGAACGAAAAGAAGGTGGTTGAAGAAGAAGAGGACACCCCCAAGCTCTTCGTCTGGTCTATACGAAGTATCAGCTACATCATCGGATGGGTACTTATCTTTAGTCTCAGTGCGTTTGCTTGTTTTTTTCTTTTCTTTTGTTAAAAAAATGTTGATTTCTTTGCCAGCCTGCGCTGAGCTTGGACTTGTCTCGCAACAGATCCACAAGTTTGGCAGGGAAACATCGCACTATGCCTCGTTGATGTGGAAAAACGACCTCGGTCTCTTGTTGGCAGCTGTCATCGTCTCCCTTTTGGTCACAATTTTCCATTATCAACTTGGCCTCGGAGGTGTGTACCACTTTTTTTGCGCTTTCTCATATTTTCTTTCTGTTTTCGTTTTCGCTTTCTATTTTATTCTATTGAGACAAGCTCAAACTCGCACTCTCCAGCGATCATCTTTTTTTCCTTGGTGCTCTCCGTATTTTTCGCCACTGGAGCTGGTATTATCCGCGGAGCAACCCCCTTCCGCGGGACCTCGTGCGGGAACGCTGTCGACCTTTACCCAGTAATTTGGCAGCCTTTCGTGGGCGAATGCCGAAGGATCGTCAGTATCCAAGCCATCGCATGGACATTATGTACGTCTTTTTTTTTGAGAGTTGTGTGATATTCGATGCTGAAATTATGTTGAAGGGGCACTGTACATGTTCATGCTATTCGGTAGCCTCGCCTATAAGTTCGGTCTTCGAGTCAAGCCCACTCCAGGTGGATTTTACGGACCCTCTGCAGTTTAGGATCCCTGCTTGATTTTCCGCCCGTCGACGCTCGAACGGCTCTACCCCATTTATTGCTCATCCTTCCTCCCCGGTTTACTTAGATAGACCTCATGTCCTCTGCCCTCCAAAAAGTAAGGCAACGTCGTAGACGGGGCTGGGCGTCTGGATGTTAACCGACAAATCTCCCCCGTCTTCCAACCCTCAATATGATCCCATTTACATAATTCCATCCACCTACATTCTTTCTTACCATTTAATCATTGCCTACTGCAGACACTGCTCTCTTGTAACCTTCATATTCGGTATTTGGTTCGATCGGCATTGTGCTTCAAATAATCCTAGACTTCATCGATATCGGATTGTGTCGGATGTATCGATGAAGAATTTGAAGCGGGATATCCGCTACGTTTATTTTTAGAGTCGGACGAGGGTGTCACCCAAAATTACAACTGCGATATTGCTGACGCGTGAAAGTCACGTCACCAGTTCATAACGACCATGCAGACGATTCTCGAGTACTCATCCTTAGAGTCTTCATCAAGGTATTTCTTGTTCACCAGGATCCTGGCTTGCACTCATTTCCAATAGATGGAAGAACCTTCCACCTCCACCAGGATTTTCTAAGTCTTCATCATCATCAGTGAGTTGGCCGACCGGTTGCTTCGGCACGTTGGGCTAACACCATTCGTTGACCTCAACAGTCAAAGGGACCGTCAAAGCAAGCAGCGGAATCCGCAAAATCATACGATGAGCTCAGAAGGACACGAGCATGGGACGTCGCACTCGCGCCGATAAAGTCCCTGCCAATGCAGGCGTTCATGCTCTACATGTCCGGCGGAGGCGTACAGATCTTTAGCATGGGCATCGTCTTCATGCTTCTTCTCACCCCATTCAAAAATATCGCTGGTATCAACGAAGGTGCGTCACTGATGCTTTTCAAGGCTTTTCGGCGGTGTTCATCCTTTTGTTGCTGTTAGCGTTTGCACAATTCGCGCCGTCCAAGCAAAATCCAAAGTCATTAACGACGCTACCGCTTCAGAAGCTCGTTTATATTGCTTGCAATTTGGTAACTTTGGCTGTTGGTTTGTGGAAGTGTCGATCAATGGGTCTGTTACCGATGGGTACCGGAGACTGGTTAGCATTTGAGACGAGAGGGCTGGTGCGTTCTCTTTATACCGCCAAGTAAAAACTTCTCTCTCACATTTGTTTCACAGGCACCGGAAATATCACTGTTCTAATGTGTTTGTATTATACCTGTGACTGGCTCAATGGCTTCAGAAGAACTTGAATCATATGCGCGATCTCTGTACCAGTGTAAATACCCCCTTAACATAACCGTTGCACAAGCGGAACGCAAGGGGTTCTTGTCCACGTAAATGGCCACATATTGCCCTCCATTCGTCTCTTCCTCGCGCCCAAACTCATCTATTCTACCCTCACGGCCCCCCCTGAGTGAGATAACCCAGCCTGATGATTAAAATGCACTTGGAAGCCTACGTCTTCGAGAGGGATATACACGATTCCCGCTGATGTCGAACATTGGTGCGAGTTCAGACTGCAAGCATTGAGACGCAGAGGTCCGCAAAGTATTTTATTTTGCATGGTCAATCCTACAGTACGCATGGCTCCCATCCATCTATAAGGTATGGAGGTGACTAAACATACAAAACATCGAGAGCGAAGAGAACGGAGTATGACAGTGACAAAGGAAGAGAGAGAGGGGCGAATGAGAGAGAGCGCGGTCATTGGCGCTGTTCGTAGAAGAAGTACGGTATTTTGCAAGACCCTCTGCTCTTGAGCAGTCTTGATTATAGCCTGGGGCAATCAATCGATCGAAATCCTCTATTGTTGGGCCGCAGCCTTGGCTTTGGCAGCCATCTAGACCCCCAAGTCCGTGAGCTTCCAGCATAGTTGAGTCATGAAGAATGGACCGTACCAAATTAAGAGCAGATCCGGCTTTGAACCAGGCGATCTGTCCCTCGTTGAAAGAGTGGGCCAAAGGAATTTCCTACGAAGCAGAGAAGGCTGAGCTTACGTTACTGTAGACGTCGGAATGGGCACTTACCGTCTTGGAACCATCCTCATGCTTGGCAACAAGGGTGAGGTTCTTTCCTGGAGCGAAGCTCTCCAAACCCAGAATGTCAACGCGGTCAGAAGGACGGATCTTGTCGTAATCGGCGGGGTCAACAAAGGTGAGGGCGAGCATACCCTGCTTCTTGAGGTTGGTCTCGTGAATACGGGCAAATGAACGGACAATGATGGCGAGGCCACCGAGATAACGAGGCTCGAGAGCAGCATGTTCACGGGATGAACCTTCACCGTAGTTGTGGTCGCCAATAACAACCCACTTAACACCGTTATCACGGTAAGCAGCACCAACTTGTGGGACACCTCCGTATTCGCCAGTGAACTGGTTCTTGACCTTGTTGGCCTCGTTGTTCTCCGCATTGATGGCACCGATCAGGCAGTTTTCTATTGTAAACCATTCAGTGAATCGCAATGAAGGGGAAAGAAAGTCATACGTGAGATGTTCTGGAGATGGCCACGGTACTTCAACCAAGGGCCACCAGCGGAGATGTGATCAGTCGCTGAAGCATAAGTGAGTGGACAGTGAAGAAAGATCGACGAAACTGGACATACTGCATTTGCCGCTAACCTTAATCAGAATAGGGAGGTCGGTGGGGGTCTTGCCGTCCCAAGGGAGGAAGGGTTCGAGGAGTTGGAGACGGTCACTCTTAGGGTCAACAGCGACGTTGACGCTGGCGCGATCAGCAGGAGGGGGCTGGAAGGTATCTTCTCCAGGGTCATATCCACGGGGAGGGAGCTCATGACCGGCGGGGTCAGAGAACTTGAACGGCTTGCCATCAGATCCGATAAGAGAGTCAGTTAAGGGGTTGAAAGAGACACGTCCAGCGAAAGACATGGCGGTGACAATGTCGGGAGAAGCGACAAAGGCATGCGTAGCAGGGTTGGCGTCGTTACGTCCGGTGAAGTTACGGTTGTACGAGGTGATAACTGCGCAAAAAAAAGTAAGAAACATGGTCGCGTTGATGTCAGACGAAAGATTCGTACTGGTGTTAGGCTCGCCCTTCTTAACGTCTTGCCTGTCCCATTGACCAATACAAGGACCGCAGGCGTTGGCGAGAACAAGTCCACCGACACTTTCGAAGGCTTCTATTTGTCCATCTCGTGCAATGGTAGCGCGAACCTGCTCAGAACCGGGTGTAATAGTAAACTTGCTCTTGAGGTGAATACCGTGATCAGCAGCTTGCTTGACGATAGATGCCGAACGTGACATATCCTCATAGGACGAGTTGGTGCAGGAGCCGATAAGGCCGACCTTGATCTCTTCAGGCCAGTTGTTCTTCTTGGCCTCCTCGGCGAATTTGGAGATGGGGGTAGCCAAATCTGGTGTGAAGGGGCCGTTGATGTGGGGCTCAAGTTCCGAAAGGTTCTATAGCAAGATGAGTTTCAAAGACATTTCAAATTAGACCTTGACATACAATCTCGATGACCTGGTCGTATTCCGCACCCTCATCAGCTTTCAGGTTGTGGGCGAACTGCTTAGCATAGTTGGCAATATCCCCGCGTTTAGTAGCATTGAGGTAGTCGACCATGCGATGGTTGAAGGGGAACATGGATGTGGTTGCACCGATTTCAGCGCCCATGTTGCAAATCGTAGCCATACCAGTGCAAGAGAGAGATTCGACACCAGGGCCCTTGTACTCGACAATAGCACCAGTCCCGCCCTTTACTGTGAGGATACCAGCGACCTTAAGAATGACGTCTGGAAAACGGTAAGGCGTTGTGAAGGGATACATGAAGCGGATAACGTACCCTTGGGAGTAGTCCATCCACTGATTTTGCCAGTCAAATTGACACCGATGACCTTGGGGCACTTGAGTTCCCAAGGAATGCCAGCCATAACGTCCACAGCATCCGCACCACCAACACCACAAGCAATCATACCGAGCCCTCCAGCATTGGGGGTATGCGAGTCAGTGCCGATCATAAGACCACCAGGGAATGCATAGTTTTCCAGAATAATTTGATGGATAATACCCGAGCCAGGTTTCCAGAAACCGAGGCCATACTAAAGAAAGTATGAGGGTGAGACCCAATCGGAACCGATAGAACCGACCGACCTTAGCAGTGGCTGTTGCCAAAAAGTCATAAACCTCCTTGTTGATTGAAATAGCGCGAGCCAAGTCCTTGACACCACCAATTTGCGCCTCAATCAAGTGGTCGCAGTGGACAGTGGTGGGAACTGCGGCGGTATCCATACCAGCCGACATGAATTGAAGAAGCGCCATCTACATGATTACGTGAGTAAGCAGGAGGAATAAGGTGATAAGGTATGTTAGCCTAACCTGTGCCGTCGCATCTTGGCAAGCGACTCGCTACGAAGAAGGGCATGTCAAACAAAAAAGGTGTGCGGGGCAAAGGGTTCGCATACGTCAGGCCTGAGCTTGAGATAGCTCGTTCCTCGCTCAATGTCCTGCCCGTGAGGGTCGTCAAGATGTCCGTAGAGAATTTTCTCAGATAGAGTCAAGGGACGGTTCAGTCTAGAACGGAGAATGAGTTTGTACCAACCAGCGAAATAAACTATACCGCCCACCTATCGCGGACGATTGCCAAGTTGTCCTCAATACGCTGGTAGTTGATATAAGCGCCCTTCTCAAGCAATGACATGGGGACTTTGGTATCGCCGATCCGCGGAGCAGCGGTGGCCATGCCTGCGGCCAACCGCTGCAGCGCACGGACCGCATTGGCTGTTCTATTGGAGAGGTTGAGCATCACCGGAGGGGGACGACGACTTCAGCGATGAAGACGACGACAGAAGATGAGAAAAGACGTTGAAAGGAAAATGTCGGGAACACAATTAAATTTATGCCGCATCGGAGCACGTGAATTATGACCGCACCAATAAGAATCCGTGTTTTACCTAAGTTGAACTCAAAGTTGAGCCTCCGGCCGGCTGAGCTGAGCACAATCCTACGAACACGTCAAAGAGAATACGCACGCGTCGTTCAGTAGCACTGGAGAGCACTGGTCATCCACCTTTATGTACCAAATTCGGAGGTACAACATATGCTGACAGTGAAGAGGTTTTTGGATTCGTTTGAATCTTTCATGAAGCTTTCATCTTCAACACCGCACAACTCATCATGCGCAACACTATCTAATGCCCCAAAGAGTCGTGCTACCTCCTACAAAAAATGTATGGCTCGTCTCCTGGATTAATATGTTGCAACCTGCGTCGATCCATAATTGTGGCATCAAAATTGTATCTGTTCTGCAACGTTACTTTAGACGCGCTTTTGGCTCTTGATTCTCGCAACACATTGCCTATCGTCATCTGCCATATCACAAGCAGTTGTTTCAAACACCAGTATGGCCTTGACGCCTGGGGCTTTGAAGCCCGGATTGCCATTGCCAACCACGCGTCACTGGCGCAGCCCACTCACGCGTCAAAGCCAAATTCGACAACTCCTCTCCTATCTCGGCTTATTTTCCCTCGCATTCACTTTATCCAAGATCCTACCCTCCCCATGGTCGCTTTTCCACGCTGAAAACGCGTCAAAGATTGCGTTTGTCAAAGGCACTCAAGATCCAGCCTCTCAGTGGAAAGACAACGTTTGGCCACTTCGTGAACCAACACCATGGGATATCTCTACCGACTTTCCGTATCCGAGGACCTTGGAATATGATGTGCAGGAAGGAACTTGGCTGCGACTCGACGTCCATCCCATATCTGGCGACATTATCTTCGACATGTTAGGGGACATTTATTGTATTCCGGGTGGACGAGATTATACCCAGACCAGCACGGCCCGCCCTGTTCTGTTGGGCGTCCCCCATGACTCCGACCCTCACTTCTCACCCCAGGGTGATAGAATCGTTTACAGGAGTGATGCAGAATTGGGAGTGGAAAATATCTGGGTAACGGAGTGGAAGGGATGTGAACATATGGATGTACGGTCGGTGACTCCGAGTGAAGAGCTTTTAGATGCTCTAAGCCAGAAGGAGTATGAAGATTCGTTGCTTTCTCGTGGGGTGCAAGAGGCTCAAAAAAGGAGGGTGAACCGCCTTTTGCGAGAGGGACGTTTGAACGGTGCGTGAACTCTCCCACTTACAGATGTACGATGCTTACTCTTCTGCTTCAGCTCAACGCGTAACGAATGAGACCTACAGATATGTCACCGATGCGCGTTTCCATCCATCTGGTCATAAAGTCATCGCGACGAAATGGTACACTTCCGACCGCTCCCTCGGAGCAGGAGAGAGTTGGGAATACTCTATCCCTCATTTGAAAGACATACATAAACATCCTAAAATTCATGCGGGCAGCGGAACTCGTGTGATTGGTCGCAGCCTTCCATCAGGTTGGACTGCAGAGGATTATGGCGAGCAGCAAATTGGCCCTGAACAGGCAATTTGGAAAGGCACAGACGCAATTATCTACTCGAAAAATATTCAAGATGCCAGTGCATTCACCTACAGCAAAGGTTGGTTCATACTCATTTCATCTTGTTATGCAACCTTCCATTGTTTCTTTAGATGTCCACAAGGGAATTTATTCCATCTTTCAATACAATCTCACCACTCGCATCACCACAACCCTCGTCGAGGCCTCCCCAGGCGGAGCAAGTAGACCTGAGCTCTCCCGTGATGGACGCACTCTCGCCTTCGTTCGCCGAGTGCGAGACAAAGAGGCGCTCGTACTGAAGTATGTAGGCAACTACATCTCTTTCGCTCGATTTTCAATCTTTTTATTTTAGAGATCTTGAGACAGGGACAATCTACAACGTTTGGCATGGTTTGACGTATGATTTGTCTGGTGTCTCTGCTCCAATGGGCACATATCCCTCATTCGCGTTTACGCCATCTGACGAGGCTATCATCATCTGGGCAGCTGGTCAAATTTACTCGGTTCCGTTGTCAGTCAACAAGCGTGGAGAACGGAAGGCCTCATCCACTGCCCCTAGGCCGATCCCTTTTACAGCACATATCGAGAAACGCATTGCTGAAACGCGGCGTTCAGAAAATCCTCTAGTTAGCATCGAGACGAATGATACCCAAAGAGTTCGGGCATTCACAGATCTGCGAGCAGACGAGAAAGGAGAGAAAGTGATCTTCCAAGCCGGCGGAGTTACTTATGTCCAAGAAGTTGGCAAGAAGACAGCAATCAAGGTGCCAACACTAGAGAGATATGCTCCTTATTATTCACCTTCATTTGTGTATGGTGCAGACCACTTTGTTCTCCATGCTCGCTGGTCAGACGAGACCTTCACCACGTTTGAACTTGCAGATATTCACTCCGGATTTTCTTTTGAGCTGGATGGTCTCCCATTTGGTCGATACTTCTCTCCGATTCTATGCGAATGTCCAAGCTCGCACAGGCAGATTGCATTCATCAAAACTGGGGGAGATTACATGACTGGTGACATTCTGGCCACTGCAGGTGCTGGACTCTACATTGGAGACATTACGCTGCCACCTTCGGACTCGCTCGAATCCAAGAAGATCGCTATTCACAATCTCCGCTTCATTCCTTCTGAAATCGAAACGACTGACCGCGTCAACATGAGATTCATGGACGGAAATAAGAAACTCCTCGTCCAGCAGTCCAACCGAGCCTTCACAATCAATCTCGGGTCTGGAGCTGATAAGCTGGGCAACTACAAACACCGCACCATCGCAACTGGTCGAATGTCGAGGGAGTTGGCTGTTTCTCCACGACAACGCCGGGGGCGGCAATCCATCGTTGTTGACAATGTCGCGTTCGTTGATTTTTTCAACGTATACCTCGCTCCGGGAGATGGCACCAAAAAAGCTGGCAAATCAGTGTGGTCCAGGCCTGCCAACGCAACAAAGGGCTTGGTAAGGTTGAGTTTAGATGGTGGTCATGATGTGACCTGGAGTAGGGATGGCAAGACGTTGTTCTGGTTCTTGGGTAGAATCTACCAGCTCCTTTCAATTGTCGCTGATCTCACATATATACCTAGGACCGTTCTTACACTCCTTGGAGGTGTCTAAGCTGCATCATTGCTCGTCAGCCATCAAGCACGACCGCCTAAACTTTGGTATTTCATGCGTCAAGAACTTGCTTGAATATCAAGAGATCGTCATTGAGCACACCACCGACATTGCACGTCTGAAAAGGGAGGCTGCTGCGATCGCTGAGGTGCCGGATAACTCGGATGTTTTGGTTGTCTTAAATGCAACCATTCTTACCATGGCATCGGGAAAAGTTGATACTGATCTGATACGCAACGGTATTCTCGTCAGTCGGGGCGGCGTTGTTGAATATGTCGGTGCAATCGGCGGTTATACCACGGCTCCTGGTGCTACCATCATCAACGCTCGAGGTGGTGAGTGCTTGTCTCCATTTAATTTTTGTTCAACAGCACATAATATCTTTTTGGCTGGTAGGTTTCGTAATACCAGGCTTTGTCGACGTTCACGCACATTGGAACGGTTTCGAATATAGATACCCTGCTAAGTCATGGGAAATGGAAACGTTCCTTGCCTACGGGGTAACGACCCTTCACAAGTAAATCTCTCCCAAAAACTGACTATTCTTACACTTACATTTCGATCAGTCCCAGTGCAGACAACGTAAACAGCTTTGTAGAACGCAGTCTAGTCGAGAGTGGGCGGATGATTGGTCCTCGCATTTTCTCAGTCGGAGACATCATTTACGGTGCTGGGGGTGATGTTCATCAAGACATCGTCGACATGGACGAGGCGCGTTCCGCTTTGATACGAATCAAAGCAGAGGGTGGGCCTGGTGCTATTTCGTACAAGAACTATAACATCCCTTCAAGGTTTGTCCCAGGTCTATCAGTTGACCAATATATTGAATCTCTGCAGAGCATCCCGACAGCGATTGCTGCTCGCAGCACGGAACTTGAGTATGCTGTGCGTTCCTGAAGGAGGCATGAATTTCGATTGGGACTTGACGTATATTGTGGATGGTGTGCTAGAGTTTTTTTTACACTTCTTGAAACTCATTCTACTTCCAACGGATAGGTATGACCACAATCGAACATGCCATCCCAGTACCAACACTCTATGAAGACGTCTTGACACTTTATACCCTTAGCGGGACAGGATCCACTCCTACGCATATCGTAAATTATGGTGGGGGATGGGGAGAGCAGCTTGTGTGGGCTACAGAAGATATACCCAACGATCCGAAGTATGTATATCTTCTTCAAATGATATTCGGCATTTTAGTTACTTCAACCTCGTGTAGGCTGCGACGTTTCACGAAGCACGATATTTTGGAGAGCCTGTCTGAATCTATTGCACGACCTGCTAATTGTATGTTTTCATCCGTGATGACGCGTCAACCTCAATTTTCTCATCATATATTGCCCCTAGCTTATGCGCTCTTTAATACCTCTGCATCAGTCGCGAAGATGGTTCAAAGAGGCCTTCTAGCGAACATCGGTGCTCACGGAGAGCCGCCTCTGGGCGTCAACTACCACGCAGAAATGGGTTTCACCAGTGCAGGCGGTTTGAGTAATTATGAGGTACACACACCCGTTCCTTCTCCCATCTAATCTGCTAATAAAGTATACCGCTACTCAGGTCATTCGTGCTGCAACATCCTCCGGAGCATCTACACTCGGGCTTCAGTCGTCCATCGGCTCCTTGTCGCCAGGCAAACTTGCTGATTTCCTCATATACCCACCTGGGATTGATCTTCTTGAGGGAGATATCGGAAGCACTAGGGATCTGCTATACGTGGCTAGGGGTAGCCGCCTATGGGATGCGTCGACGATGGAGGAAGTGTGGCCTGTTAAAGGGAGAAAGCAGGTCATGCCAATCTTGAATGCTGAGTAGGTACTAACATTCGTGTATTGTGAGACTATTTACATGAGATATATAACAAGCTATTGCCTATGTAGACAAAGATATAGCCTATGCAAGAGAAATGGATAAAAGGAGTGTGGTGCAAGAGTATGAACGTTGTACTTCAAATTTTTCTTTCATCAACATTCCCGTGCTATCAGAAAAACAGGTTTTCTTTCAACTCAGAATCACGGGCGTTGTTGAACTGAGAACTGAATCCAAAGCTTGCACTAGCTTCAACACCAAACCACCCATTCTCCGATGGAGGATCCACGATAAAACCCTCCGACGCAGATCTTAAAGAGTCGGACGACGCACAATCCATCCAAGGATCGTCCCCCATCTCGAAATCTGAATACACAGACTCGGAAGACGCGTTGCGCGACGCATTGTGTTTGAGAAAGGATGAGGAGAAGTCGAGGGTGGGGAATATGAGCTGTGTTTCGCTTTCTCGTAGTCCCATATCAAAGGACGTAGGGGCAGGAGAAGGAGAAGGCGAGGACCACATCGAACGAATCGGCTCCTCACCCTCGGAAATAGAGTCCAAGACCGAGTCCGCCATGCCTTCGTCTTCGGGATCGTCATGACGCACCTCTTCCAACACACACCACCCCGTCCCGCTTTCTCCTATGACGCTCCTCACTTCAGCCTTTGACCAGCCTTCGAAGGTCACTTTAAGGACGGTACATACGCCTTCTTCTTGTTCTGCATCGGCCTCGTCTGAGATTAGATGGGACGGCAGTTTACGTGTGTGCCCCTGCGAGTAGGCTGAGCATTTCACTCCTCGCGCCCAGACATTCGATTGGTCCAAGCGAGTGAAGACCGTCGAAACACGAAGAGCGTGTCGAGAGTGGGAGGCGTGTATGCTACCGATGAGCGGCAGCGGCAAGAGGGGGTGTTGAGTCGATTCGGGCTCAGAGGAAAGGGGAAGACGGGCGGTAGGGGTCGGTGCGAGGGGAATGAGGAGGTTGGTGGTCACGTTGGACCTGGGTGCAGGGAAATAATGCTCCATCTCATCTTCATGCGTCTTAATCTTGATGGTGTGCTTGACGGGCTTCATCCTCTGCGCGCCAAGACTCTTCTTGTTCTGCTTCTTCCCATCGAGTGCGACGCGCATCTTCTTAACGCCCTTGTGAGTGATACCACTATCCAACGAATCCCACTCATCAGCCGCCTCGTAAAGTGCTCGAACGGCAATGGGGACATTGTCCACCAAGTTCTGGAAAAGTGGGCGTGCGGAGGAAAAGTTCCTCGTACAGCCGAGGCCTACAGTGGTAGCGACCCTAGTGGCAGGTGTAGGTGGAGCACGGGGGAGGAAGGTTCCCTTGCCTATGGACCTATTCTTCAAAGCGAAGCGAGCACCAGTGGACAGATTGTTTTGGATCGTCGTGGCGAACCCTCGTGCGGGTTGCAGAGACTCAACATTTCCGGTGTAAAGGTGGGGAGCTCGAAGACCTGGTGCAGTGAGGTGGGTGAATAACCTAGTGAGGAGATTGCGGGAGAACGAAAAGAGCTTATGTGCTGGGGTGCGTGGTCGAATTTGTGCCAAGGTTGGGCTAGATTTGAGCGTGCCCCTCGTAGTACTACTGTTGAAAGGCTGGTGAGGTGGAATATGTATCGATCTTGAAGTGCCTCCAGGCCCGTTCTCGCGACGAACGTGAACGAAGCCATTGGTCGCTTTACGAGCTGATGCTCGTAGAGCGCCGTGGGATGCGACTGGCATCTCTCAGGTGAGCTTTAAGCGTCGCTGCTCTCTGACGATGTTAATTTATCACTGCAGCTCTTGGTGGTTATGAGGGAGGATTGGAGAATGGGAGATGTGGTGAGCAGTGACTTAATAGTCATGCCTTGATCATGCCGTCCACCTTGTGTCACATACTGCCGTGTGGCGATGCAACAATTTATCTTATCTTATCTCCGGGACTTCAAGTCAAGTTATTGCAAAAAAATAATGTTCGAACGAGGAAATACAACTGGTAACCGGATTGCACCTATGAGTCGCGCGTATAAACTACTTGTACAGGGTGGTTATTTGTTCTTGGGAATATACTTCTTTAAGGCCCTACTTGGGCCCTACGTGAAGTTGGAGAGCTGCGGGAAGAAACTCCTGAGCGAGCGCCGCACTAACATTTGTTATGGCGAGGCTCGTCTTCGACTCGATTGTGTTCACTTTGTATCTGGCCAAGGACTATAGGGATAGAAATTGGAATAGACGAAGCCATGTGCCAACTGCGTGCTTACCTTGACTCTGTCGCCGACTATGTCCTCGATCCTGAAGAACTTATTCCAGTCACTACGTGTTTCCGGGGCCTTGGCGATCGATCCTTCGGGATTGTCGCTGCCGATAGCGAATACCGCCTCGTATATCATCAACGTTGTGCGGATGGTAGTGACAATATCAACGTCGACGGCGGTTCCAGGAGGCAACGTCGCGTTGGCCGTGTCCTGGCTTGTCACGCTATCGGTCTGCGAATTGGCCTGGGTGTTCGTCGTATCGAAGCTTGCAGTGACATTAAAGGTGAAGCCTTCAATGTTCATCCCTGTGGAGATGGAGAGGGAGGACTTCTGAGACGCGGTAATGGTGACGTTTTTCTGAGCGGATTTTCCGTACGTGGTGGAGAACTGAATAGGAATAGGAGAGTTTCTGTTGTCCCAAACATCGTGCTTGTTTGTCGTAGAAGTCGTAGTATCGGTAAGGGTTTCAACCAACTTAGGCGCTTGCAACATATAAGTGTATGTCGCATGTCCCTGTTTAGCAAGATCGATGCCAAAAAAATTCCAATCGTTGGCACTATGACTTCTCTGCACTCCCGTGCAATCATTGAAGCTGAATGCGTTATCAGTGTTTCCCTCAGCCCAAGAATCTTTACCGCCGAGATGTGCCGTTAGGTTAAGCCAACCCTGCAGGTCGATCCCGGTGGCCTCTAATTCTTCGTGGGTTGTCAGATGGCCCGTTGCGAGGATATTTTTGGAAGCCATCCTGCGGTCAGCATATCATTTAAGCGTTCGTCGACCCAGTGAAGGAAAAAAAATTCGTACGTGGTCTTGTGCTTGGGAGGGCCAGAGGGGGTATGATTACTTGTCCTGCTTCTAAATAGAGGTCGTGAACAAGAGATAACGCACTGAAGGGCTTTAGTAGTCTTGGAAAGCCGTTAGCCATCAAGTATGGACTTGATATACATTGCTGCCCAATCGTGAATAAGAGATAATGCCTGAAGGGTGGTCTTGGCAAGCCGTTAGCCATCAAGTATGGACTTAATATACGTTGCTGCCCAATCGTGAATAAGTAAGAGATAACGCCTGAAGGGTGGTCTTGGCAAGCCGTTAGCCATCAAGTATGGACTGAATGTACTTGTATGTGCCAGCTGCCCGATTGTGAATAAGGGATAACACCTGAAGGGCCACTGAAGGGTTCAAGTAGTGAAAGCCGTTAGCCGTCAAGTATGGACTCAATGCCCGTTCGTGAACAAGAGTCAACACCTGAAGGCCCACTGAAGGGCTTAAGAGTCTTGGCAAGCCATTGGAGCAGTCGCCACTGACCCAGTCTGTTATCTATAATTGACTTACTCGTGATAGGAGTCTATCCGAATCTCTATTTACGCAGTCCGTGCCTGAAGTTTATCGCCGCAGTCATGACACGGGGCCAAAAAAATAAATGGATGTGACATGGGACGTCTGAATTGCAGGAAATGCAGTAGTATTTACGGAAACTTAGAGGAATGCACATTCTCACTCAAGGTTTCCCCACCAACATTATCCAAGTAACTGATTCATCAGCGCAAGAGGGACACATCAATGGTACCCTCATTCTCCAAATTTCGGCGGTCTTGTAGTTAAAAACAACGCCCGCGTGGATGTCCTTTAAGAACTGAACGTTCTCTCCAGAACCGGCATAGCCGAAGGCCTGAGTCTGGCTCCTGAATTTGTGGTTTCGATCAAAGAGCAATAAATAACCCACAACCTGACAGAACCGGCGCCTGTCGAAACAGAGACAACCTCATTCTCCTCACCTAAGGCATGACACTGATTAGTGATCGGGGCCTTCTACAGTCGCGGACAGCCAAAGTCAACTAATTTTGTGATCGTGATGTGAGGACCCTGCACAACCTTCAATAGTACTTTTTATTGCAGAAACGTGAAGATTACAGTGCTTTGCACTGCCGTCTGCACAACGGAATTTGGAAAACCTGTTTGTATGTGTTTTACCGTGACTGCAACAAATCGGGGAGAAACAGACCACTTCATCCAACAAGGCCTAAAAATTACTTGTGATGAGAGATGACGCCCACCATGCCAAATGATGATCCGTGTGCGCATCGCATCTGATACATATGGCGCCACGGGAGTTGGTTGTGTGCTCAGATCTGGTTCTAATGCGTGACAATCTGTGACGAATACACAAAACCAAACAGAGTTTTCGAAACTTCCTTGTGCAGACGGCAATGCAAAGCACTGTAGGACTCAATGCTTCGATTTCCACGAGCCGATTTTTCAAAATCGATGAAATGAGAAATTTTACCCCCAAAATATTGGCCGGCCCTCAAATGGACCCCTAAAACCATGAAAAATAGCGCAATCGACCCTTTTTTTAGTTCTGCATCTGATCCTGGACTTTGGGAAAATTCTGATGAGCCGTTGTTGTAGAAAAAAATGATTTTAAACTACCTAAAATGGCAATTCAGGGTCTTCCCACCCCCATGGACCCTCAATGAACCCTGTCCTTTTGACCCCCCTCCTCTTCCCACCTTTAGCAGATTGTATATTACTGATTTCCAATCAGAATTACAATGTTTGGCAAGTGCCACTAAATTTTTTGGTCACCTCCAGCATTGGGAACTGGGTCTTAAGAGCCGCTGAGGAGCCTTACCGGATGACAAAAGTAGTCCAAAATTTTGGCCAACCCAATTTCTCGTGGGAAAAACTTCAAAGAGGTGTTTTTTGACATATTTTCACATCCTGCGTTTGAATCTGAAGTCAGAATGTCAAAATATTTAGTTCTTCCTGAGATATCAACTTGGTTGACTTTGGCTGTCTGCGACTGTAAGGCCAATTCTTTGGCAATGGGTAATTGGCCTTCAAGGCCTTGGTCGCTTGGCGCTGTTACCTATAAATAGATCAGAATCACATCGAGATCTGTACGAAAGTGCCGTTAAACACTGAAAGTGCAGCAAGCACTAAATAGTATCAGACAGACGGCAGTGCGGTCTTTGCGCACTCTGGATCAATATACCACAAAAAATTGCAAAACCTGCACTTACATAATGTTTTATATGCTATGGTCTCTGTGGCTGGCCTCTGGTCAGTTCTTCACAGAGACAAACCTTTTGGAGTGGATTTTAAATCCAAAATTGAGAGGAGCGCGGCCCAGCGCCTCACACTTCTCACGCTGCCAGTCTAAGAATAGGTATTGGTTATGATCTTGATTCTTTGCTTCGATCCGACAGCTGCCTTGATGGCGCTTGCCACTACTTCTTTCCACACCATCACCGACATCCTCCTCATTTTACTTATGTTGAACCATCATCGTCCTTCAATTCTCACCATCTGTCTGGAACTATGACATTGGGACAATGGACTGAGTATGTGACAGTGAGTTGCAAATATACAATATAATTGAATGCTACTTTTCATCTGAATTCCCTCAAGTTTACAAAATGTTGCTGTTACAGACTCTTTCTTTTACATAAACATGCACATACAGACACTTACATAACTCCTAAGATGTATCTAGACCATACTGGACAGTTCTAGACACACACTCCATTCAGATTCCTTTTTATGACTCATATGACTCTTATAGACTAGATACGACTCATATGACTCTACATAAGTCATACAAACTCATACCTCTGACTCATACTTGACTCATACCCTTAGTATATAAGTAGGGTACGTTTCATTTGTATTTGGTAGCTTGAACCTAGGCAATCTAAGCTTAGTTCCTCCTCATCAGACCCTCAGAAACTAAGATTGCCCTCGAACTCTGTAGTCTTTCAACTTAGAGCCTCTTTGAAACCTCAATGATAAGTCTTCAACATGTTGAAGACTTAACACACATTTGACTTAATAGAAGTCAACGTATCATAGAACCTTGGACTGACCTTTGGGCACAAGGCTACTAGAACCTACCATGTTGCTTTAAGGGCTAAGCAAACATTGTAGTGACCCACTTTGTCTCAACGACGAGAACTGTGGTAGATGAATGAACGATTGAACTCGAAAGCTTAACATAACTGCCTGTTACGCTTAACAACTGTAACAAAAGGTTCAAGCTTATCCCAGAACAGAAGGCGCATCACTGCCCTCTACCCAAATCAGACACACTGGACAATGTAACAAAGGTTATACATCTTACCGAAGAGTATAGCACCAGAATCGAAGACGTTATAAGTCTCATCAGAGAATATAACAAAAGAATCAAAGACATCATCATATTGATAGAAGGCACATCAAACCCGCCTCCTACCTAAAGAAATCATGGCTGCTCGAAGAGAGTCAGACCATTGGACACTACGAGCACCAGCAGAAAGCTCAGACTCAGAACCCGAACCAAGAACCGACACCTTCACGTCCGGTGAAGAACAGTACAAAAGCGCAGACGAGGGTAGCAGTCCCCCTGCATCACAGACACCAGTAACAGGAACATCGACACCCGTATCAACAACAGAGAGATATAGATGAATAACAGGGTTAGGACCATTACCGTCACCCTTCAGCAGACGAACCACACCCAGAGGATCACCAGCGATCACCAGAACACCCAGTAGAAGCGTACAGCCACTATTAGGACCAATCATCCCGACATTGACATTTATGCCAATAGATTTAGCCAGTTTAGATATCACACCTACCAACGAAAGAACCGAAGCAGTTGAACAGTTCAACACATTCACAATAAACCCGTACCCCGAGTCACCAGCAGCACCTGGAACTCCTAGACAGACCGACACACCGGTAGAACCCAAGAACCCGACAGAACCAAGACAAGAAATGGCCGACGCTGCCAACGCAAAAGGTGACCGATGCCGCGCACCTAAAGATTTTGATGGAAACGAAGACAAGTACAAAACTTGGCTTAGAACAATACAGACCTACATGGAGGTCAATGATCACTTGTTTAGCACCGACAAATGAAAGATCCAGTTTGCCCTCAGTTTTATGATCACAGGCAGAGCTGCCGACTGGGCAGAACACTTTACAGACACCCATACAAATACCGATGGAGTATTCACCACAGCATCAACATGGAAAGAATTTGTCCAATTGTTAAACGAGACATTTGACATCAGAAAGATGAAAGACAAAGCAAGAGTAGACCTCTCAATCCTCAAACATAAACCTGGACAGCATGAGCAGTACATTCTCGACTTTACCGCACTCGCCAGTCGAGCAGGATATGTTTTAACAGGAGACATGGAGAATCCGGTCCTCTCTCAGCTTTTCCTCAAACACTTAAATCCCTCATTACGGGAAAAGATCGAAACACAGAAAGAACCACCCAAGACACTTAAAGTCATCATAGAAGATGCTAGGAAATTCGACAAGTCGTATTATAAAAACCAAGCATGGAAGACGAAAGTTATGGGATGGCAACCAACTAGGAGCATGCCTTGTCAACTCCCTCGACCATCCTATACCCCCAGATCTCAAGATCCAGATGCCATGGATATTGACAGATTAACTATCGAAGAACGGAACAAATACATGAAGAAAGGGAAATGTTTCCAATGCGGACAGACAGGGCACGTGTCTCGCAACCACACAACCAATCCTGCCCTTAACACTGGAAAAGGAAGTACGTCCAATTCTAGAAAACCTGCCACTCCCTATAAGGCTATAATGCCACTGCTGAACAAGAACGCCACACAGAAAGTCCGTGCTATCATGGCAGGACTCGATGACAAAGAATTAGAAGAAGCAAAAGTTGCTTTTATAGAATCTTTGGATAAAAGTCCAAATGAACCAGCCAAAGAAGAATCAGACGATGAAGACGAAAACAAGGGTTTTCAGTAAGAAGGCTAGCAACAACGTCTAGACCTTGTAAACAACTTTCTATTAAAGCTCTTAGAATTTGAAGTGTACCTAAGGACGATTTGAAATCAATGCACGTTAACACAGCAATTATTAATGGAAAGAAAATCGTTGAAACAAAAGCACTTATCGACAGTGGCACTCAAGGAATTTTTATGGACGAACGATTCGTGAAAGAACACAGACTCCCGCTCTTGAGATTAGATAAGGAAATCCAAATCTCAAACATAGACGAAAGTCTGAACAAGAATGGTCCTATTAGGTTCTATACCCGACTCCCGACAAAAATTGACAGAAAAGTAAATTCCACCCGATTTTTAATTTCCAACTTAGGAAAAGAAGACGTAATCCTCGGATTACCATGGTTAGACAGAATTAATCCCAAAGTAAACTGGACAAAGAAGACCATCAAGATTATCCCAGACAGGATAAAGAAACTGAACATACGACAAGCCGTAGATCGAGAAATCCAGATTCTAAAGATAGAATCAGAACACAAGAAGATGAAGTCAAAAGAAGCTTTCGCAGATCAGTTGCGAAAAATCCCTGACAGAAGAAACAAAAGGAAGAGATCAGCGGTCTCTATTGAAGAGATACCCAATGAAGACGCAACCCCAAAGTTTGAAAGATTAGCAGATGACGAAGAAGCCATTCTCATAGCTGTGAATGAACTTCCGGATCAATACGAAGACATGCCGGCCCTAGTACCTGACACAGAAGATGATGAAGAAAACAAATCAGAAGGAGATCTTGTCACCGCATATCTCCAAGAAGAAACCGTAACGACATCCGAACCAGAGAAAGAAGAACCCCTGAATCAACCTATTCAGATTGATTCAGATATAGCAATCAGAGCCAAGACATCCATATTGCAGAGTCTTGCACATAAGGAAGAAACGAAAGAAGAGAAGACTTTCGAGGATTTAGTCCCGAAAGAATACCACCAATTCTGATCAGTATTCGAAATGAAAGCATCAGAACGCTTTCCTGAATCAAGACCATGGGATCATAGAATCGATCTTAAACCAGACTTCGTACTGAAGAGATCGAAACTCTACCCATTAGGACAGAAAGAAGAAGAAGAAATGAACAAATTCATCAATGAAAACCTAAAGAAAGGTTTTATCAAACCGTCAAATTCACCTCAGGCTTCACCTTTCTTTTTCGTATCAAAGAAAGACAGCAAAGCGCTGAGACCCTGTCAAGATTATCATTATCTAAACGATTACACAGTCAAGAACGCATATCCCCTCCCATCTATCGACGATCTCCTAAACAAGCTTCAAGGAGCCACAGTCTTCACGAAGCTAGATATCCGATGGGGATATAACAACGTCTGAATTAAACAGGGTGACGAATGGAAAGGTGCCTTCATCACTAAAAGGGGACTATTCGAACCAACAGTAATGTTCTTTGGAATGACCAATTCACCCGCGACATTCCAAGCCATGATGAATGACTATTTCGTCGATATGATCGCCCAAGGATGGGTTTTGATCTATCTCGATGATATTCTCATATTCTTCAGAGACCCCAGACATCAGCATGGATGAACCGAGAAAGTTCTAACAAGGTCAGAAGAAAAGGATTTGTTCCTTAAACCAGAGAAATGTGTTTTCAACACAAAAGAAGTCAAATACCTAGGTTTCATCATAAGGCCGAATGAAATCTCCATGGACCCGACAAAGTTAGCTGGAATTCAAGATTGGATTCCACCAAAGAACATAAAAGGTGTCAGATCATTTTTAGGATTCGGCAACTTCTACCGAAGATTTATTAGCAACTATGCAGAAACTGCCAAACCCCTGAATGAACTCACTAAAAAAACAAAAGTTTTCAAATGGTCACAAGAATGTCAGACAGCCTTTGATAACTTAAAGAAGAAGTTTCTAGAAAAACCCATTCTAATCATCCCTGATTCAACAAAACCGTTCTATGTTGAATCAGATGCATCCAAATGGGATACAGGAGCTGTTCTCCGACAAAGAGATACGAACGGAGATTTGAAACCATGCGGTTACATTTCTCACAGTTTTACCCAGACAGAAAGGAACTACGACATATACAACAGAGAACTTCTAGGCATCATACGAGCCCTAGAAACATGGAGACACTTTCTAGAAGAAAGTCCACACCCCATAACAGTATTTTCAGATCACAAGAATCTGACATACTTCCGAAAGACACAGAAACTAAACCGCTGACAGGCCAGATGGAGTTTATACCTATCAAGGTTTAATCTTCAACTCATTCATGTTCCTGGATCAAGAATGATCCAATCCGATGCCCAATCCAGACAACCAGATCATGTCCCTGATAACGACGATGATAATGAAAACCTTGTCTTACTCCCAGACAAGATATTCATTAATCTTATTAATGTTGAACTCGCAAAAATGATCAAGTCAACAACAGCCTCAGACGAACTAGTAAAGAACATATCAAATGTTCTTTCCATGAAAGGAATTCCGCCGATTAAGTCAAGCCTTTCCGATTGGAAAATAGAAGATGGAAAACTTTTCTATCAAGACCAATGCTACATCCCCGATAGTAATGAAATACAGAAACTCATCGTACAAGAGTTTCACGACTCACCAATGACCAGACACCCTGGAAGAGACAGCACATTAGAAATGGTGCAAAGACATTACTGGTGGCCAAGATTACGCCACTTTGTATACGAATATGTTGCAGGATGCGCCACGTGTCAACAAAACAAAATTAACACACATCCGACGCAACTGCCGACGCAACCAATTAAATCCACAGCGACACGACCCTTTCAGATGATATCACAGGATTTTATATCAGGATTACCAAAGACAAAACGAGGCTATGACCACATAATGGTCGTGGTAGACCATGGCCTTACAAAGGGGGTAATTTTTATCCCAACCAACAAAGAATTGACCGCCTTAGAAGCCGCTGAACTTCATTTTGATCATACCTTCAAACAATTTGGAATACCAGATGACATCATATCCAACTGAGATCCCCTTTTCGTTTCAAAAACCTATTGAGGTTTAATGAAACTTTGTGGAATCAAACAACGAATCAGTACAGCATACCACCCCGAGACAGACGGAGAAACAGAACGAGTTAATCGGGAACTCGAACTGTACCTCAGAATATTCTGCAAAAGGATTCCAGAAGAATGGGACAAGAACCTTTCTATCGCCGAATTCTCATACAATGGACGACCCCATTCTGTTACAAAACAAACCCCATTCTACCTCATGTTAGGATGTGAACCTACTGGAGTCCCAGTAGCATTCTCAAAGACAAATGTCCCTGCAGTCGAAAAGAGATTATCAGAACTCTTAAAAGAAAGAGATAATGCTTGAGCCGCACATGAACTGGCACAACAAGCTCAAATTAAATGATCCAAGAAGAACTCTCCTCATTTAGCAAAGGAGACTTAGTATGGTTAGATGGACGACACCTTAACAAAGGTCATAAGTTCCCAAAGATAGACTCATTATGCAAAGAACCCTTCAAGATTGAAGAAATCATGGGACCAGTAATGTACAAACTTCGACTTGCACCCCAATGGAAGATACATAATGTTTTCCATGGAAAACTTCTCACCCTGTATCGCGAAACTGATGTTCACGGAAAGAACTTCCCTGAACCCCCTCCTGACCTTATCAAAGGAGAAGAGGAATACAAAGTAGATTCAATCAGAGATCACAGGAAACGAGGCAAAAGATACCACTATCTAGTGGAGTGGAAAGGATATTCTGACGAAACATGGGAACCAGAAAGCAATTTGAAGAATGCTTCCGAGATTCTCAAAGACTATAAGAAGAGAAAGAATCTTCAGTAGAATCCTCAGACAATCGTCTAAACTCGCAATCAAGCCAACCAGCTTTCTTTGCAACCAACCCTCCTCTCTAAACATGTATGCTTCCCTCTTCAACTCTGAATCTTTTCTTGCTGCCACCCTCTTCATTGAATGTCTCGTTCAAAAAGAAGAACACATCTGCACTCTTATCAAGACTTGTCAGGACAACTCCACCCTCTCCCTCCACCTCCACCTCATCTTAGAAGCCATTGCTACTGAGAAGCGCCTCGAGAGCAAATTGGGATACAAGGACGAAAACATCCTTAGTCTCCACCACATGGTAACCACCACCATCGCCGCTGCTATCCGACATGGTATCTTGAATACTATCAGAGACTGTGACAAGCTCCCCACTGTCCCCGACTATATCCCGAGCCATTTCGCGGGACAAGGAATCATACAGTACTTTGAAAAGTTCGACGCCGAAATCCACACTTACAGGAAGAAGTTCCCAACATCCCCTCGCATCACTACCTATCATCCTTACCGACACACCCCTACCCGCCACTGCTTGAAGTGCAAGAGGCTTGGCCACATTTGTAAGGATTGCAGCGATTACCAGTGCGGAGGATGCTTCTGGTGGGGACCAGGACATATTACCCCCAACTGCGAAAGGAAGAAAGAAGCCGACAAGGCATGGGAATGGGAGAAACGGATGAACGCTGCAGGATACGACATGAAGACAGGAGCACAGATGTGGAAAGAAAAGGTTTATAGTTGGACAGGAGTACCGATTCTCAGGAACGAAGATTGCAACACCCCCAGGAAGCAACCCAAGTTCGTCGACTTGGTCTCCCCTTTGCCACCTTCCTTACCATCAATGCCGCCTCTCTTCCCACCAACTCCACCATCATCTCCTCTCTATAATCCATATTCCCCTATGACCCACCCATCTCCTCTCTTTGACCTTGAGGACTTGGTCAGTGACTTCGACTCCATCACTTCTTCATCTAACAATATCGGTGATATTGAAGTTTAAATGGGGGGTAATGTTACAGACTCTTTCTTTTACATAAACATGCACATACAGACACTTACATAACTCCTAAGACGTATCTAGACCATACTGGACAGTTCTAGACATGCACTCCAGTCAGATTACTTTTTATGACTCATATGACTCTTATAGACTAGTACAACTCATATGACTCTACATAAGTCATACAAACTCATACCTCTGACTCATACTTGACTCATACCCTTAGTATATAAGTAGGGTACGTTTCATTTGTATTTGGTAGCTTGAACCTAGGCAATCTAAGCTTAGTTCCTCCTCATCAGACCCTCAGAAACTAAGATCACCCTCGAACTCTGTAGTCTTTCGACTTAGAGCCTCTTTGAAACCTCAATGATAAGTCTTCAACATGTTGAAGACTTAACACACATTTGACTTAATAGAAGTCAACGTATCATAGAACCTTGGACTGACCTTTGGGTGCAAGGCTACTAGAACCTACCGTGTTGCTTTAAGGGCTAAGCAAACGTTGTAGTGACCCACTTTGTCTCAACGATGAGAACTGTGGTAGACGAATGAATGATTGAACTCGAAAGCTTAACATAACTGCCTGTTACGCTTAACAACCATAACAGTTGCATCCCACCTACGATGTGAATGTAGTCACTGCTGGTGGGGTGCATATTTCTACAATAATCCATATTCAAAGTTGTCGGGCAACGCGAATGACAGCCGCATCAGTGGTCAATATGCACTAATGCAGCCTACCATGGATGAGGTAATGTATCTATGGAGCGAGGTGCTTTCCCTCAAACATGACGGTTGGAAAAATCAGACAAGGTTTGCGGGAAGATAAATGGTGCTCAGTACACAAGGTGAGTTGTTGTCTCATCTCCGTTATCGATATCTCACCAAAGAGAATCACGCCATTTTAGAATTCGCTTGTCGATGTCAAATGCTCCGTTAATTGGCAAGTCTGACAGATATTTCAAAGTACGGATACTTGCATTTGGGCGGTATTGCTAGGTTTGGATGACCGGATAAACAAGCGAGGTTAGTTGTCATCCGTTGAACTCTACGGAACGGAGACTCAATGAATCAGTGTAGCAAATGATTCTTGTGTACACAAAGTTTGTAACTTGAAGCGCTTGTAGGTAAGGATGTCTTCGTGAGGGCGTCCACACCAGGCACGGTGTTATGTACTGATCGGCATCTCTGTTGTAGGTGAGTTCGTTCTTTCTCGCTGCTTGCGAAGTCGATCATTCAGTCTCTGCCTTACCATCCTGTAGGTTCTGTCATTCCAATCGCTCCAGGAAAAGTGGGTAACTTCGACATTATAAACAATGCCCAGATTTGACTGGTAGCTACCACTTACATCATGTACTCCTGAGCTGTACCATAGAAGTTCCTGCTTAGCTACCGTGAATGAAATGAAATGAATTTTCATTCATTCACGGCACCTGTTTCATTCTAGATAATTTATTCTGTTTCATTCATTCCTGGCGACTGTTTCATTTTTTTCTTTCATTCCACCAGGGCAACTGTTTCATTCCTTGCTTCATTCTTCTCAGGTGCCTATTTCATTGTTAGAGCTGGGAAAATGATTATGTAATTGATACAAAATATTTAAGTGCCTTATTTGGCAACAGCATGCCTATCTCATTGTGTATTTGAGCCTCAAATGCAAAAGTACCCCCATATGGCCTCCCACACCACTGCAGTAGGGCACAACACATATCAGGCATAATTGTATATTATTTCCTTATTTGATGTGTGTTAAACATCGAAATTGTTGCCTGAAAGAATGAAACAAAAATGAAATAACTGCCTGGAAAGAATGAAATGAAAATTCCATGGCAATGAATGAATGAAAAAAATGAAACAGTTGCCAGGAATGAATGAAACGAAAGAATAAAGCAAAAAATGAAACAGTTGCCATGGTGGAATGAAATTAAAAAAATGAAAGAGTCGCCAGGCATGAATGAAACAGAATAAATTGCATTCTTGTCAGTAGAAATGAAGAAAAAATTGAGATGAAATGAAATGAAACAAAAAGTATTTCATTCTCGACGGCAATGAATGAGAATGACTTGGAATGAAACAGGTGCCGTGAATGAATGAAAATTCATTTCATTTCATTCACGGTAGTTAAGCAGGAACTTCTATGGTACATGCCAGGTTTTACATGATGTAAATGGCAGCTACTAGTGCAGATTTTGAAAAGTTGACTGCTTCATTTTAACGACCCACAGGCGTTCAACAAATCGAAATTCACAATTGAGGAGGCCAGGTTCCATGACGATTTCTTCACTTCAGAGTCGTCTTTAGTTAGTGTTGATCTGTAGAAGGCAAAGATGCAGAAAGATATCCTGCATCCGTTGAGAGTAGATCAGCCTTTCTAAACAAGGTTAAGGAAGTATTTTGTTATTTAGATTGCAATGAGATACTTTTCAAACTTGGAGATTATTGAAACACGAGCTTGTTTCCAGCAGTCAGTTCCCTTCTTAAAACTTGAAGATCCAATAAATTAGTCAGAAGAATTAAACTATTCTACCAAATGAATTTATAACGACACCCCTCGCGGTGGTTGTTTGATAACTTGTCAAAGGTGCCCCTGTTCAAACATGAAATCATCTTCAACTCTCAGGTTCAGTCAGACTTTTACTTTTTTTTACCCTTTTAAAAAACTGCCTATCTCAAGTTGTTTCAGCGATGTCACTCTATGATTTTATAGAATGATAGAATATTTCACTCAGAATTGAGTGTGCTACATGGATTGTAAGTTTTTATTCCCTGGCCTGAACACCTACCTCATCACGTGTTTTTGTACTAATTGTAGGCATGTGACCTAATGTTTGTTTATGCTGTCAGTGTCTAGGTCTCTATCTCCGCCCACAAATGACAATTCCACCCCACAGCAAATACCTGCTCCATCAGGCTCCATCGCACTGGGCTCCTCCCTTTCCTCCTCTCTACTCGCCAATCCTTCGCGAAACCCCAAAGCAGTGCTGATGGTTTAGCGCCAAGTCGGCGGATATGAAATTACTGGCATTCTCTCCACCTCTCGATCTCGATTTCGGACGTGATATCAGTTGAGGAATTCACGGTGGAGGGACCTTCTGATGCCCTTGTGTCGTCAAGAGACCTCGAGAGCTGACAGACATTTCCAGAAAATGAGCAAGTGAGTGGTACCAGATTAATGCAACTGCAGTAACTCAACTTTTACCCTCTTTCCCAGACTTGAGCACCTCACCTGAAGCACTGCGAACATCACTCACCAAGCCCCTCCTGCTGTACCAGCCATTTCTGAGTGTGCACCAACACCAAACCGCACCTGGAAAACAGGCAACAATTCACAACAGTGGATGCCCATGCCCCACCTGCCTGACAAGTGTTGACACCATCAGATGCCCCAGTTCCCCCTGCCTCTTGTCATTTGGAAACACCTGCGACTGTCATTCCCCAAAGCCCGAGCTTCTGCGGAATATCCCCTTTTGTTCATTCCCCAACGCAGGCTCTTTGTTGCCTCATAACCTGGGTCTCTCCTCTCCCAATCATCTGTTATGATGCCCCCCCCCTCTCATCATCGCTTTCTTTTGCTTTCCCCACCCCTCAATTCCCTGCATCCACCACTGGCCCACGTCAGACTTTCTGTGCCGTCACTTTGTGATATCTGTGGACTGCTGCTGCACTACCAATCACCAGCACCAGTGGTATGGCTGTAGGTGCGACAACATGCTTCACAAGCTACATATGCCTGGAGGCTGGATTCTCCGCTCATTCACCTAGTGCCCAATCAGTGGAATCAAGGGGTGGGGCATTCTGTATCAGCCTGATGTAGGCACAATGATGCTCCGGCACACCAGGACTTCGCTCTGTCACTCCCCAATGTCTGCGGACCGCTCCACTGCCAACCACTAGCTCCAATGGTACAGCTGTAGGCACGACGACATGTCTCATAGGCTTGTCATGGTGTTTTTTTTTTGGTAGGATCTATCGCCAACCACCTGGTGGGTTTTTGTGCAGTGATGCAACAGTCACACCCTGTTCACGCCAACGTGTCTACAACCATGTCACCACCCCTCCTGCTCCCTCACTCCCCTCCTTCCCCTCCCCATCACCCCTTCCCCTCCCTCCCTTCTCCATCACCCCCTCCATAACTCTCCACCCCTTCCTACCCCTTTCCTTCTCCCTGCCCCTTTTCTTCTCCATAGCCTGCTCCCCTTGTCCCCACCCCCTTGCCTTGTACCTCTCCTTCCTTAAATATAGATTGTATATAGTAAAATATGTTTTATGTCATTTTAAATACATTATAATTTGGTTTATTGACTTCAAATTTATTCTGAGTATTAAGTTGGTTATTAAGTCACATGACTTCAGCTGATCAGGACATGTACTGGTAAATTTACATGAGTTCAGAGGATTCCAGTGGAATTCCACTGGAATGACTGAATTCCTGCAGGAATAGGTGGGGCACTGTAAAGTACTGTTCACTAGTGAAGGGGTTTTAGTAGATGGTGTTGAAGTTGGTGTGTCGGGAAAATCAAAATTAGGAAATTTGTAGAGACATGAAGAGATCAGCACATACCAGTCTGTCACCTTTTCGGGGGGAAAATATGGCTCAGTAATCATTTATATTGTATTATGAGAATGATTACCATGATGTCTATTGACCATGGTGATTATTGCTGACAAGGGTGATTACCTGGTGAAAATGATCAACACCGTTGGCAAAAATTCTATGGGCTAATTTGGGGTCGTACATCATCCAATCAATTTGAATTGCAGTCATATGGAGGTAATGGAGAATAATGCAAAGAATAATTTTGTGATACATTTAAAATGTTGATATTTACATGCATCTACTAGGGTCCAGATGACTCTCAAATGTATGCCAAACATATGCAAGAACCTCTACCAATTTGTAATCCACATCTCCTCTGCACCAACTCAAAACTCCGCTAGGAAAAGGCTCAGCTCTGCTGAGTCTTTTCCCCTCGAGCCTCGCTCACCATCCATGGCAG